GATTCAAGTCGTTAAACAGCATTTTGTTTGTCTGCTAATTCGACTTTAGGATGTAAATTAGTCAAGCGGTTATCGATTACCCTAATTATCCAGAGGTGGTGTCTAAGTGGCACTTAATTCAACGTCTAGACCTAGACTGAAAAGAATGAGTATTGTTTAACGCCTCTTTGAACATTTTTTCACAGCGTGTCGGCTTCATGTGGAAGGAAATCGCGAAGGGATGCAGGTTTTACTTGGAGAAACCAACGAGAACTGGTATGGTGCTGACAAACCTGTCAGCATTATCAAGGCAAATCTGGGATTCGAACCCACGATATTGCAGAAATTGTGGCGCCCGGGAAGATTGGGCCACCCGTGCCCCCATTCATGAATGGGTATAAACTTACAGTGGCGACACAAGATGTTGGCAAACGGGCGTCCTGCCCTGCCAGTAGGAACGTCGGGAAGGTAAGGTCGGAATATAAGCCAAGGAAACACGACCGTTTAAGTCAACGAAATTGTTAATGAATATAAGTCAAGAGAATATCTCACCGTGACGTATATGCTGGTTCCGATGCTGGTGTTGGACAAACATATATTTAATCACGGCCATTATTTCAAAAGGCCCCTGGGTTCGAATCCCGGTTCGCCCCGATTATGTTTCTAGGTTTGTCAGCACCATACCCGTGCTCGTGGGTTTCACCGAAGTGGTAAACGTCTGAAACCTGCATCACTTCGGGCTTTCCTCCCACATTAAGCTGACACGCCGCGATATGACTGGAATAATGTTAAAAGCGGCGTTAAACCCAACTCACTCACTCACTCAAAAGGCCCGCGGAAAGAATTTTCATGGTATAAGCATATGGAGAAAAATACAATTGTTTATAAAACAATGAATACATAATATACAATAATTAGTGTCGAGCGTATTGGGCAAAAGAAAGTAAACACTTGAAAATTGGATTCAACTAATAATTACAAACGCTATGAAAACGTTATTAGGCTGAAAACAGTTGCCGAAGCAATGCAAACTTAACGTCCAAAACACAACTATGATACCCGTATCAAATATATCAATAATACCATCGAATAACGATTTCTCGTTTCTTACAGGTTTACTTAGGAAATCCCAAACTAAAACGGTATATTATTTGTATACCACAATGCAGAGGCCATAAACCGGACCCGTGAAGATCCGGGGTACAATAGGTCTTCAGCAACCCATGCTTGCTGTAAAAGGCGACTATGCTTGTCGTAAGAGGCGACTAACGGGATCGGCTGGTCAGGCTCGCTGACTTGGTTGATGCATGTCACACTGAGTGCGGCGTTAAACAACAAACAAACAAACCATATACTGAGTATGTGGTCTCTGCACTATGTGACTTCAGCCGTGAACAATATACTCTTTTAACGTTGACAACTTGCCAGTTGACAAGTCAGGGCAGTTGACAAGTCAGGGCAGTTGACAAGTCAATCCAGTTGACAAGTCATTCACAATCTCGGGCTCCAGCGCCGTCCAATATCAATGCACCACAAAGCCAGGCATTGCCAACAACACTGCATTCTTGCTCCTAATACCGTCTCGTGTACAGACACACCGCAATCACCTACTGCCATGCGAGCAAATATGTAGCCATTATTAAATCATTTCCACACAGAACCAACACAGCAAATTCGCCCGAAACGTTGTCTGGTGCCATGAACATTAGGTGTTTCTTAAACAGGACCTTAATGCACCTGTATCGGCTAAAAGCTTTTCGCTGTCGAATAATAGACTCTGGGTATTAGAATTAAATCTACAATGCCACGTTTCGATCAAAGCCTATGATTACAGTTTCAAAGCCGTCTTACACAGCGGTATATGATGTGGGAGCGATAGTCAGTCAATTGATCGGTTATCGATCCATCGCACTCTCCGATATCAGTAAAACGGACCTGTGCAGAAAATAAGAGAAATTACAGAGACAGTGAATATGTTATAACGGTTATTAACATTAGCTTTCGTTTAGGTATTCGTTTATGAAACAATATTTGATATAACTTAGATGTTCATACTTTCTTGTCAAATACCATGTTTTTCTTATTTATTTATTTATTTATTTATTTATTATTTATTTATTTATTTATTTATTTATTTATTTATTTATTTATTTATTTATTTATTTATTTATTTATTTATTTATTTATTTATTTATTTATTTATTTATTCATTCATTCATTCATTCATTCATTCATTCATTCATTTATTTATTTATTTATTTATTACAACGTCAGTTCTGATTTTCTGCTGGGGGGCATTATTACAACGGAATTTGAACGGATTACTCGATAGAATTCCATTAAAAACAGACCAACGCCGAAACGGACTAGCCAGGTTGGTCATTATGAAGGTAGCATGTGTCATAATGTAATTTTGGCACAGACGCATTTCCATACCATTTCAAGTTTTACATGAAGGATAATTATAGAGAACATAAGGGGCGGTGGGGGTGAGTGTATGTGGTGTGTGATTGTGTGTGTGATGTGTGTGTGTGTGTGTGTGTGTGTGTGTGTGTGTGTGTGTTGGTGGGGTTACTTTGAAGAAAGTTTTTCTTCAGGGCAGCATGTGAAGTTAAGATCACGTTCACATTGTAATATTTTTGGGTGTGTCGTGAATATTGCAATGAAGCAATCGTTTTCCTTGAGATTCCTAAGATTAATGTTCACATAGGAATATATAAATGCAAAATGGGTGCGTCATATGATTACTCAAACATTTGTTGTACCGCGACGCATGGCTTCGCTTTTATCGCCACGTTTTCCTTTCATGCTATGTCTAATTAAAGAAAGGTTAAATAGTCTCCACAAACACAACGAATCGAGCTATACATGTACTGTCTTATTTTTAAGAACCCCAGTCAACATGTACGATTTTTAACCTGCTGGTTTGGTCCTGGGTATCATACGACGACGTCGAGGATATGGATGTGCGATAAACCTATTCCGCGAAGTAAAGACACAGACACAGGACTCACACAGTCCATCGTTTTGTTAAAAAATTGATGTCTTCTTGAAATCGTCAGTCCCCGCGTCTACAACATAATTAAAGAGACGTGCTAGTCTATGATTAGACTAACATTTAGTCTCTGAAATCTTATATTACACAATATCCTTCTTGACTCTAAAAATAAAAAAATTCCCTATGCTGATGCTGTGGAATAGAGCTAGCTTGAGCTGGCTGGACTTGCTTTTGTATGCATTTCTAGATTATTATTTTTTCATAAAATAAATATATTCCACGGTCATGGTGCAGGACTAGTCTATGATCTGTCGAATAGGTATCGAGGTGGCCGATAGACAAGATACACGCCTCCCGTTGACTTAGTCTCTCCTTCCCACGCCCCCGTTCCGCCTAAAGAAGGTTGTCGGTCATATCAAGTGTAAGTCAACTGCTTGAAGTCAGGGAATCTCCCATGAACAGTGGCTAACAAAAGCAGGAGTGTATTTATTTTTCTTTCCCAGTGTACCGCGATGTGGTTTCTTGCCGGGTCATATTACCACATGCATATAATGAATGTCCTTGTACTCTGGGTGTGTGACGAAATATGTTATTTGTGAGTCAAGGCGGAGAGCGTTTTGTTAACAGAATGTAAGGCAAACAACCTATGTAATATAACGTTGTGTACTTAGGATATCGAACATATGTGATTTTATTCCCATTGAACTGAAGACCGCCTCCGTGGTCTAATGGTAGAGCGTCCGCCCGGAGAGCGGAAGGTCCGGGTCTCGATCCCCGACCGCGTCACACCAAAAGACGTTAAAAGATGGTACTTGTTGTTACCCTGTCTGGCGCTAAAACAAGGGGCTAAAACAAGGACTGGTCGGGGTATTCATGTTAAACTGCGGCATGGTATCTCAGTGAGCTAGCACTATAAATCGCCATCAGTCCGGACTAGTACAAGCAGCCACTCACACACACACACGTGCATGCACGTCGCTATATAAGTGCAATGATCTTGGACGCGACGTTAAACCCCATTTCAACTCACCCATTGAACTGAGCTGGATTCTGGACGTCATGAATAGTGTACGATGATATTCACATGCAGTGTATGATAACATGGTATATTGTCCATACGGATTAATACAACAGAGATATCAATACCGTACGATAACAAGTGTGATAGCTTTTAACATACCCTCGAGTTGATTGGATTTAGACATTATTCTGTATATGTAGGAAATACGGTTCTATATATGTAGAAAACATTGTTCTTAATGTGCATTAAAAACATTGTGTATGTGTGTAGAAGAAAAGAATTGTTCTATATGCGCATTAGAATAGCACTTTATATGCAGGAAACACGATTCTCTATATATGTACAGTAGAATTGTTCCATATATATCAGGAAACGTGATTCTCTATGTACAGTAGAACTGTTCTATATATGCAGGAAACACAGTTCTCTATGTACAGTAGAACTGTTCTATATATGCAGGAAACACAGTTCTCTATGTACAGTAGAACTGTTCTATATATGCAGGAAACACAGTTCTATATGTACAGTAGAACTGTTCTATATATGCAGGAAACACAGTTCTATATGTACAGTAGAACTGTTCTATATATGCAGGAAACAGTTCTCTATGTACAGTAGAACTGTTCTATATATGCAGGAAACACAGTTCTCTATGTACAGTAGAACTGTTCTATATATGCAGGAAACACAGTTCTCTATGTACAGTAGAACTGTTCTATATATGCAGGAAACACAGTTCTATATGTACAGTAGAACTGTTCTATATATGCAGGAAACACAGTTCTATATGTACAGTAGAACTGTTCTATATATGCAGGAAACAGTTCTCTATGTACAGTAGAACTGTTCTATATATGCAGGAAACACAGTTCTATATGTACATTAGAAATGTTCTATATATGCAGGAAACACAAATCTATATGTTCCATGTGGTTTATATACTACATATAGTATAGTTCTATATTCTGATTGTGCATTCTGTCATTCTTTTCGCACTTTTACCTCGTGAGCTCCAAGTCCGGGGACTCTGGCGGGACCTTAAAGTTAAAACAATATATCGATATACTGAAGTAAGTAACGTTCCACCGTATTGAAACCTGTCTCAATAAAAGCGGAGCAAAGTTAGTGTTTCTGTGACATTTTATTGAATTTAACTACCGAAAAACATCAAACGTCGGTGTCAACATTCTGTAATTAGGGAGATGATCTTAACTCACACCAAGGTATTCTTTGATATTCTCTGATCATGCGTACTTTCACATTCACAGTGCCGGTCACGATATGTCCCCGTTCATACAAGACAGTCGACGCCGGGACCGTATGTTGTGAAACACGTGTATTGTAGTGCCGACAATACCATATTGGGCGTATCAATAACAAGTTGGTGTCACGTGAATGGGCATTTACTCTCATAACGCTCAGCGCCATATCTGAGACCGTGTCAAAGGTGCTCAGTCAATGGCGGCGGTTGGTTTGATGGGCGGGTTGGCACGAACTACCTTGGTTTGTTGTGTGAATGAAAATACCAGGCATTCTGTGCAGTAAATATATCTTGTCAACATTTCACTCTTAGAATATTGTAATCAGTATTTCAGTCGTACCGTGTTGTAATACGTGTCTAGGCCCGCTGTATGGAGCCCTTACATTGGTTAATGTGTTGCATTTCAATAATACAAAGGGAGACCACCACCCCCCCCCCCCCCACCCCCCCCCCCCACCCCAAACACACACACCCACACTCCTAAAAAGGAGGAATGAGCACCAAGCTGGGAATCGAACCCGGGATGGTTTACTACTACCTGACTCGATTGACCATCCATCATAACAATAACTCGGTGACTAGACGTACATGTATTTCATCAACAGTGTTACAAGGGAACGCATTAATGTTTAGGCAATGATTTGTCTTTCATCAGATAATGAAGTAGCTTCCCTTTTTTTAACATCTTTTTTTGTCAAAGTACATACGAAACGCAGTAAAAATGTAATAAGGCTTTACATAAATCCCCCTAAATCTAAACCGGGACTATCTATCTCAATATCGTATTCCTCCACTAATCCATCAATCAGCGATACATTGCCTAAAGCCACCCATGTTACAGGTGACGTTCCATCTTCATCAAGCTCACTAGCAACCCCACGACATAACAGTCCCATGACCATGACTCACAAATAACAATGGTTGAACTATCTTGAATCAAATTTGTATTCAATCAATTATTTCATATTTTATTATTGTATTTAATTATTATTTTTTAAAGATTAAAATAAAAGATGCAGCAAAGAGGGTTTGGGTGATCCTGGCACAGTCAGGCTGGTTAGGCTCATCATCAGCTCAGGGCCCTTGCCCCTCTACACGCAGCCCAGACAGCGAATGGGACTTCTCCCAGGAAGCGCTGCCTAGTCAAACCCACCCAGAACTATTTATAGTAGTAGTAGTAGTAATAGTAGTAGCAGTAGTAGTTATATTTTTTATGCAGATATCTATACTTGTATCTCTTCTTCACTGTGCATCACTATATTCCGCAGAAAAAGCAGTGACAATTTCAAGTTTAACATGATTTGTCAAAATACAAAGACGTCATGAATCGGGTTGATTGTCATTACAATCGACATCGAACATATATCAAACTCGTGAAGTCGAAGTTCATGCAGGGGTCCATCTACTTATAATCTCGACAAAATACCATCGACATCGACACATAGCGTTATTACAAAGCAAACTATTGTTCACAGGCAACCCAATTTACACTCCGGAGACGTAACACGCCTAATTGTGTATTTGAATTATGATTTTGCACATAACGAACTGTTTTAAGTTCCCTTGGCGTTCGCAATATCCGACGTTGACTGTGAGAAAGTACCGTGACTTAGACCACTCTCAACACCTATCTAGAACATGTGACATATACAGTAAAACCACGTTAACTCGAACTCCATTAACTCGATGTCTTGACGGTCTGATATTGACACTCTGCTCATCTGGAACTTCGGATAATTCGACGTATGTTTATAGGTCGACAAAGCCTTTGACGACAGTCATGAGACAAGTGTTTGGTAGAAGGAGGCCAGGACTTCGAGATAACGAGGTATAACTTTGTTTCGTAGAGCCCACGTGTCATGGATGAGTGAGTGAGTGAGTGAGTTTGGTTTAACGCCGCTTTTAACAGTATTCCAGTTATATCACGGCGTGTCAGCTTGATGTGGGGGGAAAACCCGAAGTGATGCAGGTCCCAGACGTTTACCACTTCGGTGAAACCCAGGAGCACGGGTATGGTGCTGACAAACCTAGAAACATAATTGGGGCGAACCGGGATTCGAACCCACAATCATAGGTTTCTGGCGTGCCCAAGGGACGCAACTCTGCACAGCGAATCGCGGCGCCTTAGACGACTGGGTTCTCCGTGCCCCCTGTCATGGATGATCGCCATAGCGCAAAGCTAGTCTGTAGAACATGTGCATGTCCCGCCCTGTGTTCTTTTCAGTTAAGGGGCGGTCGGGTAGCCTAGTGGTTAAAGCGTTCGCTCGTCACGCCGAAGACCCGGGTTCGATTCCCGACATGGGTACAATGTGTGAAGCCCATTTCTGGTGTTCCCCCGCCGCGATATTGCTGGAATATTGCTAAAAGCGGCGTAAAACCATACTCACTCACTCACTCACTCTTTTCAGTTAAGTCATTGTACTGTAAGGTGGGGCAGTGATGAATTGACTGTCGATGACGCCTTGTACCTTGTGATGTAGCTCCCCGCCCCGGCCAATATCGAATCCTTTCATGAGTAGATTCCAAAACTCTGCGTGGGGTATATTTATTTCGAGAAGTAGCTTGTTTGAAAACTACACCTAGTGTCTAGTGCACTTAAAGTACGTTGTAACACCGTCTTATGAAATGACTTGTACAAGGTTCTGTTAGCTCAATTTGTTTGTTACGTTGGCTCAACCTTTTCGCGAACATCTGGTATGATAGTTATTTGATAATGATTTATAAACACATGCTTATGATATAGTCGGAATCATACAATCAATATTTTTAAAGGGAAAGGGTTGTGTTGCTCTTAATTATATCAAGGGAAATAGTGAGTGAGTATGGTTTTACGCCGCTTTTAGCATTATTCCGGCGGGGGACACCAGAAATGGGCTTCACACATTGTACCCATGTCGGGAATCGAACGCGGGTCTTCGGCGTGATGAGCGAACGCTTTAACCACTAGGCTACGCGACCGCCCCTAAAGGGAAATAGAGTTGATGTATCCCAAAAATATAGGCCATGTATAAGATGTTTTTATAACATTACATTTGGAACTTATACATGGACTCAATAACCAATGACTTCGGGTTTTACGCCATTTTGAAAAGTATTTCATCATTACCACGGCGCGGCAGTTGAGGTGGGAGGAAATCCCGAAGTAGGGCAGGTCTTCCCACTGAAACCCACGAGCACGGCATGGTGGTCACAAAGTTAGAAACATAATCAAGGCGAAACTGTGATTCGAAACCGGGATGTTAGGTTTCTGGTACGCCTAAGGGAGTCAACTCCGCACAGGGAACAAGACACCCTTGCCCTCTAGACAGAAAACATACGATAGATCGTGAAGCTCAGAGTGAGTGAGTGAGTGAGTTAGTGAGTGAGTATGGTTTTATGCCGCTTTTAGCAATATTCCAGCAATATCACGGCGGGGGACACCAGAAATGGGCTTCACACATTGTACCCATGTCAGGAATCGAACCAGGGTCTTCGGCGTGACGAGCGAACGCTTTAACCACTAGGCTACGCGACCGTCCCAGTGGAGCTCAGACGTTCGGGCGAAATGCATATGCACGGGTATGGCGCTGACAAACCATTAACCTTTATCGGGGATTCGAACCCGAGGCCATAGGGCTACTTGATGTCACAGCGCCTATGTGCTGTAGATTATAATATATTATGGTGAAATCCACCTCGCGGGAAGGCAGTTAGTAAACATTCATGAGTACATTGTCGTTAACTTTTGAAATATGAATAACTTGCTATCCTTATACCATAAATGAAGTAGCATACATATGATTTAAAGTGTGTCAAGTAATAATGCCATCACTCCATAGCTATAGTGAGTGAGTGAGTGAGTATGGTTTTATGCCGCTTTTAGCAATATTCCAGCAATATCACGGCGGGGGGACACCAGAAATGGGCTTCACATATTGTACCCATGTCGGGAATCGAACCAGGGTCTTCGGCGTGACGAGCCAACGCTTTAACAACTAGGCTACCCGACCGCCCCCATAGTTATAGCTCAAGGGTCAAACTTACTCCCTAAGGGATCACGAAGAACATCGGTGATATAATGTTTCCATGCTTGGGTAAGCGACCATTGAGGTACATTTTTACTCATCTGAAATCTAACGCTTAAACTCAACACACCCGTTTGTGTGAAACCATACATCATATGCATGTGGCGTGACGCGACAAAAGTGGGAATGGGGTTAAAGAAACGAAAATCTTTGAACATACACTCTTCAAAAAAAGAAACTCACAGGTAGATTGTTAGTAAATATATTGTACCCAATAAAGTCGATATATTTAATTTAATGTCATAGATACAAATATGAAATTTTGGAGCTCGATAGTCATATGTTGTCGTTGTACAAAGGCATTAAAAACTGTTCATTGTCATGTCATATAAAGCCACAAGGTTCCGCTGAACTCAGTATCTCGCGCGACCGCTCCGGGCAGCAATCACGGATCTCTTCGGCACTGACCGGATAAGTGTACGAATTCTGTCCTGCGGAATTCTGCGCCATTCTGTTTGTAACGCGTTGGTCAGTTGTGTCTGCGGCGTGTTCTGACGTTGACGTACACGTCGAGCGAGTTTTCCCCAGAGGTGTTCGATCGGGTTGAGATCTGGAGATCTCGACGGCCAGGGTAAGGCGTTGATGTTGGCATTATGGGGGTAGTCTACCGTGACGAGAGCTGTGTGCGGTGGAGCGTTGTCCTTTTGAAATAGCTCCCTCTGGCGGCCAATGATTGGAAGAAGGTGAGGCTGAAAAATTGGATTCATGTAGCGATTTGCTGTCAAATTTTCCTGAACCACAACCAAGTCAGATCTTGTGGTGTAGGATATGCCAACACCCCCTGGTCCGATATCCTTCTCAAACCAGGGATGCGCCCTGCAGTCTCCGTAGCTCTCCGTAGCTGTGGCATTGCGATGACGAAGGTGAAACAGTCGAATGTAGCGATCCTGTGCAGGGATGGTAACTCTTGGTCAGCCCGTTCTCGGACGGTCTGCAGTGGAATTAAATGTGTGTATCGGTCATAAAGGCGGCGGTGGACGTTGAAGTGGCGTGCAACAGAAGACTGCGATTCCCCTCTTTAGATACGTCCTATGGCGATGTTCCGATCGGCAGAGTCTCGGTATTTTCGAACTTGAAACATGTTGACAATTGAATGACAAATTAGTGGCTTATGCTTGCCTTTTTATAGCCACTACCACGAGTAACAAACGCCATAACTTGCACGTGCATTTTGCTTTACTGTTTTCCTCCATGACATTTTTGAACAAGTGTGAAAACAATGTCGTTTGAGGCATTGCAAATCGACAATGGCTGCGTTTTGGCGCCCAGGCCACCAATATTTTCCAAAAACATATATCCAATTTATATACCGGATTTTTTGTGTAGTCAGGTTCAGTGAACAACATACTACCTGTAAGTTTCTTTTTTTGAACAGTGTATTTTAATAAAAGACAACGCGAAGAGACACCCAGCAAGGCTTTTTTGCATTTGTGTCACGAGGTTCGATTCAGACGCTGCGTGTCAATGGTTCGTCTTCTCGAGAGTCGATTGTTGGTTGTCTCGAAATATCACTCTTTCAAAAAAGCTCATTTCCTGTCATAACTATATCTCGTTTAATCCTATCTATCTTAATTTGGACTTACTCTCCGTACAAATCATATTAACACGAAATAGTCATATACCCGTATATCCGTCCCCGGAATACGATATGAGTTACAAATCCCACGTCGTCAATCAATATATATGTTGATGTTTATATGAAGTGGCTTTGTACGATTAATGAATATTTTATATCACAGACACACTGTATAAGGTCTTGATTAAGCTTTACGGTCTGGAATGAAGGGTACTTTTCATTATGAACTACAGTTGTTTGTAATGACGCTCGCGTGTCGTAGTGGAAGTCAATGGAATTTCTAGCATGTCCATTGAGAGGTCAGGTACAATGATAATAAGCATTTTTGTTTTGAATTTATAGTAGTTCTTTATATGTTTGTATTCATTGATGATGATGATGATGATGATGATGATAAATAATAATAAGAAGAAGAAGAAGAAAAAAAAGAAGAACAACAACAACAAAAACAACAACAATAATAAAAAAATAAATGATAATCATTATCATCATCATCATCATCAATATATACATACATATAAAGGACTACTATTAATTCAAAACCAAAATGCTGGGTCTTTAAGCTAAGTGATGGCGTTGATCGATGGCTACAGTGTCAAGGAATGCTTTGCCTGGTCGAGGCTCGACTGCACTTTGCTTTGTGTTGACGCTATCGACACAATTCCCTCATGTGTTTTACTAATGCGTCGCAAGCTTTGTATCTCTAACATATCCCTATTCGTCTATTATTGTCAAATCCTTCATGACGGCGAATAACACAATGTCACCTGTCACCTCGCCTTGACGATGACAGATATAGGGCGATGTGGAGGGGAGCTCGTTAGTCTGGAGATCTCAAATCAAATAATACTTGTTACCTAGATGTTATCACAATAAGCCAAATGTGCTAAAATTCCACAGTAAGTTTAATAGTACAAAAAAGAGTGTGTTGGATAGATTATCTAAGTTTGGTTCAGTCACAAATGCAAACATATAAGTCATCTAGATGAAAACAATACATACACTGTAATGCTGTAAATTGCTATAAATTGCTATAAATAGTTGTAAATTGTAAATAATCTGCCCTGCTGCCACGTAACTTAAAATAAAATTCGTATGATCTTTAATGCCACAGTCTGTGGCCAATGGGATACACAGTGGGAGTGGTGAAGCCTTAAGAAGTGTCCCGTTAATCCGAACACTCGTTAATCCGTTTACCGTTATACTGTAAACTCGTTGATATTTGACGCGTTAATGCATGATCTTATTAATCTGAATGACTTTACCCTATGGATTAAAGATTATAAACCGTGTGTACCATAACAAACTCGTCATGCACCGAGAAATATAAGGTCAAAACACCAGGGTTATATTATAGTCTTACCGTTTTAGTAGGCGTGAGGGCTACAGCGGCACCGTTTACCAAGGTGCTGTAACTATATATACAACATTACAACAGAGGCAACAAACAGCATTACTTACCTCGATCACAGAAATATCCAATTTAAGTAATCCTATATTAGAAATTAAAGTTCGAAATCTGTGGGGGGATAGTCGGGGTTACCCCCCAGTATCCTCACGCCTCACCCCCTCGAGGATTCATCTCACACAGATACTTCAAATTCCCTCTGACCACGGATATCACTGAAAACGAAGGTAAATATCCAACCTAACTGGTTTCCCAGCTCAGCGCGGCCCACTCAGACTGGTTTCAATGACAGAGTGTAAACTAATATGCGCTAAGCAAGCGCGCCGCGTTCGATAATATACATAAATAAGCTTTCAAAATCCCTTCTTATAATTCGCAATGCAAACTCAACGGTGCGTGACATAAAATTGTTTGCTTATCCGCGTTTGTGCGATTTGCTCTGCGCTCCAGGACGCATGAACACGTTTGAACGTCTCTGATACAAGTAGTCAAGTTTGATAGCTTTCTCGGCTGATTTGAGTTCGATCTGTCGCGATACAGGAAACGGGTTCGATTTATTGATTGACAGATCGATGTGTTGTACTGTTATATGTGTTTCTGTAATCGCCCATCAATCATAAGGGGTTTGACCAGTAAGTGCCATTCAATGAAGTGTAAACGCTCTTTCGTGGTCACTGTTTATTAAAAAGGTGTATTCATTAGGTTGGTTTCTATAACTCATTTGCTTGACATGTTGAATTTTTTAACGCATCAATGCAGTATTAGAGCTAAACAAATTGCGTAATAACTACCAAACAGGTTTGAGGTGGGGTTTGTCGGTATGCTGTTCTATTTATGGATGCTACTCATTCGTGAAAAGTACAAATACATCGGCTCCCACAGAAACATAATCTGTCCTATCATTTAAAGTGAGGATACGAAGGAAGAGTTTGTATCAACACATATTTTACTGTTTTCGGCGATTATATTCTCTTGTTTTTTCCGCTTTGGGAATCTGAGGCAGAAAAAGGTGAGGTGAGGTGAGGTGAGGTGAGGTGAGGTGAGGTGCAATGGTGTTTACGCCGCGTCCAAGGTTATTGCACTCTTATAGCGACTTGCACGTGAATGCGTGCGTGTGTGTGGCTCCTTGTACTAGTCCTGACGAATGCCGGTTTTATAGTGCTAGCCCACTGAGATACCATGCCGCAGTTTAACATGAATACCCCACTCAGACACAGTATACTGACTCCGAGCCGACCAGTCCCTGTTTTAACCCCTTAATGCCGAAAACCAAGCAGGTTAACAACAAGTACCATCTTTTAACGTCTTTTGGTATGACGCGGCCGGGGATCGAACCGACAGAAAAGGCCTTGAGATCTCCAAAACATGAAAATATCTAACAATAATGAATTTGTATTTGTTTTGTTTGTTGTTTACCAAAATTCCGGCTATATGACGGCGGTCTGTAAATAATGGATTCTGGACCACACAATCCTGTGATCGATATTGTGAGCAACGTTCCGCGCCGTCGGGGGACGGTTACACGCAATCTACCAAGTCTAACAATATGGTCTCTTATCCGATCCATTAAATCGCCTCTTACGACCAGCACAGATTGTTGAGCGCCTGCCGGGGAGGAACACACTCAACTGCACTCTCAGCATTATACTTTGCGTGATTGCTTGCTTGCTTGCTTGCGTGCGTGCGTGCGTTTTAACCCCGCACTGAACAATTTTAAAGCTATATCACGGATGCTAGCAGACAATCGAGATTGAAAACAGAGATTGATATCATGAGCAACATTTCACGCCGTCCGGGTACGATGACATGGGAGTTATCTACCCTGGCCACCCCATCCATTTAGTCGCCTCTTATACGCCGAGTGTGTTAGCTTGGTTGCCGAGGACCAGCTCTAACCCGCAATCCCAGGGGGACATGGCCATATGCCCAGTCACAATGACTCTGCGCACTGGTTGTGATGGCAAGCGGTGATATAACCAGTCATTGGGATTTTCTTCAAACTGTAACAGTTTATGTAAGCCAGTGGATTCAGCTGTCAGTAGAGTATGGTGGACTCCACAATCTGCTGTCCTCTTGACCCTTCTGTATTCTGGACTTGGTCCACAACAAACTTATGATTGTTATTCAGATCTTTTTCAATGAAGGATATCTTCTCTTTGGTGACAAGGTTTTCCTTGAAGATTATTATTTTCATGATTTCTTTAGGCAGTGTTCATCCAGCATAGATAGATTAAATATCAAGAATAGGTATGTTCAGTTTTAATCTCATACAGCGTTCGCTTGTCACGCCGAAGACCCGGGTTCGATTCCCGACATGGTTACAATGCGTGAAGCCCATTTCTGGTGTCCCCCGCCGTGATATTGCTGGAATATTGCTAAAAGCGGCGTAAAACCATATTCACTCACTCACTCACTTAAATCTCATACCTGCGGAGTCATATTGTAGTTAGCCATTTTAGGCACCTTAGTGAGTTAGCGAGTATGGTTTTACGCCGCTTTTAGCAATATTCCAGCAATATCACGGCGGGGGACACCAGAAATGGGCTTCACACATTTTACCCATGTCGGGAATCGAACCCGGGTCTTCGGCGTGACGAGCGAACGCTTTAACCACAAGGCTACCCAACCGCCTTTTAGGCACCTTAATGAAATTGTCCGAGCTCAGAATATACCCACAATAAAGGAAACAAGCGGTTGTTGTCGTGTGTTTGTGTTAGTGTGTGTAAAGAGTTAAAAGTGTACGGTGTGCGCGCGGTGTGCTCGTGTTATCGGTGTGTGTGTGTGTGTGTGTGTGTGTGTGAGAGAGAGAGAGAGAGAGAGAGAGGGGGGGGGGGGGGGGGGGGGGGGGCTCAGAAAAACAAGTCATCACATGTTGTAACCAATCTTTTTAAATAACGTGGTATCCAGTTATTGCCGGGAGACCTAATTAATCAGTTTGAGCTGCTTGACGAATCATCGCCTGTCCAGTCACAGAGCCTCTGGGCAGGCAGTACGGGTCAGCCCTTGGTTGTCCCAGAGACCATATAATAGAGTCTATTATATGGTCTCTGGTAGTCCTCACAACCCTCAGCAGGGAGGAATCGACTGGGAGATACGGATATCATACGGACCAACTCCCAGACAGGACAAATTGCTCATAATACCCAATTTAGAAGAGTCAGATCGGATCCTAGGTTGACATGTTAAGATTAGTGGAAGTATATACCGTATTCACCCAATTAAGCGCCACGGTCCAGTAAGCGTCCCCTGACCAACTATTAGACCAACATGCAAGCATTGCTGATAAGCTTCATCACCTCAATCCTGTTCCCCGTCATGGCTGTGGTATGTCAAACTCTTTTCATACATGCCTGATGATATACCCATTATCAATTATTTCCGTTTAGTTTCACTCACATCTGCATTACGTCGCTCTCTCCGCTCGCTGTCATCCAACAACTCGTTTTTTTATGGTATTTCAACAATTGACGTTACATTTCACAGATCAGATATCAGAATATACTAGCAGAACATATGCTATCAATACATAGTTAATTATATTCATTAAAATGACTTTATTTTGGGCTGTATCTAAAAATGAAACAAATCAGCTTCAACGACCTTACTTGGGGGCTACCAACCCAGGTGTTAAATAGGTATGGGCAAGTCCGGTCTATCCAAGTATGATGTAAATCAGTTAACATATGTTAACATTGGTCAACCAAGGTTAACTTGGGTTATACATGTGTCGTTCAGGGCTTTGAAATCGAACAAAAGCACTCATTTTTATTCTGTACATAAAGACCGCCTCGCTTCAATGGTGAGGTGGATACAGCATCTGCCCGGAAAGCTGAAGGTCATGGTTTGATTCGAAAGACATTAAAATATGTTACGTGTGGTTACCCTGCCTGGCATTTATGCCTCTAAGGACTGGTCGGCCCAGAGTCAGCATACTGTGTCTGAGTAGGGTATCAATGTTAAACTGTGGCATGGTATCTCCGTGGGCTAGCAATATAAAACTGGCATTAGTCCGGAATAGGATAAGCAGCCACACACAGACACACACAGATGTGCATGCAGGTAACTATAGAAGTGCAATAAACTTGAACGCAATGTTAAACCTCATTTCACCTCATCTGTACAAAGTAAAAAGCTCAAGCCAAGCCCAAGCAGTCAATGCCTACACCTCTATTGCCACGGATACCCATCACCCCTACAAAGGTTGGACCGTGCCATTAATTAATACTCATTGCGTCTCACAGCATCTCACCTGTGTGTACTCCACAAAAGATTGGACCGTGCCATTCATTAATACTCATTGCGTCTCACAGCATCTCACCTGTGTGTACTCCACAAAAGATTGGACCATGCCATTCATTAATACTCATTGGGGGCACACAGCATCTCACCTGTGTGTACCCCACAAAAGATTGGACCGTGCCATTCATTAATACTCATTGGGGGCACACAGCATCTCACCTGTGTGTACCCCACAAAAGATTGGACCGTGCCATTCATTAATACTCATTGGGGGCACACAGCATCTCACCTGTGTGTACCCCACAAAAGATTGGACCGTGCCATTCATTAATACTCATTGCGTCTCACAGCATCTCACCTGTGTGTACTCCACAAAAGATTGGACCATGCCATTCATTAATACTCATTGGTGGCACACTGCGTCTCACCTGTGTGTACCCACAAAAGATCGGACCGTGCCATTCATTAATACTCATTGCTGTCACACAGCATCTCACCTGTGTGTACCCCACAAAAGATCGGACCGTGCCATTCATTAATACTCATTGGGGTTACATTGCATCTCATCTGTGTTTACAAGGACTTTATTTGTCATCAATTGCCACCAGTAAGACATTGTTATCGCACACAGCCCATACCCTTATTTCAAGGACATTTATCGCATATAAAATCTATTGTGATATTCTGAAATATGATTCAATCTGGTTTTTTCTAGTTTTCTCATGCCTGAAACCTCAACATTTATCTCCTCATAAGAAAGCAACATAACAAAATCTGTGTAAGTAAACATGGGGTTTATATTATATACAAATGATTCACAGAACAAGTATACATTATTGATATTAATAACACTGAGTCCATTTGCACAGCACAATCTTACGACTTAGTACACAATGCTAAGATTGATCATCATGTGCAAATGGTATGCAGTGTGCGAGCTCAGCCTGTGTTACCGCTTATAGATGAAAACCAAGCCTCGCTTTCACACAGGTTATAAATAGATTCAATGCTAAAGGCCCCATAGTGACGTCACAGCCCCTGTCACAGGAAGTGAAAAATCCTGGGCTCTACACCTACCTCATATAAACCTTTTATTACAAATCCTATATGTACATGTAATGTTTTCATATATTTCCCATTTCCACATATGTCAATTTACCAAAATAATACCTAAATATAACCCATCCATGCACTGTAGAGGCTGTGAGAACATGTTTATTGAAGTCACGTGACCTCAAAATATTCTCTCACAGGGTAGAAGTCATTCACAAAAATATGGGTTCCATCTATCTTAAAGGGAGGAGGGGCCATTTCCTATGTTTCCTGCAATCACTGATCACTAAGCTTACTATATCCAACTTAAAACAGGAGGAGCTACAAATGTAAACATGTTTTTAATTGGATAAAAGACAGTCCCCAGTTTCCCCCTCGAAGTGACCAAGAAGTCCCACACAGAGCGGCCAGAAACATAAATACATCTGGCATCTTACTGATAGCATCACATTCTAGTGACAGATATGTTACTTTAGGGCAGTTTAACACCGTTTGTTTAAATTTGAGTTGACTGATATGTCATTGAGGGACTAATTTGTGTGTCAGGGGTCTAAACTGATGGTTTACAGGTTGTGGTGTTTGACATTTGGTTCTTTCTGTCTTAAGCTGTCTGGACATAGTTTGTCAGTGTTATCACACTGAACAGACATTTGCACTTAAATAAATCAGAACTTAAATCTCAAATATGTATTGGTTTGTTAGTTTTAATTAGGGAAAGTAACCCTTCACACCACCGGAAGTAGTCAAGATTTTAGTCAGGTGACCTCTATCAGTAAAATGATTGGCTCAAACCTATCGTCTGCTGTAGCAGTATACTACTTTTACTGTTGTGGTGGACGATTACTTTTGGATTATACCTTGGCTATTGCATTTTTATGCTCGGTCATGGCTAAATTGTGTGTTTCAACTGTTATTTTCTTGGAACTCACTTGGAATACCAGTCTCTTACTAACTATTTATCATGATGCGACTTCCAAGTGACACCACTGGAGATTTGTCAAGTAAGGTATGAACATATTGGAATTCTGGCACCTCTATAACTAATGAATGTTCAAGTGGAAAATATCAAGAGTACATTTATACCAATAAGGCTTGTGTATGCATTAATATTATATAGAAGTTTAAACGCTAGTAGAATTTTGCATCTTGTGAATATATGTGCATTTATGCCATCCAACAAGTCAGAAAAAATAGAAACAAAAGAAAAAATAATGGCATTCCTCCTGAGAAAAATGTAAGACATCGTATCATAATGGTAGCCAATGTCGTCCTTGTCAGGTATGCATACAGTTGGGACAATTTTAAAAAAGATGATCCTCATCATGAAATGAATAAACCTTATTATCCAGGTGAAAAGCATTAATATCCAGTGAATATATTTTGTAACATGGAAAGCTAATAAAAGTACAAAAACGTTGTTTCAGTAGAAACCTCTGTTTAAAAACTCCAGTTGACACAGACTATAAAGTGAATATGTCATCTGCTAGCAAATTGTATTTACTGTTTGTAGGTCGCACTTGAGAACGAGGCTTGGTTTTTACGGGAAAAGATATCAATTACAAAATTGAGGCTAAGCTCGCACACTGATGATTGTATTTACAATAACCAATAAACATGGACGGAATGTCAAAATTCATTTTTAAAACTTCAAGCTGTATTAGAATTAAAAGTTTTAAAACTATAATAGATGGCCTGCATCCAGATTTTCTTTCGTTTCATCTCTTAAATCAAGATTTATGACTTGATCCCATATTTTCCTTAGGGCAGCATTTGGCATGTTCAGTGTGTATGGACGGTGTAGTTGTACTGGGGGCACATCATTGACGTCCTGAGCGAGCTTGCTCTATTTTCCTGCGCACTTGGTTACAGTTAAGGGTTAATTCTGCATGCTGCATTCTGAGACTCTCTAACTGATCCTTAAGATCATCACTTTCATCTTTGCGTTCCTCAAAGTCTCTCAATAAAGGCTCGTTACCAAGTAGACCACAGTTTTGACGTAACCGCTGGTTGTCTATACGCAGTGAGTCTCTTGCTTGTTTTGTCCGAGATAGAATATCACGTCTCTGGAAAAGAAACACATCATTTCGCTGAGACACAGCCTGTGTATTTAAACAACTTCCTATTGTGTTTTAGTGGTTCAGTGAATGCTTTTGTGAAAAGCACATAATGTTATGTTATTATGTTATTAATCATTCTGATAAATCTACCTACTATCTTACTCCAACTTTTGTACATGGTTCTAACCTGAGCTACATAAGCCTCCACATCCTTCAGATTGCCCTTTTGTACACGGTTCTCACCTAAGCTACATAACCCTCCACATCCTTCAGGTTGCCCTTTTGTACACGGTTCTCACCTGAGCTACATAAGCCTCCACATCCTTCAGATTGCCCTTTTGTACACGGTTCTCACCTGAGCTACATAAGCCTCCACATCCTTCAGATTGCCCTTTTGTACACGGTTCTCACCTGAGCTACATAAGCCTCCACATCCTTCAGATTGCCCTTTTGTACACGGTTCTCACCTGAGCTACATAAGCCTCCACATCCTTCAGATTGCCCTTTTCTACACGGTTCTCACCTGAGCTACATAAGCCTCCACATCCTTCAGATTGCCCTTTTGTACACGGTTCTCACCTGAGCTACATAAGCATCCACATCCTTCAGATTGTCCTTTTGTACACGGTTCTCACCTGAGCTACATAAGCCTCCACATCCTTCAGATTGCCCTTTTGTACATGGTTCTCACCTGAGCTACATAAGCCTCCACATCCTTCAGGTTGCCCTTTTGTACACGGTTCTCACCTGAGCTACATAAGCCTCCACATCCTTCAGGTTGCCCTTTTGTACACGGTTCTCACCTGAGCTACATAAGCGTCCACATCCTTCAGATTGCCCTTTTGTACATGGCTCTCACCTGAGCTACATAAGCCTCCACATCCTTCAGGTTGCCCTTTTGTACACGGTTCTCACCTGAGCTACATAAGCATCCACATCCTTCAGATTGCCCTTTTGCACATGGTTCTCACCTGAGCTACATAAGCATCCACATCCTTCAGGTTGCCCTTTTGTACATGGTTCTCACCTGAGCTACATAAGCCTCCACATCCTTCAGATTGCCCTTTTGTACACGGTTCTCACCTGAGCTACATAAGCGTCCACATCCTTCAGATTGCCCTTTTGTACAAGGTTCTCACCTGAGCTACATAAGCGTCCACATCCTTCAGATTGCCCTTTTGTACACGGTTCTCACCTGAGCTACATAACCCTCCACATCCTTCAGATTGCCCTTTTGTACACGGTTCTCACCTGAGTTACATAACCCTCCACATCCTTCAGGTTGCCCTTTTGTACACGGTTCTAACCTGAGCTACATAAGCCTCCACATCCTTCAGGTTGCCCTTTTGTACACGGTTCTCACCTGAGCTACATAACCCTCCACATCCTTCAGATTGCCCTTTTGTACACGGTTCTCACCTGAGCTACATAAGCCTCCACATCCTTCAGATTGCCCTTTTGTACACGGTTCTCACCTGAGCTACATAAGCCTCCACATCCTTCAGATTGCCCTTTTGTACATGGTTCTCACCTGAGCTACATAAGCCTCCACATCCTTCAGGTTGCCCTTTTGTACACGGTTCTTACCTGAGCTACATAAGCCTCCACATCCTTCAGGTTGCCCTTTTGTACATGGTTCTCACCTGAGCTACATAAGCCTCCACATCCTTCAGGTTGCCCTTTTGTACACGGTTCTCACCTGAGCTACATAAGCCTCCACATCCTTCAGATTGCCCTTTTGTACACGGTTCTCACCTGAGCTACATAAGCCTCCACATCCTTCAGATTGCCCTTTTGTACACGGTTCTCACCTGAGCTACATAAGCCTCCACATCCTTCAGATTGCCCTTTTGTACATGGTTCTCACCTGAGCTACATAAGCCTCCACATCCTTCAGATTGCCCTTTTGTACATGGTTTCTCACCTGAGCTACATAAGCCTCCACATCCTTCAGATTGCCCTTTTGTACACGGTTCTCACCTGAGCTACATAAGCCTCCACATCCTTCAGATTGCCCTTTTCTACACGGTTCTCACCTGAGCTACATAAGCCTCCACATCCTTCAGATTGCCCTTTTGTACACGGTTCTCACCTGAGCTACATAAGCATCCACATCCTTCAGATTGTCCTTTTGTACACGGTTCTCACCTGAGCTACATAAGCCTCCACATCCTTCAGATTGCCCTTTTGTACATGGTTCTCACCTGAGCTACATAAGCCTCCACATCCTTCAGGTTGCCCTTTTGTACACGGTTCTCACCTGAGCTACATAAGCCTCCACATCCTTCAGGTTGCCCTTTTGTACACGGTTCTCACCTGAGCTACATAAGCGTCCACATCCTTCAGATTGCCCTTTTGTACATGGCTCTCACCTGAGCTACATAAGCCTCCACATCCTTCAGGTTGCCCTTTTGTACACGGTTCTCACCTGAGCTACATAAGCATCCACATCCTTCAGATTGCCCTTTTGCACATGGTTCTCACCTGAGCTACATAAGCATCCACATCCTTCAGGTTGCCCTTTTGTACACGGTTCTCACCTGAGCTACATAACCCTCCACATCCTTCAGATTGCCCTTTTGTACACGGTTCTCACCTGAGCTACATAAGCGTCCACATCCTTCAGATTGCCCTTTTGTACAAGGTTCTCACCTGAGCTACATAAGCGTCCACATCCTTCAGATTGCCCTTTTGTACACGGTTCTCACCTGAGCTACATAACCCTCCACATCCTTCAGATTGCCCTTTTGTACACGGTTCTCACCTGAGTTACATAACCCTCCACATCCTTCAGGTTGCCCTTTTGTACACGGTTCTAACCTGAGCTACATAAGCCTCCACATCCTTCAGGTTGCCCTTTTGTACACGGTTCTCACCTGAGCTACATAACCCTCCACATCCTTCAGATTGCCCTTTTGTACACGGTTCTCACCTGAGCTACATAAGCCTCCACATCCTTCAGATTGCCCTTTTGTACACGGTTCTCACCTGAGCTACATAAGCCTCCACATCCTTCAGATTGCCCTTTTGTACATGGTTCTCACCTGAGCTACATAAGCCTCCACATCCTTCAGGTTGCCCTTTTGTACACGGTTCTTACCTGAGCTACATAAGCCTCCACATCCTTCAGGTTGCCCTTTTGTACATGGTTCTCACCTGAGCTACATAAGCCTCCACATCCTTCAGATTGCCCTTTTGTACATGGCTCTCACCTGAGCTACATAAGCCTCCACATCCTTCAGGTTGCCCTTTTGTACACGGTTCTCACCTGAGCTACATAAGCATCCACATCCTTCAGATTGCCCTTTTGCACATGGTTCTCACCTGAGCTACATAAGCCTCCACATCCTTCAGGTTGCCCTTTTGTACACGGTTCTCACCTGAGCTACATAAGCCTCCACATCCTTCAGGTTGCCCTTTTGTACACGGTTCTCACCTGAGCTACATAAGCCTCCACATCCTTCAGGTTGCCCTTTTGTACATGGTTCTCACCTGAGCTACATAAGCCTCCACATCCTTCAGATTGCCCTTTTGTACACGGTTCTCACCTGAGCTACATAACCCTCCACATCCTTCAGATTGCCCTTTTGTACACGGTTCTCACCTGAGCTACATAACCCTCCACATCCTTCAGGTTGCCCTTTTGTACACGGTTCTCACCTGAGCTACATAAGCCTCCACATCCTTCAGGTTGCCCTTTTGTACATGGTTCTCACCTGAGCTACATAAGCCTTCACATCCTTCAGGTTGCCCTTTTGTACACGGTTCTCACCTGAGCTACATAAGCATCCACATCCTTCAGGTTGCCCTTCTGTACACGGTTCTCACCTGAGCTACATAACCCTCCACATCCTTCAGGTTGCCCTTTTGTACACGGTTCTCACCTGAGCTACATAAGCCTCCACATCCTTCAGGTTGCCCTTTTGTACATGGTTCTCACCTGAGCTACATAAGCCTTCACATCCTTCAGGTTGCCCTTTTGTACACGGTTCTCACCTGAGCTACATAAGCCTCCACATCCTTCAGGTTGCCCTTCTGTACATGGTTCTCACCTGAGCTACATAAGCCTCCACATCCTTCAGGTTGCCCTTTTGTACACCGTTCTCACCTGAGCTACATAAGCCTCCACATCCTTCAGGTTGCCCTTTTGTACACGGTTCTCACCTGAGCTACATAAGCCTCCACATCCTTCAGGTTGCCCTTTTGCACATGGTTCTCACCTGAGCTACATAAGCCTCCACATCCTTCAGGTTGCCCTTTTGCACATGGTTCTCTGCATACACAAACTGCAGCTTCTCCTTGAGGTGAGTGAGGACCTGCACCGTGCTTGTGATCTTCTTCCTCAACTTCAGCAACTCCTGCAGAGAAAACGTAACGATGATTTCAGTCAGGAGGTTACATATATGCCTTGGGTGGAGCAAAGACTTACAGACTAACAACTTTCTACCCCTGAGGCCTGAGCAAGTCTAATCAGTATTTCAGTATTATCATGTTGTGTCAGTTTTAAATATGGGATGAAAGTGATGTGATGCAGGTCTCAGACATTTACCACTTCAATGAAACTCACATGCATGTGTTTGGTGCTGACAGACCAAGGATCCTTAAACCGACGGACATTATCGTAATAACATTATGTCATTGCATCTGTATTACACTACACATAGGCAATGGGTCAGGGACTTAAAGTGGAAGAATCCATTCTCTTGTGCACTGAAATGTGTGATATCTGTGCCCTATATTGTCGCAATCTATAGTCCTGTTGCTATATGATGCTGGTCGGTACAAATCGATCAGGGTAAGGCCAACCAGTTGTTGATATGATAGGCACACAATTCACACTCATGGGGTAGGAAGACAACCATGACACATCTGCCCCAGAATCCCCATGAGGTGTGGCACGAAGGCTTCTGTTCTTGAATGTAAGCATCACTCATTACCTCATTTCTCTCTTCAATCTTCTCATTGTAAGTCTGGTTCTCAATCTTCAGCTGCTCAAAGTCAATCAGGTGAAGACCTTCGGCCAACTCTTCCTGTGGACACAGAAACCATCACATGTACTATCACAGAAAACATCAATATTATTTTCAGTCTGCTTCAAGAAATCAATCATCAGTCATAATCAATTACTAATATTTTGAGTAACATGGTAGCCTATCCTCCATCACAATGGTGTCAGCTCTCACTCACCTTGGATTTCAGCTGTTGCTCCTTCTTCTTCAGTTTATTTTTCAGTTTGATGTTCTCGAGTCGGACTGTCACAACCTCTCCCTCCTTCCTGTTGGCATTGGACAGATACTGCTCGATGTCCTGGAACAGCCATTAGAAAGTTGGTGAAATGTAAACTGTAGTGTGATCAAATTAAAAATACACTACTGTGGCAGCCATAAGCCATACCCTTCAAGCCAGACCCATGGCAATAGTTACATTACTTCCTGGCCTTCTACATCTTGTCAACACTTGTCCAAAAATGATGATGATGATGATGACTGCACACATCTCAGCTCCCGGGGAAGAATACAACTCAGATGTTATTATCTATATAGATAAGCAGTATAATTAACACTCCACTGAATAGGCATCTAGAGTACAACTGTAACTGTAAATGAGTCTTCCATCACTGACCTTGGGTGGGATAGGTTTGCCAGAGCGACTGTTGATGGCGTTGAGTGCCACCTGGTTGCGGAAGTCCATAAACTTGCTCCTCTCCTCATCAACCTTGGCCTTCTTCTCCTCACACCTGTCCTTGAACTCCTCGATCAGTAACTGGGAGTTCTCCCCCTCGTGTTGCTCCTGCCGACGCAGTTCCTCCAGCTGAGCTGAAAGGACATCATCCAGTGAACAAGATTAGTCATAATTATTCCCAGTCTGTCCCCTACATGTCATAACATCGGGACATGAGGGGTTGGTCTTTTCATAAGTTTTCAGACTTTTATTGATTCCTGGATTCATATTATTAACCTATGGCTACCTACCCATATATTTGAGGTATCTTTGTTCCTGGTCAGTGACATTTTTGTCATAGTCTTGTCTCTCGTCGGCCTTCTTCTTCCTGAAGTACTCGGCCAGCTTGTGCTGCAGCTGGTAGTTCTGCCCCTGCAGCTGTTCCCTCTCCTGTAGAGCAGCCTGCAACACCACACACATCTCACTGTGTTGTCTGTCTCACTCACTCACCCACACTGCCGTCCCTTCCACCCAGCCCTTACTGTAATGCTAGAGCCTATATGAAGTCTACAAGTCTAGATTTCCACCATCTTCCCGAGGCAAGGGAGTTAACTGACTATAAAAGTCAAGTTTCATCCCTTGCCGAACTAGGTTGCAATTTTCAGTGTCGATCATATCGCCATCAGTGGCTATTACGGTTATGTCCTTTCTATATCACTGCTATGGACTAATCAGATTACACCTCTCATATTCCTTGCAATTGCTTCCAACAAAATGGCGGCGCCCAGTGAAGACGATCTGGTCAACAATCAAAATCAGTATTGTGTTAAAACAGGTCTTACTTCGCGAAGTGCATCAAATCAGGTGAGTACCTTGAATAAAAACACGAAAAGATTTGGGAAATATCTGTTGACACTGAGTCGGGGGTACATATGGTTTGCAAATCCTGCACTCGACCGAAATCTGCACACAGTTTACGAACCGGATGTCGTTTTCATTACACGATTTTGATTGGACTATGCATAAACTCACTAGTCCAGTCAAAATATAACTCCATAATTTCAGCCTAGTTCAGCAAGGGTGGAAACTGGACTATTATAATCAGTTAACTCCCCTGCCTCGGGAAGATGAATTTCACAGGTTCAGGCTGAATGACCCATCTCCCACTGATTATTTTACCATTGGACCATGTGTCACATAAGTCACATTGATTACTTACTCTTGAACCCTGTAATAAATATGTCACATTGTTTTATTTTACCTTGGACCCTGTCTTTTATGCCTGGGACACTGATTGATATGAGTCCCGAATATGTAATCATATGTTGTTATCAAGTGAGGGAGTGAGTTGGGTTTAACACCGCTGTTAACAGTATTCCAGTTATATCACGACATGTGAGCTTAATGTCGGAGAAAAGCCCGAAGTGATGCAGGTCGCAGACGTTTACCACTTTGGTGAAACCCACAAGCACAGGTGTGGTCCTGACAAACCTAGAAACATAATCAGGGCAAACCAGGATTTGAACCAACTCACAGCTAATTGCAGCGCCTTGGACGACTGGGCCACCGTGCCCCATTGTTGTTGTCAAGGCATCATTTACACCAACATCGATGTACTCTCACAAGGGTATCACAGGGGGATTTAACACATCACAAAGTGAGATTTGAAGGTCAGCACATACATGATATCTCTCTATGAGCAGATCTCTGTCAAACTCGGGTTCTTCAGCTTCCACTTCATCATCTCCTTCCCTCTCCTCCCTCTCATCCTCCTCATACAACGTCTGCTGAACCGGCTCACCCATCTCTGGAGATGCTGAAACACCAACAACATCATTTTAGGAGAGCAAATCAGTGAATAGTACATGGTACATCCATCAGTCAACAAGTTTCCCATTACCAACAGAGTAGATGTCTTTGCTTTAAAGGATGTATTTAACTGGTGCTGCCAGTGATGACAGCTTACCTTTCTGAGCATTCAAATATTAATGAAGTAAAGGCAAACTATCAAAGTCAGGGCAAGTAAAATTGCTTTTGTCACAGACTGGAGTGAGTGAGTGAATGAGTATGGTTTTACGCCACTTTTAGCAATATTCCAGCAATATCACAACGGGGGACACCAGAAATGGGCTTCACACATTGTTCCCATGTCGGGAATCGAACCCGGGTCTTCGGCATGACGAGCGAACCCTGTAACCACTAGGCCACCTGATCACAGACTGGAAGGCACAACGTATCACTGATGTAAGTCTCGATAGGTAATTCTAACATCTATGTGAAAATGCTGATATGTTTGAACTTTGTAATAAGTTGAATTCGAAGATCTTCAAATGCACCTGCTCTCAACCAATGTACATCAATTAATCAAAACAGTTTCAACAGAAGGAACTGAAAGCTTTGTAAAAGAAGAAATTTACCTTGTCTATCTGGTGTGGTTGGAACCAACATGTCTGGTTGGATTGTCTCCCCTTGATCACCAGTAGGAGTTGGCTCCCTTGATAGTTTCTCCCCAACACCCAAAGTACTCTCTGGCCTCTCTCCCTCAGCAAATGTGTCACTCTGGTTGAAAAGTTACATAGTATCAAAATTGATATTTGGTTAAATAATCATCTGCAGATGATTAGAAAAAAGAATGAAGCATTATTATTTGTTGTCTAAATATAAACAATGATTAATAATGATCGTTCAATTCAACAGATGAGTTGTGCTAATTAGTGGCAGGTCATGTTCCCCTGTAAGTATATTTGTAACAGTTAATTATAAAGAAGCAGCTGATACAACTAATTCACATATTTTGGTGCTCATTCTGTTAATGTCCTTTATACTCGCCATGCACATGTATGCAAAAATATATAACTTTTTGGAAAACAAGATTTCAGGCTATGTGAAAAATGACAGATGTAATGATTGTATGGTGTATAGCCTTATCTAATAAAACATCTATTAAGCACCTGATGTCACAGATATATATAGTTTGTCAACAGAAACAAATCTAGGTAAGATTTTCTTATGATTAGTCATTAGTCAACACTGCAGTGTTGTGTGGAAACAGAATAACATTTTAATTTATGTCAAATGATATATCACTATCATAACAATAAAAAAATATAAATCTAACAATTGTGGACTTATAAAATACAAAAAAAATCCGAGATTTTCAAGAATTTGATATTCTTACTCTATTCAAGTGTAAAAACATTATTTACCTGAGGCAGGGGTGACTTGCCCTCCTCTTCTCTCGGGGTGTCAGTCTGTTCAGCCCCTTCCTCCTTAGCTTCACCCTCAGCCTGCGCCTCCCCATCTCCTGCCTCAGCCGGCCCTTCCCCAGTTTCAGCAGGTGCTTGTTCTCCCTCAGCTGCCCCTTCCGCTCCACCCTCCCCATCTGCTTCCCCCTCTGGCTTCACCTCCCCATCAGGTGCCTCCTTACCCTCTCCCTCTGCCTCACCCCCCTCTGTCACAGCCTCCCCGCCTTCTTCCACTGCTGGTTCACCTTGAAAAAAGAGGCCATGCTTAGCACACTGAAACAACTACTAATACACACGTTTTTCAGTCGCATACTTGAAGTTATCAAGTGAGACCTTTATTCAGTAAAATAAAACGAATAAAAAATCAAAACAAGCACAAAAAGTAGAAATAGGCTTTTATCGTTATTCTATTCATCTCCAAATCTCAGTGTTAAACAAATATACCCTGATGTCTCTCCACTTACGGTCTGCGACTTTAGCCACTACTCCAAAGCCAAGTCTAGTAAAATTAGGTTTGGTCAGTTAAGAACAGGTCATTAATGCCATATGATAACAGTAAAATCTATTGAAAATTATGCTAGGACTAAGAGCCATGTTTGTGGCAGTGGACAAAGGTTTGAGCACAGACTGCACTTGTGTACTGGAGTGATGTGGTGTACTAGGTAGATGCTGTGGATGAAAACAGGCTAAATACACAATTTAACACTGATTTACAAGTGTGTGTTTTTCTTACATCAATGTGTAACAACATGGCCATTAACGACATGTTCAACCAGAGCATCATCACCTACACCTTTTCTACACATGGGCAAGACCAGATAATGGCTCCTACCTTCCTTTTTTTCTGCCTCTCCCTCAGTTTGTTGCTCTCCCTCCCCTGCTGCGGGGGTCTGGGGTTTCTCCTCTCCATCCTCAGTTTTCTCTCCCTCAACAGCCCCTCCTTCACCTTCACCAGCAGGAGTTGCTTCCCCTTCCTTAGCTTCTCCTTCAGCTGGGGCTTCGGCCTCAGGTGCTGGGAATGATTATTCTAATAAAACAAGCCGTTCCCAGGACAAACACCATCATGACTGGTGGATAACTTGAATTTTAAATTAATCCTAAATTGGAAGTATTTTTGTCAGTGCAATTATTTAATTGCACTAACAAAAATAATTCGAAATTAGGATTCAAACATGGTAATGTCAGCAAGACAGGACTATTTCTTTAGCAAAATATATTTGAATATATATACATGTATATCAAAACATGTTTTCGAGACTAGCTACTAGGCCAAGAAAATTTATACTACACTGAGGTTTTAGCATGTTTGGGTATGAGATCTATTTTGGGAAACATTAATATACAAATCTGCATGTGTGTGTGTATTATTTAACAATACAATCAGCAATATTACATCCATATGATGATATCCTGTAAGTTATCAAGTCTTGACCAGACATTCCAGGGATCGATATTATGAAAAATGATCCATGCCACAAATATACAAATGAAGTAAATATAGTCCATTAAAGTCTGAAGAATAAGCTGTTATTGTGATTTCAGTTACACAATACAAATAGTCTGCAACAACAATGTTCCACTGGATGAGTCAAAAAGACTTTCAATTTTCATTATCCTCCCTATATATTTACTCTATGTAAAAAAACAAGTCAATAAGTATGATTATATTTAATCTATCTACCTGCATCCCCATCAGGTTGTTTCTCTCCCTCCTGCTCAGCCTGCTCTCCCCCTCCATCGCCTCCCGTCCCCTCCGGAACCTCTTCAGGTGCAGCACCTTCTGCAGGTGCTTCTGCAGGTACTTCAGCAGGATCAGCAGCAGCCTCTGTGGCTGGAGGTGTTGCCTCCTCAGTTGCCTCAGTTGCTTCAGCTTGCTCAGGAGCTGCAGGTGTTTCTGTTTCCTACAAAAGTAGTTAGTATTCTTCAATTTCCAACATATCACTGGGCTGCCTGCTGTGTCACCAAGGCACCTATTACACAGGTATTCACTTTGGAAGATATCTTCCCATGGCAAGAGAGTAAACTGACTTTAAACGTCCAGTTTCCACCCTTGACGAACTGGGCTGGAGTTCCTGGGCTCGATCGTAACGCCACCAGTGGCTATTATGAGTTATGTCCCTTTTAAGCCTCTCCTATGGACCAATCAGATTCCATCACTTGCATTTGTTTCAAACAAAACGGTGGCGCCCAGTCAAGACGATCTGATCGTTAATCAAGATCTATGTTGTGATAAAACGGGTCTTACATCACGAAGTGCATCAAATTGCGCGGGCACCTTTATAAAAAACATGAAAAGATTTGGAAAATATCTGTTGACAACGAGTTGGTGGTGGACATTCTTTGCAAATACTGCAATCGACCAAAATCTGCGCGACAGTTTACGGATTTCCATAATACCAGCCTAGTTCAACAAGGGTGGAAACTGGACTTTTATAGTCAGTTTACTCCCTTGCCTCGGGAAGATGATTGGAGGACTGAGTTGTTGAGTCCTCTCTGCCAAAAACTTGAATGAGTTTAATATGTGGTTATCATTTTTACAGATTGCAAATGCACAAACCTGATTTTATCATGAGATTGAAAGCACACATGATTTTAGTATACACACCCTTTTTTAGGGATCCAGATCTATTTGGTACACAATACAGGTGTTGCCGACAGCCTTATTTCTACTTTGATCCATCTTAAGGCTGCACCTCAACTGTCTACATATAAGGAGTTGTACGTGCTACCCATACCTGACTTATCGCCTAAGATCGGAAAAGTGAAGGTTGTGTGAAAATTATGCTCATGCGGCACTGGATCTACCTCTGGCTATAAAATTACTCAGAGGTGGAGAATATTAAATTTCCTATTTGATTGTGTAAAGTTAACTGCAAATATTAAACCGGTTTAAAAAAAATACACTTCTAAGTGTTGTCCGAGAATTTATTCTGTGTTGAAAAACAGTAAATTTATCCGCTTTTTATCGTACACCGATAAAAGTACTGTGCAACAAATTTTTTTATTTAGACGCTTTACGGAAACTGTGAGCGAACAAAATACTGCCTAATAGCTGAACGACATAACTACGTATCAAATGGTGTTATATGCATATGTATAACGACATACATTCAATGCCTAAAATACATGCCGTAAATGACGAAAACTGATTTTTCTCTATGATGTCAAAAGGCGATGGAGAAGTTACACACGTACAAAGAAAAGGGGGCATAACTCTGCTATGCTTAGCACTAGTTGTAATCAAATGTAATGAAATACCCCAAAAAATAACACCATTCCTTTTGACGTCATGGCTGGTTTTATGTCTTTGATAACATCGGAGAAAGACGACTCTGGTATTTTGATTGATATATATCTCCCTTAATTTGAAAATCTTGATGTGTAAAACGGAATTTGACGCTTTTTCGATACAGCATAAAATCACTGCTTTCACCAAGTAAATAATGTCTTGAATATGTAAACAATTAGATAGTCTATCGTGGATCTTAACTGGACAAGACACGAACCTGTTTGGCATCAATTTACGTAATGAAATACCCAAAAGAATATTCCAAAACAACCAAAATTATATTCAATATTGGACATATAATTGTTCATTATTATGTTATTATTTCTCTTCATCTCGTCTCAGAATTACACAATAAAAGATGCTAAGAAAGCTTTATTGGTATAGAATTATCAGGATAATCGTATAAGGTTGAACCAACGGAGTACCTGGCATGGGTTTTTCTTAAATACTTTTTTACAATTCCTGGAGAAATAAAGTAAACAGTTTAATATCTTGTGATCACAATATTGAAAAAAGAAAGAACCCATTGATTTATGTAATGCAAAACGAAAGGAATAAATCATAAATTGTTTGTGACTAACGCGCACCTGGCGAATTGTTAGATATCACTGTTCGGTGTATCGAACGACATAAAAAAAATTCCAAGACCAAGACAATTCTTTCAGAAATGTGTGCATATATTTTAACGAAAAATATTATCCATTTTCTTAAAGTAATATATTCAGCTTTAGTTATAAGATAAAATGAAACGGCTATTCATGGACATTGGTTATATGAACTTATAATATTGACTATTACACATCCCAATAAATACATACATGCTGCAGTTACATTTACACTTCATCTTGTAACACCTGTCCAAAGGAAAGAAATATCATATTCGACACTATAAAGCTATCAATTATGATGTAATCAATGTTCAAACAAACAGGAGGTTATCAAAGTTTTGTCCATACATGTTGTGGCCTATATTTACGTATGATATCATTTTGAACATTGACAAATATCCAAAGTGAAATTATTTGTGTGAAAAAATGTATAAAAGATGTGCAAAATCTACATCATGACTGAAACTGTAAACAGCATGGTACAATGATCGTGTGCACTCTCATTCAAGGACCTTCACCTCAAAGAAATTACCAAATATGTACAACAATGTTGACATATGACATCACTACCGGTGACCGACTTTTACAAAATGGCGTGTTCACTGTCATCAGTACGCGGGACTTTACAAGGGGACTTTCGTTGATTCAGGGTTCGTATATGTATATATGTGACATGTAAGTAATCAGAAACATTCTGATAATCTGTGTACTGTTATTTGTTGTTATAATTTTCATTGCAACCAACGGAAATAGTCAGAAATTCCGATAAATACTGTTGTCGCTGTCCATGATTTTGCGTCAGTCATGGCGTCACACAGGACAGTAACTTTGATAATTTCTGTTGAAACTATCAAATCATTGCAATGTATCTCTTTTAAATTCCATAATTCTTCCTACAATTCTCTTCCCATGCATATTCTGAAAATGTTGAGCCAAATAGAAGAATGGAAAACAAATAGATGGGTGGAAAGCTCAAAATAGGAGAAAATGCTACACTGTGTAAAATCTGAATTTTGCTTTGTTTACATTTCAAACAAGTGCAGATTTTTTAGGACAGCATTCGTTTTCACAACCAACTTATTTTGCTTGATTTCATCTAGCCACTTTGTATTGGTGACAAAGACCATTGGTCATTTGATTCTAAAATGTATGAGGAATTCAAAGATGTATATATGGCAGCTAAGTTTGAAATATACGTGATGTTACAGACGTCTCATAACAGGTGTACCTGAAACCTGAAGTTGTAAACACTATCCAATATGGTGGAAAGTTTACTTCGGCGTTCGTGTTTGCATATTTTCCAAAACATCCGAAACGATTCTAGGGTTATTGGAGACGTTTTGGGATTATCATTGGTGATTTGATAAGAGACACATACCCATGATCACTAATATGCTATTTTTGAAATTCATTTCTCTGAGTAAATATCCGAAATCTAGATTTCAAAACATGCTGTAAATAACGCCGTGAGTGGTGATTTAGTAATGCTAAAAAATTGCGACATTTACGATGAACCTGATTTTCAGAGGTCATTTTCAGTACTTTTGCGTGGCCTAAAATGGCAGTGGATGATACCACAGAACAGGGAATTTCCCACCTTATTCAAAACTGTGAAGAGTATTTGTGTGGGTGATGAATTTTGAAGTTTATTGGACTTCAAAGTGAGGGTTGTAGAGGAAGGCACCCAGGGGGTTGAGTGTTAGGATTTTTAGATTTTTTTAAAAATGGAAATATAAACAAAACGTGCAATGAACTTTATGATGATGCGGGTGGTGCCTGAGAACCAAGACTATTATTTTTTCAGCCTAAAATGTTTTCTGTAATACTTGTTACACTAAACACTAATTAGTAGTGAAAATAAGAAGTGAAAACGTTGTTCTGGCCGTTTTGACTATGGGTTAGAGACCATTTTGACACTTTTTCGTGGCCGTTTTGACTTTTGAGTTTTGGAAGGTTTTGTCTTGAGGCCGTTTGGACCACGACCCCATAATTATACCAAGAACACTATGTTATTGATCACTGACTTCGCGCCGTAAGTGTGATGTCAGTATATTTTCTCATTTATAAACGCACTACCATGCATAGCCAATCAGTGCTTATATATATTTTGCCTATTTTACCTCTATAATATTATATACATCATACATAACATGGACAGTCAATTGTCACCTGTTAGCCTGGTAGTATAGCCTACAGTAATCAACACCTTTCTGATGTTGACGTTTCTTGTAATTTGTTACAGGCAAATAAATACATTTTAATGAAACTCCGTCTTCGAATACTTGTCTGGGACAACTAGAAGCCGGACCCTGCGACACAGGTAGTTGGGGACTGATGCACGATATCTATTTAATGTTTCATTAATGAAATGTATTAGTAGTACTAAAACACTAGAGATCTTATTCTGCCGTTTTTCGTCCCTCTGAAGTTGACAGCTGGTAAAGAAAGTGGAGATCGGAGTTTCGTGAAAGACAAAACGTTTGCTTTACATTGTACCCTATTATAGCTATATATCTGGCCGGGAGGTGGCATCGCCAACACACAAGCATGCGATAATTTAGGGTTAGGATTTTGTAAAACTTACTTGTGTGTCCGCCATCTTGGTTGTCAAGTAAACTGTACACTATGGGTATGCCGGGAAGTATTTCCTGGGCTCCGTCTCGCGCACATGCACTGTTAAAGCTTCTTCACAGCGCGTGTAACTTCATTTATACTCTGGGAGTAAACAACTATCGTTGTGAGGAGCTCGCTCCTAATCCAACAGCGCAGTCATAACAGTAGTTTATGGCTTTATTAAACACCATAATATAAGGTGGAAAACAAATAAATGAAGAGTTTAGTGATTTTTAATACCATTTTATCGTTGCATTAACTCATCTCATCTCTACCAACTAACAAACTAGTTCCAGACCCTTGAAAAGATAAACATTACCTCCGGTGCCCTTTGACCCCTGACCTAGAAATATTTGGAGGGAAATTCAGTGACGCGGTGTTGAGAATTATTTTACAAAATCAACGAAATATATCAAAATGATGTCTTCAAATCACCTGATCCCATCGCCCACCGTAGTTACCAGCGACAGAGGACAGATTCAGGTAAAACATGAAGTCTATCATCAGTTGTTCATAATACATCGAATATGAACATATGCAATATGGGACATATTGCTCGTCAGGCCAAGATGTATGGATTGAGGGGCATGTAGATCTATTAATATTCATTTTTTATCGTGTTTATCTTCAATCCATTCTCCAATATTTTTTAAAGTTTAATGTTTATATATTCTGATACTCTTTAAAATTTTTAAATTGGATATTAGATGCGATAACATTGTATCATTAATGTATCAGGTCTCGATTAGGCCCCTAAGGAACTTAAATTGATTTAACCTGTACCAGTTGCATGTTGACGTGAAAAGCTAGTTGCACCTGACTGAACTAGTCTAAATGTAAAGTAAAATCACAGAATCGCCAATGCCTGTCATGTCATGAAACCGACACAACACAGTGATTAGTGATATAGTCACATATGTAGTATGGTAAATAAAACCAGAGACCATATAAAAGATCTGTTATATGGTCTCTGATAAAACTATGTTGAGTTGTTCAAAGATTGATCCTGTGGGATTAGTCATGTACAAATTTGCATTTTTTTACGTGTACTTGGTGCATGTAAACATCAATACTAGGTTGTATTTTTCAACAATAGGTTGCACTGGTGCATGTTTTACGTAGCTAAATCGAGCCCTGTTTATATAAGGGTAGTTCATGTTCTTTGTATATCATTTTAATGACAGTGAATATTTGTACTTATGACTCAACATTCACAGATAATATCTCCAAATGCAAGAGACTAAGAAATTAAAATTAAGAAAATTAATCAATTTAAACAATTTAATGAGTTTGTATTAGTGTTTGAGGTTGAAATGGTTATGTTTTTCCTGCAGAATTTACTGCAGAATTTGTAATTTAAGCCTAAACAAATTTGGTCATTTTACCGCAGAATTCGTCTGGGCTGACAAGATGGTTGATTGCAGTGTGTAGTACAGTGTGTGATTGTAGGTGATGAGGTGATGAAGGCTGATGGGATGGACCAATGGGACAGTAATCTTGGTCTCTGTTGATGGACATCTTGAATCTTTCATTGAGAATGGCTTCTAGTTCTATGTACATGTCTGTTCACATGATGATGTCTGAGTCAGACAATATAGCCTCTAGTCCAAAGCCTGTCTAGTCGATAGTAGTAACATTTCTTAGCAGGGGTAGAACTTAACACTAGCCTGCTAGCCCAGGGCTAGTAAAATTTCCTGCAGGCTAGTACAAACTTCTAATTTCCCCATTGTTTCAACATATCAAGGGCAATTTATCTTCACCTGGGCTAGTGAAGGTTTCTAGTTTAGTTCTAACCCTACTTAGTCTGATTCGGTCAGCTTACATAACAATAATAGTCCGTATTAGGGATGGGACGGGTCCAAATTTACTATCTCGGGACCCGACCCCCTATTACCCAACCCCAACCCTACCCGGGTACCCACTGTAGGTCTCAAGTTGAGTACAAAATATACTTGTTTTTTGGAATTGTTTCACTGGAGCTCTAGCAAAAAGTATACAGATATGCGAAAATAACAATCTGGTCATGCATACATTGAAGTTGATTGAAGCTACATTTTTATTGAAACCTATAAAGGTCAGAAGGATGGTTCATAGTGAGTAAGAAATGCGAAATGTGTGACTTGTAGTGTAACCACATGACTAACCAGTGTTAGAAATAGACCTGTAGTCCTTGCCCAATAGTAAAGGTATCATAAGGACGGGTAGAAATTTGACATTTTTAAGGGTTTAGCTATATGTTATTATTATAAGGACTAGTGGACTGGGGGCACGGGTGGCCCAGTCGTCTAAGGCGCCGCGATTCGCTGTGCAGAGTTGCGTCCCTTGGGCACGCCAGAAACCTATGATTGTGATATAACTGGAATACTGTTAAAAGCGGAGTTAAACCCAACTCACTCAGTCACACTAGTGGACTAAATATGTTAGTTTCTACCCCTTCTAACCACGGGTCTGGGTAGTCCTGTGGATATCAGCGTCCAAGTCAGTACCCACCAGACCCAGGTACCCGTCCCAGCCTGAGTTCACATTTGTGAAAATCCACTCAATTTGATTGTACTATTTTGCTGAGGTAATGTTTAGATTCTTAATAATGATATTCATCATGTTACTTGGTATGACCATGATTACTGTATGTATGGTAATATACAGACTAGTAACCATGGTTACATTAGACATGTCATCACCTGATAATCTTGTAATGTATTTGTTTGGTATTTTGCAGATAATCTTTGGACCTATGTTCTCGGGGAAAACGTAAGTAATCACAGAAATATTCTTTTGATTACACAATCTACACAATATGCAGGCATTCACTACATGGTTTACATGGTTTAGATAGGAAACAAGTCCTTCCTGATGCCTCAAGATTGAAGTTATAATTTATATAATTACATATTAATTCTTCTGGGACTGTATAGGAAAATATTGACACACAAGGTTGGTTGGTTTGGTTTGTTGTTTAACGCCGCACTCAGCTATATGACGGCGGTCTGTAAATAATATTGTTAAAAGCAGTGTAAAAAACATACTCATCATATTCAGCATAATTTTATGCAGAAATGTTGACATGGTTCATTTCTCTACCCGTGAAGGTTCCGGGGTAGAATGGGTCTTCAGCAACCCATACTTGCCGTATAAGGCGACTATGCTTGTCGTAAAAGGCGACTAACAGGATCGGGTGGTCAGGCTCGCTGACTTGGTTGATACATGTCATTGATCCCAATTGCGTGGATCAATGCTCATGATGTCAATCACTGGATTGTCTGGTCCAGATTGATTATTTTACAGACTGCTGTCATATAGCTGGAATATTGCTGAGTGCGGCGTTAAACAACAAACAAACAAAACAAATATTTCTCTACAACCTGTTCAACTCTCTTCTGGAAAATTTGTATGTAGCTTCAACATGTTCAACATGTTAAATGAGTGTGCTCAGCAGTTTGCACAATAGAAGGTGCATTGTGCTGTGTCCCCAACGGTAGCGTTGATGCATGTCATCGATCCTAATTGCGTGGATCGATGCTCTTGATATCAATCACTGGACTGTCTGGTCCAGAATCAATTATTAACAGAACGCCATCATATAGCTGGAATAGTGCTGAATTCGGCATTAAACAACAAACCAACCAAACAACAGTAGCATTGAACTGCAACATATTTTGATAATTTTGTATTTTAGAATTAGAAAAAGCTTAATACTTTTAGAACACACCTGCAGGCAATCTTGAAAATTATAACTGTTTTTCCCATGTCATTGAAGCATCTTACAGTTTTGAAGAGAATGTTAACATGTCTATGATTGCTAACATGGTTTGTTTCTTCCTCCAGCACCGAGCTAATGAGAAGAATGAAGAGATACCAGGTAGCTAACTACTCCTGTCTCATAGTGAAATACGCCAAAGACACCCGCTACGACAATAACGGCATCGCTACACACGACAGGTAACTGCAGCATATTGACTCTATAGTCCTAACTCAGGCCTTAACAACGAAGGGATCTGGCTCTAGTTTCTCGACAGCCTAATTTAAGATACTGAAACTCACTCTGTGTTTTCAGTGGTATGCAGACTACACATGAAAATATATATCAAACACTGCTAACTTTACAGTAGTTCTACAACATAGTTGCACGGTTGTTGCTTTTGGGGGAGGGGTGTGTGTTTTTTAATGCCAACCTACCAATATCTAGCCCTTTTTTCCAAATAGTGTATTCTGAAACTAAAGAGAGACCAGTAGTCAGAAACTAGGGACCAGTAGTCAGAAACTAGGGACCAGTAGTCAGAAACTAGGGACCAGTAGTCAGAAACCAGGGACTAGTAGTCAGAAACCAGGGACTAGTAGTCAGAAACCAGGGACCAGTAGTCAGAAACTAGGGACCAGTAGTCAGAAACCAGGGACTAGTAGTCAGAAACCAGGGACTAGTAGTCAGAAACCAGGGACCAGTAGTCAGAAACCAGGGACCAGTAGTCAGAAACCAGGGAACAGTAGTCAGAAACCAGGGACAAGTAGTCAGAAACTAGGGACCAGTAGTCAGAAACCAGGGAACAATAGTCAGAAACCAGGGACCAGTATTCAGAAACCAGGGACTAGAAGTCAGAAACCAGGGACCAATAGTCAGAAACCAGGGACCAGTAGTCAGTAACCAGGGACTAGTAGTCAGAAACCAGGGACCAGTAGTCAGAAACCAGGGACCAGTAGTCAGTAACTAGGGACTAGTTGTCAGAAACCAGGGACTAGAAGCCAGAAACCAGGGACCAATAGTCAGAAACCAGGGACCAGTAGTCAGAAACTAGGGACTAGTAGTCATTTACTAGGGACTAGTAGTCAGAAACCAGGGACTAGTAGTCAGAAACCAGGGACTAGTAGTCAGAAACCAGGGAACAGTAGTCAGAAACCAGGGACCAGTAGTCAGAAACTAGGGACCAGTAGTCAGAAACCAGGGAACAGTAGTCAGAAACCAGGGACCAGTAGTCAGAAACTAGGGACCAGTAGTCAGTAACTAGGGACTAGTGGTCAGAAATCAGGGACTAGAAGCCAGAAACCGGTGACCAGTAGTCAGAAACCAGGGACCAGTAGTCAGAAACCAGGGAACAGTAGTCAGAAACCAGGGACCAGTAGTCAGAAACCAGGGAACAGTAGTCAGTAACCAGGGACTAGTAGTCAGAAACCAGGGACCAGTAGTCAGAAACCAGGGACCAGTAGTCAGTAACTAGGGACTAGTTGTCAGAAACCAGGGACTAGAAGCCAGAAACCAGGGACCAATAGTCAGAAACCAGGGACCAGTAGTCAGAAACTAGGGACTAGTAGTCATTTACTAGGGACTAGTAGTCAGAAACCAGGGACTAGTAGTCAGAAACCAGGGACTAGTAGTCAGAAACCAGGGAACAGTAGTCAGAAACCAGGGACCAGTAGTCAGAAACTAGGGACCAGTAGTCAGTAAATAGGGACTAGTAGTCAGAAACCAGGGACTAAAAGCCAGAAACCAGTGACCAGTAGTCAGAAACCAGGGACCAGGAGACAGAAACCAGGGACCATTAGTCAGAAACCAGGGACCAGTAGTCAGAAACCAGGGACCAGTAGTCAGAAACCAGGGACCATTAGTCAGAAACCAGGGAACAGTAGTCAGAAACCAGGGAACAGTAGTCAGAAACCAGGGGACAAGTAATCAGGAACCAGTATTCAGAAAACCAGGGACCAGTATTCAGAAACCAGGGACCAGTAGTCAAAAATCAGGGCCAAAAGTCAGCAACAAGCCAGGGAACAGTAGTCAGAAACCAGGTATTTATGTAGTCAGAAAGATGAACTGTGACTGGTTTGTAAACCACTGCTGGTACCCATATTTCAACAAATGTTGATGGTGTAAAACAAATTCAGCCTAGAAAAAAACATATGTAAAGATGGATCAAACTTGATAGCCTGCTATACTGATTAGCATGAAGGTGGTCAGAAGACCATCATACCAAACCATGGTTAAGCACAAAGTCAAAAGGATTTTCTGGTGACCTTTATAATCCAATAAAAGATTCAGGAGATCTACAAGTCCTTGTTAGAAACTCCACCCCACACATACCAACATGTTGTTTATGACTTCTAACATATTTCTACTACAGACAAGTGCTGCCAGCCATTGCTGCTGAGACACTGATGACTCTAGCCAATGAGATGATGGAGTATGAAGTCATCGGTATTGACGAGGGACAGTTTGTAAGTTTCAGTGTTATATTCAGTCATATGGCGTAAATAGCACAATTAATAATTAATTATCAGAGCTCCAGATAAGCTTTTGGTGTTGTGGGTATTTTACCCATGCATTTTAAAATCATTGGGTATCAGTAATTCTATCTGGGTATTCAAATTTCTGTTACCCACTAGTTTTTACACATGTGGGTATTTAAGTTAAATATTTAAAAACACTATTCATCTGGGTTCAAGAGCTTTATAGGACTCAAAAATACCACGATACTTCCACAAGAAAGTGTGATGGCAAATGATCATGATGTTACTGTTATCGTGGAGTTTGGCAAGGTTGACGGAATGCCGTTTATAATTTCAAAATAAGTTGCTGATTTGCTAATCAAATACGCAGGGTTACTTCACAATAATTTGATGACACGCACAAGTTTTATTTTTGTAGCGTATCTGTAATGTTGCGTATTTGATATGCTTGGATTTATCTTACTATGTATTTCTGCATTTCTGATGCGTATTTTACGCAGACACGCAGCTTATCTGGACCCTGATTATAATATACAGAAACATGTTATAAAAGTGTCAAAATATTGTGATTTAGGTCAGCATTCCTATCACCTGGGAAAAAAAGATAAGTTTGAGTTAATAAGATTTCACCTGGCACCAATGAAACCAAATAATTGTTAGAGACTGGTAGTAGTTTATGAAACTTTCCTGTCATGACCTGGTTATATTGACACCTCCGTAGTCTAGTGGATTAGGTCATTAAGGGGATAAAACAAGGACTGGGCAACTGCTGCATGGTATCTCAGAGGGCTGGCACCATAAAACCGTCATAAGTCTGAACTAGTACATGCAGCCATTGCTTTTCAGTTGACCCTAAAGGTTACCGTATTCGACGTAATAAGAGCCCCACCCTAATAAGCGCCCACATTGATATTTGCTAATATATTTGCTAGTGAACAATCCCAATTAGCACCCCTTCCGATTGATCAATGTACACAAAACTTATTTATACACCCTTAATTATGGGCAATTAAAATCTGGAAAAATACATCAGTCGTATAAACAATTCAGGCTGCCAGCGTAAACCACGAAATTTATCTTTCAACTCTTGTTGTTTTTTTCACCAAAATAATATTCTAATAAGAGCCGCTATTTCTAATTTTGAGAGCGCCCTGGGCGCTTATTACGTCGAATATGGTATATCAAGTTGTAAGAATTCAAGGTTTCACTGCAAAGATTCAGACAGTCATTCAAACAGTGTACTGTTTTTCTCTTCAGTTTCCCGATGTGGTGGATTTTGCTGATGCTATGGCAGAGAAGGGGAAAGTTGTCATAGTAGCAGCACTGGATGCGACATTCCAGAAGAAGGTTGGTTAATGTCCAATTGTTAACAGCATATCCAACTGGAAGGGTTGAGATGTGAGGTAGCCTAAAACAAGATGTACTCTAACCAGCTTATCCAATAACAAGGTGTACTCTAACAAGCTTATACGATAACAAGGTGTACTGTTACCAGTATATCCAATAACAAGGTGTACTCTAACAAGCTTATCCGATAACAAGGTGTACTATTACTAGTTTATCCAATAACAAGGTGTACTCTAACCAGCTTATCCGATAACAAGGTGTACTCTAACCAGCTTATTCGATAACAAGGTGTACTGTTACCGGTATATCCAATAACAAGGTGACTCTAACCAGCTTATCCGATTACTCAGAATGATGCAATCTATGTTTTAGGGTTTCGGAGACATCTTGAATCTCGTGCCGCTAGCAGAGCATGTGATGAAGCTGTCGGCTGTCTGCATGAACTGTTACAACGAGGCATCGTTTACCAAGAGGAAAGGAAAGGAAACAGAGGTAAGGATGGTGCTGTCTAATATATACAAGAACCATATATTATGCTGTGGTTTCACAATCATTTTGGGGGGCGGTGGGGTGGCCTAGTGGTGAAAGCGTTTGCTCGTCACACCGAAGACCCGGGTTTGATTCCCGGCTGCAAGAATGGACATCATGCAAGATTTACAAATTTTGAACTATATCGAGTGGCCAAAAAGCAGGTTGAATTTAGAGTTTAGAATATGCTTCAATTATTTTTTTTTATTTTTTTTTTTCTATTGAACCTAATTTAGGCCAAATTAACAGATTTTTATCCCAGTTTACATTACTAGCAAACACATACCTCGTACCTTTTTAACCCAATCCTTGTGGGGATTCTGTTGAAGGAGTGAGTGAGTATGGTTTCCACTTTTAGCAATATTCCAGCAATATCACGGCGGGGGACACCAGAAATGGGCTTCACACATTGTACCCATGTCGGGAATGGAACCCAGGTCTTCGGCGTGATGAGCGGACGCTTTAACCACTTGGCTACCCGACCGGCCCTTGTTGAAGGATAGGTTCCCAGTACTTGATGATATCACTATAGTGACTGTCACTTTGTTGATGATTGCTCATGCTCTTCACCACTGATTTGCCTGACCCAGGCTTTTTATAGACAATCTTGAACAATTGACTGACGTAAAACAACATTCACTCACCCTTTCACAATCATTACCAAGTCCAGCAATCTTCAGTTGACTGATAAAAGAAAAAATATATACGATGTATGTACATATATGTATATCTTGTTTTTGTATGTGTCCTAGGTTGAGGTCATCGGAGGGGCAGACAAGTATCTGGCTGTGTGTCGTGCATGCTTCAAGTCTCCGTGTAAGAAATCTCCCCGTCGCTCACCACTCAAAGACATCAACAACACTCCTCAGCAAAACACCAACCTCACAGACAAGTCCTACATCAACAGACAGCTGTTCACGTCCCCACAGATGCTGTAGTGTCACATGGTCCTCACAGCTTCGTCCCATCTGTATTACATTCAGTGTTTCCAGGGTCATTTTTAACTACTCTAAAACAATACCGGTCCCAGCAAATGTTCACCAGTCCTTATTTCAGACCTTACAATGCATGCTTATCATCACTTGTTGTCTGGATATCAGTTTGGTACTCCTTTGCAAAAATTCCTCAATCCAGTTGTCTAATGACCCAAGAGTATATTAATTTTAGCAAATGACAAGTACCTTTGTATTCAGTGCAGGGCCCACGTGCACAAAACAATCTTAGTACTAAGAGTTACGTAACTCTAGGTTAGAGTTTCCAAGCCAAGATAGCTTTGTGCAAGTGGACCCAGATAGATGTGTGGTACCCCTCATGCTTGGAAGCCAGTTATTTCTCCTGGTTTAATGTCATTTGAATTATGTTCTATTTTTATCATACTTATTCAGCAATAATTCTGCTGGACCCAGGAATCAACAGCGAGTGGAATTCACAGTCAAGGTTATATGGTACTGGTAAACAGAAACACTGAAATGAATTGCATGAACTGACACCCATCACACAGTAAAACTAAAGACTCCTGTCTCCTGCAGAGGTGTTTGGTGAATCTGTCCCTGAAACAAAGACCGTGAAACCTTGTCCTCAAAGACCGTCTCCGCAGTCTAGTGGTAGAGCGTCCGCCTGGAGAGTGGAAGGTCCGGGTTTTGATCCCCAGCCCCGTCATACCAAAAGACGTTAAAAGATGGTACTTGTTGTTACCCTGTCTGGAGTTAAATGCCCTTAAAAGTCCAGTTTTCACCCTTGCCAAACTATTTTTTGTCTGGACTGACGATCCTATGCATCTCATAGGAATAATATTTTATATAAATAAAACAATACAATAGCAAAGTGCACTTAGATATGAACAAATTATCTAATGCTTCTGAGCTACTACCCCCGGCTTTGCGATTTATCATTACTTAGTGGGGATATAGTCTCTGACCCCATTGGGATTCTGGGTTCGAATTTGTCTTCACCAACCCATGCTTGCCTTAAGAGATGACTTGGTGGATTGGGGGGTCAGGCTCGCTGACTTGATTCATGTATGTCATCATATCCCAATTGCATGGATTTATGTTCATTTTATCAATCTCTGGTTTGTCTGGTCCAAACTTGATTATTTACAGACTGCCATCATATAGCTGGAATATTGCTGAGTGCTGCATTAAACAACATACGATATAGTTTGTCATCCATGCCATAAAAAAAACTAGTTTTTAGGCTACTAGCACATATTCATTTTGTATTGGATGGCCAAGACCCGGTCTGCAAGTGACTTAAATCTAAATGAATGTGTACAAAAGTCCTTAGTTTTGTATGTTTTTAGATTCATTGATGAATTTGATTTTGATTTTACTTTTTTAGCGTTTACAAGTTTTAAGCCTAGCTTCGACACTGTATGCAGTTATTTATGACTAATTGTAAATAGATGTATGTTCTTCTTGCTATCCTAATAAACTATATATATGACCTGAGAAATACTGTTGTTGTTTTTAAATATCAGTAAAAACTATTGGCCCTTCTTGTTTGTTTTTTCACGAAGCTGTTCCAGCCATATTGTAAAGAACTGGTCCAAACCAAGGAAAACACACAACTGGGCCAGGATGTGACAGAGGTCACTACAGGCTCCACTGTAAGCCTTACAAGCAGAGGTTACTGTGGACCAGTTCTATGGTACCAATAACCACAGGTCTTGATATTCCTAGAATTAGGCTACCAGGTACCGGTACAGATCACCTTGTTATATCTCACTAGAAAGTAGTTGGGTCATTTTCAATATATGCTCCCCCATATTCTATTTACGGCTTTTAATTTCCATTCTAACGCCACGTCAAAATGTTTGATACATTGAAAAAAAAAGAAGTAATAAAAAACGGAGATAAGGGAGCCAATAGTTTGATAGTATGCTACCATTTCCTCTTTTAGTATCAAAATGTAAAAGGATCACAAACAATTATTTTTTAAATTTAACATATTTCTAAGGATTTCATGAAATCTAAAATTACATTTTTTCAGTTTTGATTTAATTGCCATTTATAAGTCACACACAAAATCTATAACTGTAAACTGTCTACCTGTAGCCATACCATGTGGTCATATAATTTTCAGTTCACCTTTTGCGTTTAATGCAGCTGTTAACAGCATTCCAGTTATATCCCAACGTGTCCACTTAATGTGGGAGGAAAGCTTGAATTGATGCAGGTCTCGGACATTTACTACATGGGTGAAACTCACAAGTTAAGGTATGGTGCTGACAAACCTAAAACCATAATTTGGGCGGACGGGGATGCGAATTCACAATCACAGGTTTCTCACGTTGCCAAGGGAAGCAACTCTGCAAAACGAATTTGCGGCATCCAAGACTGCTGGGCCACCTGTACCCCTTCATTGATAGAAATATAAAACAATAAGTCTGAGAACTGCATCACTTCAGGCTTCCTTCTTGCATTAAGCTGACATGCCGTGATATAACTGGAATACCGTATTCGACATAATAAGCGCCCAGGGCGCTCTCAAAATTGGAAATAGGGGGCTCTTATTAGAATATTATTTTGGTGAAAAACAACAGAGTTCAAAGAGCGTAAATTTCGTGGTTTATTCTGAAATGTTTATAAACGACAGATAATTCAGGGTGCATATAACAAACATATTATGCACGAATAAACAGTATTGTGTACATTTATCGATCGGAAGGGGTGCTAATTGGGATTGTTCATTAGCCAGTATATTAGCAAATATCACCGTGGGCGCTTATTAGGACGGGGCGCTTATTACGTCGAATACGGTAATGTTAAAAGCGGCGTTAAACCCAACTCACTCTCACTCAAAGAGTCAGGGTAACAAAAGAGTGCATCAAGTGTCAGCACACAACGTTACAACCCTCTTCATGTCGACTGCGACCTGGATCACACTCTGCTCCAATTATTCTATTTTTAATCAATACGTATGACTTGTCTAGAGAGTGACGGATTCAAATATTGCCTGGTTAAACAATCACACTTGAGGGTTTGTTTATCCATCCAAGTATAGAAAGACTTTAAATACATCTTGAAAATACTTGCCCATACCACCGATTCATGATAACCTCTAAATGTTTTGTTTGTTGTTTGGCAATATTCCAGCTATATGATTTGTTTGTTGTTTAACGCCACACTCTGCAATATTCCAGCTGTACGACGGCAGTCTGTAAATAATCAAGTCTGGACTAGACAATCCAGTCTTTGACATGAGCTTCAATCCACACAATTGGGATACGATGAGATGCATCAACCAAGTCAGCAAGTCTGACCACCCGATCCCGTTAAGTCGCTTCTTAAGACAAGCAAAGTTGCCATTTATGGCAAGCATGGGTTGCTGAAGACCTATTCCAGCTATATGCCAGCAACCTGTAAATAATCCAATCTGAACAGACAATCTAGTGATTGATATTGAGAGCAACAACCCACGCCACCAAGGTATGACAACACACTATCAACCAAGTCAATGAACCTGACCATCCACTTCATTTCGTTGCCTCTTACGACAAGCATGTTGTTGGGGGATCTGTCCCATCCAAGAATTCCCAAGGGGTATATAAGTGCTGTTTCAATCATTCCATCGGCATCAACAGATTACACAAAATAGACTTCTTATATAATTTATTGTGTAATGTATATAGTACTTATTTACATATAAACAACACATAAATAAACCATTGGTTGATGTGTATGTACAGGTGAGTAATGAGATGATAACCTGTTTCACTCTATACCTGACCATGTTCAGCTTTTGAATCAGTCACACATTCACTGTGACAGTACACTCTGAGTAACGAATACATCACACAGTCTACTGATGCTGAGAAAAAACACTGATCAGGGCCCTGTTGCACAAAGCGAACTCCCATACTTTAACACAGGCTTAGCGCTAAGATTGCTTTGGGCGATGGGCCCTGGGAAATAAATGCACCAAACTTAATAACAGATTCTTTGAAAATGTTATTCATATTCACATACAGATCTGAGTCGGACAAATTTACAAATATGCCAGGGAAACTGCCATAGAAACCTAGGACAGAATAGTGAGTGAGTGAGCTGGTTTAACGCCGCTTTGAACAGTATTCCAGTTATATCACGGTGTGTCAGCTTGATGTGGGAGGAAAGTCCCAAGTGATGCAGGTTTCAGATGTTTTCCACTTTGGAGAAACCTGAGGGGATGGGTATGGTGCTGACAAACCTAAAAACATAATCGGAGCAAACAGCCAGGAGTGGGATGACCTACATTCAACAAAACGATCACAGCGGTACGACTGTCGTAGTCTGTGTTGGAAGTATTGGAGTTACAATCGCCTCAGCGCTAAGATCCGGGGCCCTGTTCTACATCACTCTATGGTTGTTTAGGAGCAAATTGAAACTTTAAGTAATTAATGGCAGTGCCAAATGATAATGTATTGAGTTGCTTTTCTGGACTTGAAATTAATGGTAGTATATAGCAACAATGAAACTTAAAACAATATTCTGCTACCTGGAAAATGGTAGCCGCGATAGTCCAGCAATATCATGGCAGGGGACACCAGAAATGGGCTTCACACATTGTACCCGTGTGGCGAATTGAACCCAGGTCTTCCGCTTGACGATAGAATGCTTTAACAACTAGGCTACCCCACTGCCCGAAACATATCTGACTTAGCTGAATGTTAAGTCATGTCAGTACGAACTGTTAATTAATTAAAGCTAAATAAAGAGTGAACGTTACTTAATGCACAGTCAGCAAAATTCCACTATTGAACGGGGGTCTGTAAATAATCAAATCTGGACCAAACAAGTGACTGTAAAGTAGCAGCAAGTATCCATGGTACCATCCTTGTCAGAGTGTGACCACCCAATCCCCATTTAATTGGCTTTAGAGCCTGACCACCTAGTCCTCTTCTTAGTCATACAACAAATGAGGTACTGTGGACCTATTTTGACTAGTGTCTCAAAAGGAGGTTTAACATTGAACTGAATATATGATGAGACTATACAAACTTAAATGTCAGTAATTTCATCTTTTAACATTTGTGTGGCATGTTTGGGTTTTGACAGCATCAAGGTTACCTGTAAAAATATAAGTAGCTACATATAGCTTCTCTGCCAAAAGAATAACTTCAAGTCCTGATTATTTGTGCCATGGTGTGACATGAAAGGTTTCATAAGAAAACCTCACTCTAAGAACTTGATAATGAGGACCTGCATGTTTGTTTGTTTTTGCAAATAACATGTAAAGATAGTGATATGCATTTTATTCATCAGTTTTGAAAAGACATTTCGGAGGAATTCAATGGTAGTTTCCTAGGAGGAAGATCCTCACCAGCTGCAATGTCATGAGAGAGAAATATGTTGCTGCCAAACACCCTCTCATATTGTGTGTGGGATCAAACTCAGATATCCAGCAAGACAAGCCAAAGCATTAACTCCACCACCCCACAAGCTGCAGTGTAACACTGACAAGACATTCTGGATCACCACACACTCCGGAGGGTTCCACACCACATGACAAAGGCACATGGTGTTCTGATGTAGAAAAACTGACCTACTGCATACAACAGTATGCAAAAGAATAGCATGCCCTATGGAAAGATGCGGTGAAAGTTTTTGGCTAAATGGGCTCATGTATAATCTTTTGGGACCCATGTACACAGGATTAGTTATGTAGTTGACATGGATGTCACATTTACATAATCACTGGTATTTACTGAGAACTTCACCATCATATAGTGTAACGATAGCATTCCCTTGATCATAACTTGGTATCAGATATTTAAGTATTTTATACATATGACACACTTATAAAAGGGATGAATCATTTATTTAAGGGGTTGGGTGGGTAGTCAGTTTTTTATGCACTAATGTACTGAAAAAAATAACTCTCCCTTATGAATGCTTGTCATTTTGGATGACCTTCCCCATGCCCTTGACCTGAAAAGCCAAATAAATGCCAAAGCACTTCATATTTAATTACAAAATGCCCATTCTCAAGAACCTCCCCAAATCTGTGTACTATTTTTTCTGACCCTCCCCTAGAAACTGTCAGATTTTCTGGTGACCCTCCCCTGATGCATCCTGACCCACCTACCCCTAAAATATATGACCGGTCCCTAATTACTGGCATTTTCTGAAAATCGCATCATGTAAGAGTTACTTCATCAGACATTTTCTTAATGAAATTCTGATTCACACTTTGTAATTGATTTACAACACGGGCAGTTTAGCTTAGGTTTTCTTTTCAAGCAACTTTGTCAGACTCGGTCAGACTCGGTCAGACTCGGTCAGTATTGCTGGACTGACTGTACTGCTGATCAGGTTTGTCCACTCTCATCAAGAAGTGTGACCACACCTTGTCAGCAGAGCCCAATCCAAACTTCTTCCCAGCGTGTGACACCTTCATTACACTCTCGGTAACATCACTGCCACCAGTGTGGGTGCAGCCATTACAAGAATCTTAAAGTTTGCCCTCCAATCCCAAATGCAGACGTTTATACTTTTGTTTATGTCTTTGGGAATGATATCGGTGAATTTTGAAAAGGTTTGACACCGACCATATATCCAAGATGAATTTACCTTTTTGTTTGTACAATCAGACTGGTTCGAGACTGCAGAAGAACGGAAAATCAGCCAACATTCGCCTTACATTCTTACTATACCAATTACATGATAGTTGTAATGAAATAGAAATCCAAATTGACAAAAAAGGAAATAATTTAGCAGGGGTAAGAGTATTTGGCGTCATAAGAGTCATCACTTGTTTGAAAACATAATGGTCATTCGGTTGCGAGTTTGACTCCAAGCATGGCTGTAGCTACCTCTCATAGCAGGGAACTTTGACTGGTGGCAGTGATAGTATAGACAGCTCTGCGAACGGGCTATCGCTGTGAGGAGCTTGAGCCCCACTATGGGATGATGTGTGTTCTGAGACGAGATCACAGGATGAGCACCCACTGAGACAACACTTTCATTTGTCCATAAGACTTGCTTCCTTCATTTTGATGGTGAAGAACTTTTCCACTGTGTTAGCACACTTGTAATACTCCGTGTCCGGTTCATTGTATGCTCGACAGTTTGTAAATATGCGGGTCATGTCAGCAATGAACAGTTTCTTGTGACAATAGTATCTGTTCTTTAATCTGTCAGACATGGTCTTCAGATCTGAAATAAGAAATGATGTTCGTGCAGTCAAAATAGAAATTCCTAAAACACCACTTCCAATTCAGTGCATTTTTTCAACAACACATCACAGGCCAATGTTCAAAATGGATTTCCTATCAGCACACATCAGTGGAAGGTTGTACTAGATTAAGGTGCCTCACCTCAAGGTAACACGAGGAACCTATGTGCATTTTGGGTCTAATGACACTACTTGTCCGACACATGACATGACATGACATGACGACTACTAAACAGAAAGTCCCATGCCCCTAGCTACCTTAATAACTGCATGAACAAATCTGAATCCCATTCTGCTGCAACACAAGATATCAATGTTCTAGATTCTTCTACCTTGCAGTTTATTATACGTTTCATAAAGGCTATACACAATTTGATATATTTTATTCATTAATAAAAATACTAAAGTTTATATTTTATCTCCATTATCATGTCTTCGTAAGATTATGGCGTTAAACATCCTCCTAATGATTAAGGCTCTTCCCTTTAGAAGTTTCAGGGAAGAAGAAGTAAATGGACAAAAGGAAGGAAGCATGAATGGACAAAAGGATGGATCAATAGACAAATGGAAGGAAGCATGAATAGACAAAAGGAAGGAAAAATGGACAAAAAGAAGGATGGATGAACGGACAAAAGGAAGGATGAATGGACCAAAGGAAGGAAGGATGAATGGACCAAAGGAAGGAAGGATGAATGGACCAAAGGAAGGAAGGATGAATGGACAAAAGGATGGACCAATAGACAAAAGAAAGAAAAAATGGACAAAAAGAAGGATGGATGAATGGACAAAAGGAAGGAAGGATGAATGGACCAAAGGAAGGATGAATGGACAAAATGAAGGAAGGAAAATGGACAAAAGGAAGGAAGCATGAATGGACAAAAGGAAGGATGAATTGACAAAAGGGTGGATCAATTTCAAAAGGAAGGAAAAATGGACAAAAAGGATGAATGAATGGACAAAAGGAAGGAAGGATGAATGGACCAAAGGAAGGATGAATGGACAAAAGGAAGGAAGCATGAATGGACAAAAGGAAGGAAGGATGATTGGACCGAAGGAAGGAAGGATGAATGGACCAAAGGAAGGAAGGATGAATGGACAAAAGGAAGGGTAAATGGACAACACATCATGGTATATGCTCACTCTATCATGTCTATTGCATAGGCATTTAATGCAATACAACCATAATTGTTCAGAGAAGTTATTTTCTTACCCATTGGAAATTTTATATGATCATAATAATCAGGAGCTTCAGACTTGTCCACCGGCCTCTGGAATGGCCAGGCTGACCCATGGTTCTGGAAGCACAAACAGTGAATGTTATCAAAGCTTCAAAATATTCCTGTCACACCATCACAGTGGTTGAAACAAAGCCATGTCACAATGACACTGAACAATCCATTCACAACGATTTGTTTTGGAATCATTATCAGTAATAAACATCATTCCTTTAAACAGCCACAGCACAGAATGACACCAGAGATGTGAACATGGTGTTCTGAATTAACAAATATCAACTGACTAACAGAATTTATGTTGAAGATATAAAGGGAAAATTCTGTAAACCATTTCATCAATTTCTGTTATGTCAGTTATCTGAGTATATTGTATTGCTACAATTTTTTATACAACATAGTGTTGTACTGACCTTGATTTGCTGTAAAACAGTCTTGAAGGCGTTGTATAACTGGTCAGGGTCAAGAGCATTGTCTTTACTGAAAGACAACAATCACAAATGAAAAACTGTAAAGCATCAAGAATAGATCCAGCTAGTGAACTTCCAAAGCTACAAAACCTACTGTGAAGCAGATTAACATTTAATGATGCTATATCCCTTCCTACCATTTCTCCTTCTCCTTCTCTGGGCTAAAGGTGGGCTTCCAGCCTGACTCGTGAAGACCAGGGATGCTCTCGATGGGGATCTGCCGCACTCCATCTTTGAAGCAGGACAGGCCGGAGTAGATCTTCCTCAGCTGCTCCTGCTTCTTCTCCACAATCTGCTTGATGATCTGGAGGAGAGAAGTGTGATAATATTAAACCAATACAGTCCATAGAGTGAACCTTGTTTGTCACTTTCCAGAAGACTACTGTTTGGAACATTTACATATACACAAAGGACATTACTCCATTATATGGGAAGACAGTCTGAACTGATGCAGGTCAAAGATCTTGACCATTTGGGTGACACCCATAAGCACTGGAGCTTACAAACCAAGAAACTTAGTTAAGGCAAATCCGGGATTTGAACCCACAATCATAGGTTTCTGTGATGCATAAGTGAATTGTGGTGCCATACACAACTGGGCCACCTGTGCCCGACAAGTTTATATAGTTACTGAAGATACATTGTACATGTATTTCTGGTACATAGCATCTTCTCGAGACAAGAGAGTTAACAGACTATAAAAGTCCAGTTTCCACTCTTGCCGAACTAGGATGGAATTTCAGGGCTTGATCATAGCACAACCAGTGGATATATAGAGTTATGTCCCTTCTAAGCCTCTCCTACTGACTAATCAGATTACACCTCTCATATCACTTGAACAGCTTCCAACAAAATGGCAACGCCCAGTCAAGACGATTTGATCGATAACCAACATCTATATTGTAATAAAACAGGTCTTTCTTCGCAAAGTGCATCAAATCAGGTGATCGCCTTAATAAAAACATGAAAAGATTTGGAAAATATCTGTTGACGCCGTGTTGGCGGTACACATGCTTTGCAAATCCTGCTATCTGCATGGCAGTTTACAAACCGGATGTCGATTTCATTACGCGATTTTGATTGGACTATGCATAGACTCTTTAGTCCAGCCAAAATATCACTCCATAATTCCAGCCTAGTTCGGCAGGGATGGAAACTGAATATCAGTTAATAGTCAGTTAACTCCCCTTGCCTCGGGAAGATGGGGACATATACAACATAAACAAACATAACTGTATGGTTAAAAATGGAATATGCAAATGGTTATGACATGTCTGCTAATTATGGCCAATACTTGCCATCACAGATGTTTAAAATGATGATCACTGATTAAGATAACCAGTTTGATCACATATCCTCCAAGCAATGTATCTACGGATGAAGAAAGAACAACAGATGAGCCACCAACCTCCTTCTGTTTTCTGATGACCTGGGAGAACTCGGTGTACTTGATCCGGGGGTTGAGTTCACATCCCATCAGGGTGGCCCCCTCGTAGTCCTTGATGTATCCCAGGTACGCTGACTTCGGCAGCTTGATTTCCTTTGAGAAGCCCTGGAAGGAAACAGTTTCATTCACCAAAGAATCAGCAGCAGAGTCTACAGATCTTGTTTAGTTTGTTTGTTGTTACCCACAACCAGCAATATTCCAGCTATATGATGGAGGCCAATTTATAATCAAGCCTGACCCAGACAATCCAGTGATGAACTATGTGGTCAACGATCCACACTGGGGTACAATGACACACCATGAACCAAGTCACCAAGCCTGACCACCTCATCCTGTTAGTCGCCACTTATGACCAGCATAGGTTGCTGGGGACCTATTTTAACTCTAAATCCCCATGAGATGAGTTTAGAAAATGAAAATCGTGAATGGTAACTTTAAATCTATTTATGTAAAATGCAAAGGAGTTTGATGCCAATTGGATATGTATTGGCTGTCCTGTCAATGAAGTCCTACCTGCTTCTTGAAGTATCCAATAGCGTACTCATCAGCGAATGTAAGGAAGTGACAAATGTTGTGCTTGATGTGGTAGTCCTTCAGATGGTTCATCAGGTGTGTCCCGTAACCCTGAAACCAAATACAGAGGAACTACAAAACCTAATACCGGTATCATTACAATTATAAGTGTATGACCATGAAGGGCTCGGCTATTGGATGGTGAGTTGAGATACCTCACCGGTATTAGAAAAAAACACATCAGGATAAATCTATGTTTACACAGGTGTAAGGCTCAACATCTTCCTTATAGTGAGTGAGTTGGGTTAAACACTGCAGTATTCCAGTCACATCATGGACTGAGCACTCAATGAGGGAAGAAAAACTTAAGTGACGTAGGTCTTAGAAACGTAACCCTTTGGTGAAACCCACCACCACCTGTATGGTACTGACAAATCAAGAATCATAATTATGAATAACTTGGGATTTGAACCTACGACCAAAGGATTCTCGCGTGCCTAAGGGATGCAACTCTGCACAGCAAAATGCTGGGCATCCGCCATGATTCTTAGAGGCTGGACATATCAGATTACTCCTGTTACAAATTTTGTCCTCAAAATTCTTTATTTACATCAAGGACAAGACGTCAAAATGGCCGACACGATAAATGTGACGGGAGATATTTCGGAAGTTGTTAATGATTTGTTTGTTTGTTTGTTTGTTGTTTAACGCCGCACTCAGTAATATTCCAGCTATAAGACAGCAGTTTGTAAATAATCGAGGCTGGACCAGACAATCCAGTGATTGACATCAAGTTGTTAATGAACCTGTGGTGGTTACATGTTTTAGTCATCATTAATCAATTGGCCGGTCATTGAAAGGTGATTGTAAAGATGTGTCCAATAGATACTCAGGTAAATTCATAGATTGCTGCGGACTGTCACTGTAGTAGACACAGATCGAGTCGATACTACTATACTTTGGATGTGCGTTTCTTTGTTTTGGTAACTAGCATGGGTCGTAGCGAGGATATTCATGAAGGATCATGCAGTCAAACTCTATGACGTTTATCAATGTAAAACTAAAACACTGAGTTCAAGATTAAAGGATCTAAATGTTCAGAAAGAAGCTTCTGTATGTATTCGTGGTAGGGATTTCCCAGGGGTTCCCCCAGGAATGTGGAAGTAGTCATTACATCATCTCAAGAACAATGTCTTGTGAAATTCGTATGAACGTCAAATTGTGACATTCATACACTTATGAACGTCAAATTGTGTCATTCATACACTTGTGAACGTCAATTTCATGGTCATGTGACCAACCTCTTGTCCAATGGAAAAGCTGTATATCGTGTTAACTTCAAAATAAAAAATTATATGACGTTGAATACGTTATTAATAACAAGATAGGAGTAATAATCCACTTCTTTATTACAATTGAAGCAACATTTTGGCGTTGATTCTAACACAAAAACATCTAGGTCATTGTAGTAAAGGACTTTGAGTATCCACACTATCTTGTCACAAGTTAATTAAGCAGATGGCACATCAAAGGCAACCCTAAGCATACTGTTTGATACTGTTTTCAGAAACAAAATTGAAAGGAAACTTTATGGAATGTCAACAGAATATACAACGTTCCTCATTTGGTTTCTCTAAACAATCAATCATGAGACTGGTATTGCTCTGTCCACCTTGACCATTTGCTAACATGCTACCTTGACCTACTCACCTTGACCTGTTCATTAGATGTCACAGCACAGAATACAATCTCTGTGAAACCCTGGGTTGGAAACATCCGGAAGCAGATCCCACCAATGACTCTCTTGTCCTTTATCAGAGATAAACATTTGTGTTTCCTGAAAAATCAAACAAAGATCACAGTAATTTACAAATACTTCATTGAAAAAACAAATGAAAAATGAAATTGTATAGAAATACCAAGTCAGCAGGAATGGAGTTTCACTGCAGCAGCAGATGTATGTCATCTGGGTACAATGCGTGTTACGTCAAAATACAACAGAACATGTAAACATCCTACTGAACCTTGCACCACACTTGAAACTGAAATGTAAACTGTGACAATGGGAGATAACTCAGTTGTCAAGTGAAGTGTAGACCACAAGAAAGTTTAACTTTACAACATGACCAATGTGACAGCCTGTCCCAAGCATCTACATCAGGAAGCACTCACGGATCAAACACAAGTCTTGTGATGTACTCCTTGGGCATCCGGGGCAGCTGGTGTGAGAAGACATTCTGTAAACCAATCAGCCACATGTAGATTTGTTTAGTGGGCTTCTGGCTGAGAGAGTTACCAATGACATGGAAGTTGATCACCCCCTTGTTCTCCTCCTGTCGTGCTGCCTCGTCCCGTGCCGTGTGGGTGGGGAACAGTGTCGGCTGGATCAGATAATGGACAACTTATTGTTTTGAAACACTATAGGTTGTAGCAGGAACACGAGGGATACATGGGGTTTTATGCATCCCGCTTTAGCTTTTATAACACAAGCATATGCATACAACCCCTTGTACCCTGAGTGATCCAAATCTACCTTACCAACATGTTTTAATTAATTAACACAAATTGAACATCTACTTGAGCTGAGGTTAACTTGTGCTATGTCACGTGACTTCCATTGACTCGGGAAAAAATGTGCGGATTTTTGCTTTGTAGCGGGGCATAAGGGATTTATTCTATCTCTCAGAAATTCACAAGCAACCTGTATTGCTCGTGGTGGGGTATAAGAGATTTATTCACCTGCTGAGAAATTTATTTCCCTCCAAGACGGGTTGCACAGTATTTTATCAAGATCATGTGGACCAATCAGATCTGATCATTCTGACATGGAGGGATGATAAATATATTTATCATGAGGCCCAGGAGTAGTAAAACAGTCATGATGTCACAAAACAGGATTTAATGTTTGTTTGTTGCATTCAGTCACAGTCAGCAATATTTCATCTGTACCATGGCAGCCTTTAGCTTACCAAGTCTTGACCTGATAAGTCAGTGATTGACGCTATGAGCAACATCCCACATAGTCAGGGAACGATGACTTGCAATCAACCCAGTCTGACCACTGATCCAAATCAGTCAACTCTTTGGTCAGCTAAGGGACTTAATCTAACCCGGAATCCCTGCAGGGAAAGGGCATCAAAAACTATGACATCATAATGTCCACACAAGCCAGACACCAACTTTTAACAAGATAGGAACACGTCAATCAAGAAGATATATTCCATAAAGAATATTAATGAACTATAAGCTGTAGTATGAATGAATAAGATGAGGACAAGGTTGATTTATCATGTTTATGGATTTTAAAACAACAGAAATTAAAAAAACAAAACAAGAGGAAACCCAATCAGTACTGTCTTCATAAATGAAAAAGTAGTATTTTGTCTTCATTACTAAAATACAACCTCTAAATCTCATGTTTACACCTCTGCATTTGCTAATATTTTACACTAAATGCTACAATGTCAGGCTCAGTTTAGCTCTATAAAACATGCACCAGTGCAACCTATTATTGAAAAATGCATCCTATTATAATGTCCACATGCACCAAGTGCATGTCATTTTCATATTTGTGTCTAGCCATTACATGTCCACACAACATCGACCTTTGAACACATTCAATACATCTAAGCTTATTTTCCATACAAAGTCAATAACCCACTTTCAATGTGTAATTTCTTTTTCTTTTTTGGGCTTGATCTAGTCAAAATGTGGGGACAAGATTATGTGCACATTTTAGCTTTGATAAATTTATGGGTACAGGCAGCAACCTGTTGTTTTCTGGTGCTCCAAGCTTTTCATGTCAACATGCACCTGGTGCAAGTTAAATCAAGTTCCTTATATTGAACCCTGATTGTATTCAGCATACTAATTTCAGCAGCATGCTGTCAGTACTGACAATTTGATCAAAAGCATACAACATGCAACTTACATCTGGTCCAACCATCTGACTGGGATCTGTAATGGTGGCCAGTATTTCAGCAACTGTGTCTGACGAGACATCGCCATCAATCTTTTTCCGCTTCAGTTCGTCTGCCAGCAGACTGTCCTCATGTTTCCTCTTCTCCCCTGCTTGACCTAAACAACATACAGTTGCATCATCTACATCACTCATTGACCTGAACAACATACAGCTGCATCATCTACATCACTCCTTGACCTGAACACACAGTTGCACCATCTACATCACTCATTGACCTGAACAACATACAGTTGCATCATCTACATCACTCCTTGACCTGAACACACAGTTGGATCATCTACATCACTCCTTGACCTGAACAACATACAGTTGCATCATCTACATCACTCCTTGACCTAAACAACATACAGCTGCATCATCTACATCACTCCTTGACCTGAACAACATACAGTTGCATCATCTACATCACTCATTGACCTTAACAACATACAGTTGCATCATCTACATCATTCACTGACCTGAACAACATACAGTTGCATCATCTACATCACTCCTTGACCTGAACAACATACAGTTGCATCATCTACATCACTCCTTGACCTAAACAACATACAGCTGCATCATCTACATCACTCCTTGACCTGAACAACATACAGTTGCATCATCTACATCACTCATTGACCTTAACAACATACAGTTGCATCATCTACATCATTCACTGACCTGAACAACATACAGTTGCATCATCTACATCACTCATTGACCTGAACAACATACAGTTGCATCATCTACATCACTCCTTGACCTGAACAACATACAGTTGCATCATCTACATCACTCATTGACCTGAACACCTTACAGCTGCATAATCTACATCACTCCTTGCCCTGAACAACATACAGATGCATCATCTACATCACTCCTTGACCTGTACAACATACAGTTGCATCATCTACATCACTCCTTGACCTGTACAACATACAGCTGCATCATCTACATCACTCCTTGACCTGAACAACATACAGTTGCATCATCTACATCACTCCTTGACCTGTACACCATACAGCTGCATCATCTACATCACTCCTTGACCTGAACATACAGCTGCATCATCTACATCACTCCTTGACCTGAACATACAGTTGCATCATCTACATCACTCCTTGACCTGAACAACATACAGTTGCATCATCTACATCACTCCTTGACCTGAACATACAGTTGCATCATCTACATCACTCCTTGACCTGAACAACATACAGTTGCATCATCTACATCACTCCTTGACCTGAACAACATACAGTTGCATCATCTACATCACTCCTTGACCTGAACATACAGATGCATCATCTACATCACTCCTTGACCTGAACATACAGTTGCATCATCTACATCACTCCTTGACTTGAACATACAGATGCATCATCTACATCACTCATTGACCTGAACATACAGTTGCATCATCTACATCACTCATTGACCTGAACAACATACAGTTGCATCATCTACATCACTCCTTGACCTGAACATACAGTTGCATCATCTACATCACTCATTGACTTGAACATACAGATGCATCATCTACATCACTCCTTGACCTGAACATACAGTTGCATCATCTACATCACTCCTTGACCTGTACACCATACAGCTGCATCATCAACATCACTCCTTGACCTGAACACCATACAGATGCATCATCTACATCACTCCTTGACCTGTACACCATACAGTTGCATCATCAACATCACTCCTTGACCTGAACAACACACAGTTGCATCATCTACATCACTCCTTGACCTGAACATACAGCTGCATCATCTACATCACTCATTGACCTGAACAACATACAGATGCATCATCTACATCACTCCTTGACCTGAACAACACACAGTTCCATCATCTACATCACTCACTGACCTGAACAACATACAGTTGCATCATCTACATCACTCCTTGACCTGTACACCATACAGCTGCATCATCTACATCACTCCTTGACCTGAACACCATACAGATGCATCATCTACATCACTCCTTGACCTGTACACCATACAGTTGCATCATCAACATCACTCCTTGACCTGAACAACACACAGTTGCATCATCTACATCACTCCTTGACCTGAACATACAGCTGCATCATCTACATCACTCATTGACCTGTACACCATACAGTTGCATCATCAACATCACTCATTGACCTGAACAACACACAGTTGCATCATCTACATCACTCCTTGACCTGTACACCATACAGCTGCATCATCTACATCACTCATTGACCTGAACAACATACTGTTGCATCATCTACATCACTCATTGACCTGAACAACATACAGTTGCATCATCTACATCACTCATTGACCTGAACACCTTACAGCTGCATCATCTACATCACTCCTTGACCTGAACAACATACAGTTGCATCATCTACATCACTCCTTGACCTGAACATACAGTTGCATCATCTACATCACTCCTTGACCTGAACAACATACAGTTGCATCATCTACATCACTCCTTGACCTGAACATACAGCTGCATCATCTACATCACTCCTTGACCTGAACACACAGTTGCATCATCTACATCACTCCTTGACCTGAACAACATACAGTTCCATCATCTACATCACTCCTTGACCTGAACATACAGCTGCATCATCTACATCACTCATTGACCTGAACACCTTACAGTTGCACCATCTACATCACTCCTTGACCTGAACAACATACAGTTGCATCATCTACATCACTCCTTGACCTGAACATACAGTTGCATCATCTACATCACTCCTTGACCTGAACAACATACAGTTGCATCATCTACATCACTCCTTGACCTGAACAACATACAGCTGCATCATCTACATCACTCCTTGACCTGAACAACATACAGTTGCATCATCTACATCACTCCTTGACCTGAACAACATACAGTTCCATCATCTACATCACTCCTTGACCTGAACATACAGTTCCATCATCTACATCACTCCTTGACCTGAACAACATACTGTTGCATCATCTACATCACTCATTGACCTGTACAACATACAGCTGCATCATCTACATCACTCCTTTACCTGAACAACATACAGTTGCATCATCTACATCACTCCTTGACCTGAACATACAGTTGCATCATCTACATCACTCCTTGACCTGTACAACATACTGTTGCATCATCTACATCACTCCTTGACCTGTACAACATACTGTTGCATCATCTACATCACTCCTTGACCTGAACAACATACTGTTGCATCATCTACATCACTCCTTGACCTGTACAACATACAGTTGCATCATCTACATCACTCCTTGACCTGAACATACAGTTGCATCATCTACATCACTCCTTGACCTGAACATACAGTTGCATCATCTACATCACTCCTTGACCTGAACAACATACAGTTGCATCATCTACATCACTCATTGACCTGAACAACATACAGTTGCATCATCTACATCACTCCTTGACCTGAACATACAGTTGCATCATCTACATCACTCCTTGACCTGAACAACATACAGTTGCATCATCTACATCACTCCTTGACCTGAACAACATACAGCTGCATCATCTACATCACTCCTTGACCTGAACAACATACAGTTGCATCATCTACATCACTCCTTGACCTGAACAACATACAGTTCCATCATCTACATCACTCCTTGACCTGAACATACAGTTGCATCATCTACATCACTCCTTGACCTGAACAACATACTGTTGCATCATCTACATCACTCATTGACCTGTACAACATACAGCTGCATCATCTACATCACTCCTTGACCTGAACAACATACAGTTGCATCATCTACATCACTCCTTGACCTGTACAACATACAGCTGCATCATCTACATCACTCCTTGACCTGAACATACAGTTGCATCATCTACATCACTCCTTGACCTGAACAACATACAGTTGCATCATCTACATCACTCATTGACCTGAACAACATACAGTTGCATCATCTACATCACTCATTGACCTGTACAACATACAGCTGCATCATCTACATCACTCCTTGACCTGAACAACATACTGTTGCATCATCTACATCACTCCTTGACCTGTACAACATACAGTTGCATCATCTACATCACTCCTTGACCTGAACATACAGTTGCATCATCTACATCACTCCTTGACCTGAACAACATACAGTTGCATCATCTACATCACTCATTGACCTGAACAACATACAGTTGCATCATCTACATCACTCCTTGACCTGAACATACAGTTGCATCATCTACATCACTCCTTGACCTGAACAACATACAGTTGCATCATCTACATCACTCCTTGACCTGAACAACATACAGCTGCATCATCTACATCACTCCTTGACCTGAACATACAGTTGCATCATCTACATCACTCCTTGACCTGAACATACAGTTGCATCATCTACATCACTCCTTGACCTGAACAACATACAGTTGCATCATCTACATCACTCCTTGACCTGAACATACAGTTGCATCATCTACATCACTCCTTGACCTGAACAACATACAGCTGCATCATCTACATCACTCCTTGACCTGAACATACAGTTCCATCATCTACATCACTCCTTGACCTGAACATACAGTTGCATCATCTACATCACTCCTTGACCTGAACAACATACAGTTGCATCATCTACATCACTCCTTGACCTGTACAACATACAGCTGCATCATCTACATCACTCCTTGACCTGAACAACATACTGTTGCATCATCTACATCACTCCTTGACCTGAACATACAGTTGCATCATCTACATCACTCATTGACCTGAACAAACAGATGCATCATTTACATCACTCATTGACCTGAACAACATACAGTTGCATCATCTACATCACTCCTTGACCTGAACATACAGTTGCATCATCTACATCACTCATTGACCTGAACATACAGCTGCATCATCTACATCACTCCTTGACCTGAACAACATACAGTTGCATCATCTACATCACTCCTTGACCTGAACAACATACAGTTGCATCATCTACATCACTCATTGACCTGAACAACATACAGTTGCATCATCTACATCACTCCTTGACCTGTACACCATACAGCTGCATCATCTACATCACTCCTTGACCTGAACAACATACAGTTGCATCATCTACATCACTCCTTGACCTGAACATACAGTTGCATCATCTACATCACTCATTGACCTGAACAAACAGATGCATCATTTACATCACTCATTGACCTGAACAACATACAGTTGCATCATCTACATCACTCCTTGACCTGAACATACAGTTGCATCATCTACATCACTCCTTGACCTGAACAAGATACAGTTGCATCATCTACATCACTCATTGACCTGAACAACATACAGTTGCATCATCTACATCACTCCTTGACCTGTACACCATACAGCTGCATCATCTACATCACTCCTTGACCTGAACAACATACAGATGCATCATCTACATCACTCCTTGACCTGAACACCATACAGATGCATCATCTACATCACTCCTTGACCTGTACACCATACAGCAGCATCATCTACATCACTCCTTGACCTGAACAACATACAGTTGCATCATCAACATCACTCCTTGACCTGAACACACAGTTGCATCATCTACATCACTCCTTGACCTGAACAACATACAGTTGCATCATCTACATCACTCCTTGACCTGAACATACAGTTGCATCATCTACATCACTCCTTGACCTGAACATACAGTTGCATCATCTACATCACTCCTTGACCTGAACAAGATACAGTTGCATCATCTACATAACTCCAGTGACTGTTAATCCTTTCAAGTCTAATTTTTTTGACAGACATGGGTAGCTTTGAGCCTAACCCCACACCTCCTTGTGGTCAACAATTCAAGTAGTACCTATACTCAGCAGCCATGGTGTACATCCAATTGTCATTCACTTGCCTCCATTGAGAGAGCAAGGAATCTAATAAGCCAGTCAGCAATATTACAACCACATAAAGGTGACCAGGGATAGACAAACTATTGGTTGATAGCATGAGCATCAAACAACACTATCATGGTATTTAGCTTGAGATATAGTGAGCTGGGGACACAGCACTAATTCTGCCCTACAATCCCCATGGTGACAAACACAAGGTATTGGTGTTATGCCCTGGGATGATATCACATTATCTAGGATTACCTGGTTCAGTCTTGGACGGCCTTCTCGGCGTGATGAGTCCTGGGGTGATGTTGATGGATGTGAAGCCTTCAGGCCCCGGGCCAGTGGAGTTGGTTCCGGTTGTGAAACGGTTATAGCCACTCACGCCCGGTGCCGTGGACGGCGTTGCTGAAATTTCATCTACACCAAATGTCATAAAAGCTACATACATGTATGTCAAACAATCTGAATTCAAAACTATTCTACATTCAAGTTATACAATACAATACAATACATTAATTCCAGTCTCATTAATATCTAATCTTTTACACTGATATGATACCTGTCTCACTCAAGACCTGACAATTGATATCTTGATTGAAGGGGGTACCAAATCAGAGGAAACGATCATAGAAGAACTGAACAACTTTTACAGATATTACAGCCAGAGTTGGTCAGATCCGTAAAGATAATTCCATTTCCTCTGTGAAGGCTTTTGCATGAGGTACTGCTTGCCTAACAACAGGTCAAGATGGTTGAGTGAAGAGGACGCCAGTTAAATCTTAGTGTTATGTTAGCCAAACTGCTGGAATATTGGATATGATGTAATAGAGGTAATAGGGTATTCAAAGGAATTATGAGAAATTTTTTGGCGCTCATGTTTTAACATCAGTACAAAGTGCAATCTTGTGAGAAAGTTTTCCAGGGGTTTCAACAACATGGGGATCCGCTTACTTGGTAGCGGTGTTGGAGACATAGGGATGTTGGCTGGGTTCTGGGAGAAGTCTGGATCCCATATTGGGGAACTGGTGCCATACACCTCTTCCTCGAGCATAGACAGAAACCTGCAACAAGGACACAGCCATACTCTCACAGATAGGTAATCACTTCACTTCATGCTTCAGGACAAACAAGAAAGAAGTGAGCAAAGCTCACATACCCCCGTTATCCCCGCTGGTCAACAACAAATAGTAAATAGTTTTTTAATTAATGAAATATACCTGTTGCTTTAAGGATGCATTATGTTTGAAATGAACACATGTTTTTGAAAATATATTTCAATCTAGTGTGGGATAATCAATGCTTAGCACAACATACATTCTTGATGTTTCTTAATGTGTCCATGGAAACGTCAAAAATGAAAAAGTTCAGAATCTTCAAACTAGCAAAAGGCACAAGTACTCATTGTGGTTAATGTCTGTAGAAAGTTTGGTGAAGCTAGGGTGCATAGTTAAAAAGATATAGGCCATACAAAACACCCACCCTAAAAGTTTAAGTTTCTTAATGTTTCCATGGAAACAGCAAAAATTTAAAAGTTCAGAATCTTCAAACTAGCAAAAGGCACAAGTACTCATTGTGGTTAATGTGTGTAGCAAGTTTGGTGAAGCTAGGGTGCATGGTTAAAAAGTTATGGGCTATACAAAAGCTCGGACGGAAGGACGGAAGGACGGAACGCTATATACCCGCGATTTACTTCGTAAACGGGGGTTTAATTAACCCTTGACAAGCAAACAAGTGACAATATCTTGTAAAAACTTTGTCTGGTCCAGAACTCGATTAGTTACCGACTGCTAAAAAATAGCTGGAATATTGCTGAGTGCAGCATTAAACAATAAAAAACAACAACCGAAAAACAACTACACACCTGGGGAAATGGGTGAGGACAAGTGTTTTCTTGTCTGGGGGCATCTTGTCTTTTTCAGCTCGGAACTTGTCTAGCAGTTGTCTCCTCATGGTTTGGAAGACAGACCTCAGCAGAGTGCGACCGAAGATCAGGGTTGTCTCATAACGTGGCAGGCTGTCACAGAAAGCCGGCACATGGCAATAGCAAAGCCACCTGAAGGGTAAAATATCAGATATAATACAATGAAATAAATGTGGTGAGTTGATAGGAAGGCATTAACCTTGATGTGTGATGCAGGCTGACTTAATTGTAACAAAGTCATTATATTTTGGGAAATTTTATTATGAATGGCATATTTATATACTTATACTATCTCACACTCTGCTATTCTTCTTCAATCCTATGTGTGGAAACATGATACAAGAATGGATGTCACAGGCAGAGGCAACCCAGATAGACCCGGAGTATGATGGAGTGAAGCCAGAAAGAGAACGTGGTACGGGAAATTTCAGAGACCGACGCAGTAGAAAGCGGAATGAAGACCTTCTTCCGGGCCAGATAAAGACGAAGTGCTCAACCTAAACAAAGGGAGAAATCCTCCTGGTCATCCGAACCCAAAATAGATGAAAGCGGTGTGATCTTAAACAAATGATCAGGTTGTCCAGGAAGCTGATTCTTTGCCACAAAATCCCAGGGAAGGTCCAGGAACGCCCTTCCACCCTCGGATCACTCAAATTGGACCCTGGAAACATCAAAAGGATGAATCTCGCTAAAGTGAGCTGCAATAGTAAAGGCCTATAAGAACATAGTCTTCAGTGTGATCATCTCAAAATCTTTGTCCGAGAGTGGCTAATGATCACCAGAAGTCAATTGTTGCAAGATAACGTTGACTTCCCAAGAAGGAGGTCAGAAAAGGATTTGTCCACCATTTTGTAGGAGTCTATCACAGATTGTTGTGGAAGATGATGGAATAGTCTTTCGGCAAGCCTTAGCAAGATGTGGAACCAGTTGTGTGTTGTTCAATAGGGCACAACCAAAGTCAGAGACAGGTGACTGGTGGCTTCCACCTTCTGCAGGACCCGGGGAAGAATGCCTGTCCAAGGAAAGGCGTAGGCATTGAGGCTCCCCCCCTCCGACAAGCTTGAGGGCCGGGGATGGGCAACATGAGTAGGGAGCAGTGAGCGGTGAGCGCTGAAGCGAGTGGCAAAGAGATCTGTCAGACAACACGTGTTGAAATACCTTCATATTGAAGATTAGTCTTTTTTCGGCAAGAGGAAGATAGGTGAATACAACTCAGGAGTTGCGGGAAGAAGTAGGAGACATTCTATAGCATTCTTTAGAAGTAACATACCTTTAGTTTCTGTCAGGATTGGTAGTTAGCTGGCCAGATACTCCCCTTGTACAGGCTGGAACTCAGTTGGTGGCGAGGATGCCAGTAGGAGAAGATAACCATTCTGGAGCAACTGTGTCAAGCTATCTGCAAGGATGATCCTGTTGTCGACAAAAAGCCCTTCACTTCCCCCTATGACAGTAAGAGAGTGTTTATGATAGAATGGATGGAGCCAGAAGTCACTTGAGTCTGTTGAGCCTCCCCCTCTGAAAGACTTAATGGACCCTTCGGGTTTAGAAAACGAGACGTAACAGCCAGCGGAGAACTTTGAGCCACCAATGTCCTCTTCCACGGCCGCAAAATGGAGAAGAACAAGAAGAGACCAGGACTCCAAGGTCTCGATGAGCGTGCACAAAGTGAGGATAGCTGCGCTCCTTCTTTTCCTATTCCTCCAGTTGTCGCCTCTGTAGGTGGAGGAGATCAACAGTAACTTATAATTTTGTATCCTTCTGAATCTCCTGAGCGACCTCCTGAATCCAGTCCGTGAAAAGGGTACGAGATGATCACGGGAGTTGATACAGCCTGGCTGGTTGGTCATCCCACAGGCAGTGCTGCAGCACACCACGGCAATGGAAGGCTGCAAGTGAGTCGGCATAATGAGTCAAAAGATCGAGAATGCTTGTGAATTTTCCTGGTTGAGGAGCACTGTGCCTCAAATGGAGGCATCCTCTTGTGACTGTTGGGAGAGGCAAGCAGAAGGGGTCTCTGTTGCAGACAAGAGAGTAGAAACAAGTGGCAAAGTATGCAGTACCGTTCAGTCCAAATGTATAAGTTCCCGTGTTCACAACACGATCATTTCTGACATAACATAGATATGTCACTGTCAAAGTTCGAGGAAGCTACTGTCGCTGACATATCATGTGTGCCGGTATCTTCAAGAAAGACACGGGGAACTCGGAGACGGTCACAGAGCGACAAAATGAGGAGAAGGCCTTGTCTAAGTTTGACGATATGTCTACCGCAAGTGGAGGGTGATGATATTGAGGAATTGGAATTGGACGATGGAATCCGGAATCCCGTAAGACGATCAGCTATCAAAGTAGTACGAGGCAACTGCAGTTTTTCAGCGATTCAGTGGAGAACAGACTCAAGGTTGGTGGATTCGAAACTATCCTACGAGGCAAAAGGAGACGAGTGGGGATCCAAACCAATTGGGAATGGAGCAGTCTCAACCACCATAGGGGCCAGAACAGCAGGCCCAGGAGGGGCAGATTGGGAAGAGGCTGGAGCTGAATCTGAACCAGATGGTTAAGAAGTTGACAAAAGTCCTGACTGCCTGAACAAACGAATCAAAAGACGATTCAGCATCCTTCTGCTGGTCCTGGTGATCCCAAGATGTAGGAAGAATCTGCGGAGGAAGTAGGGACACACTGTGAGAGCAGCTGCGAGATTGGCGACTTCTATGATAGAAATCAGGTGAAGAGCATCGATCCTTTGAGGGAGGGGACCGAGGGTGCTCGTCATGATGAGATCTGTCGGTAGGAGGAGGACAAATCGGAGATCGACTATAGCCAGCAGCTAAACGATGATCTGAGTCAACTGCCGGGTATGTGTAACCAGGTCAAGGGTGGTATGAATCCCTATGGGAAAGGAAGCCCTTCCATCCAACTGGGCGATCCGAGTATGTGTAATAACAAGGATAGTCCAAATCTCCGAATCCAAGCATTGATGGTGGTATTCGAGAGAAAGTGAACAATCCCTGTATTGAAATGAATCCATATAGCTATATGAGGGTGATCGAACTGAGGACTGGTCACCAGAGGCCGACCAAGCACTCAAACCTCAAGGAGAGTCCAAAGAGACCCCACAATCTGGAGAAGCAGGGAACACGATCACCATCATTCGATCGTTGAGAAGGAGAGCAAAAGCATCGCACCAAACCAGAGTGTCCATTCAGCCAACTGGAGTGTCAATCCTTATCCGTTCATCAATCATCAATCAATCGTCAATCACATGTTTTTTTCTTCCACTGATGCTTAGAAAGATGATCAGGAGCATTCACGTTACCAAGAGCAAAACATGGAATCTGATCGGGTAACCAGTAGAGGGTGCGTTGTTGTAGAACAGTCAGACTACCATCCCTTAAATAAACATCTGAAGGAGCGGAAATTGGGGAATCCAAGGATGGAATTTTGAAGGCAGGAACGTGCACAATCAACTGAGGGTTGAGATTGGAAAGCAAGATCGTCAGCCAACATAGGAGTAATGGAATGGATGGCGTAATAGTCCAGACGTCTGTAGGGAGTGGAGTTGTAGGCGTGGTCATGGGGTTGGGCCGAGTGAAGACATCGTTAGTAACCAAAGAGTCAGAGTCCTCATAGTCAGCAACAAGACAGGCACCTGGGAGTCTGAGGGAGCATCAAGAGGACTAGATCTGACAGTAGACTTCTTAGCTGACTTAGTCTTCTTGTCAGAATCTTTAGATTTGGATCGATGATGCACCATTTTTCGTTGACACTTATGTAGGTTTTGAGCTGAAAAGTAGAGTCTAGCAACTAATGACAGTCAGCGCACCAGGAAGTCAAGGTACACAGCCCACAACAGTCCCAACACAGTGTATGGGGGTCTGAAGTTGAGTATGTGCGTCAGCACTCAGTACATGCCAGAAATAACTTGCACGAAGAAATGCATAGTGTGAGAAAGGATAAGTTTAAAATTTGCTATTTAACATAGCCCCATAATCTTGTCAATAGAGAACATCCTAACATGACAGGGACACAACCCAGCAGAGCAAGTTGTTGCAGCCGTGTTCACTCATTTCACTGTGAGTGAGTTGGTTTAACGCTGCTTTGAACAGTATTCCAGTTATATCACAGCGTGTCAGCTTAATGTGTGAGGAAACCCAAACTGCAGGTCTCAGATGTTACCACTTCGGTGAAACCCACGAGCATAGGTATGGCGCTGAGACTGCTGACAAACCTAGAAACAATCAGGGCGAACCCACACATTTCATAAAATATTTTGCTGTACATCTGCAGCATCAGTCACAACTCCCACCTTGTATAGTTGACCTTGTAGGCATTCATGTCCTCTGTTCCAGCATGCTGAGCCCGACTAGCCGGCGTCTCTAACTTCCAATGATTCAGACAGTGCAAGAACATTTTAGCCAAATCGTACATTGTCTGCCATTCTTTCTGAGCAAGGTGGCCAAATTTGTACACCACGAAGTTAGTAACACCCTGCAAGAGACATAAACAACACTGAATGAGTAAATGGGTTTCATACAATAGTTGAGATATTTCAGTTGTACCAACACAAACAAAGGTATTAATCTTAACTATTATTTTCTTCGATGAATATGATCATGATGATGAAGCTACACAATTCAGGTCAAAGCCATCAATCATAAGAAGCATGTAATACAGTCGGTCTATTCTGTTCCTCATTACCAGCAGGAAGACCAACAGATCATACCATGTATGATGGCCAAGGAGTATGACCAAGTTAAACATGTCAGAATGATCAGACATTTCATCATGTCTTCACACAAAATCATGATCCAATAGACATGATATGAAAGTCCTCATATGAATTTTTAATCACAAGTAATACTGTATTATACAAGTCATTTTTTTCATTGAGTGCAGACATAATTGTAAATTGTACATTAAACTGTATATTTATATATTTATCCTATCTCACACTAAGCATTTCTTCCTTCTTCTTTTGATCCTTCTGTGGAAACATGTTTGAACAAAATCTGTATAAGTTAACTTTCATCCTCCAAAGGGCAACGATTGCCATGATGAGCAGGAGTGGTATGTGACAAATTGGTAGCTTCAGTGCGAGACTGTTAATCCCGAGTGCGGAGTGACACTGAGGGGTGACCACAGTGATGCTGGGATGTGTTCGGGTGAATTGTTTTTAGAAGCTGGAAACTTTGTTCAAGCATGTTTACACAGAAGGAGGTGAGGTGAAATTGAGTTTAACGTCGCATCCAAGATTATTGCACTTATATAGCGACGTGCATGCACGTGTATGTGTGTGTGTGGCTGCTTGTACTAGTCCGGACTGATGCCGATTTATAGTGCTAGCTCACTGAGATACCATGCCGCAGTTTAACATGAATACCCCACTCAGACACAGTATACTGACTCCGAGCCGACCAGTCCTTGTTTTAGCCCCTTAATGCCGAGCGCCAGACAGGGTAACAACAAGTACAATCTTTTAACGTCTTTTTGTATGACGCGGCCCGGGATCGAACCCTGGACCTTCCGCTCTCCGGGCGGACGCTCTACCACAAGACCACGGAGGCGGTCTTACACAGAAGGAAGAAATGCATAGAGTGAGATAGGAGAAGTTTAAAAATCTGCCACTAATGTAGCATTGTGTAGGAATATGGAATGTAGGATACCGAACGGATCAAATATGACCATATTTCTCAAGCATACCTTTGCAATACTTGGTTTTTCAAATGGAGGATTTCCTAGGGGCCCCTCTATAGTGGGGTTGCTCATGTTCAGAATACATTTCCGCAGAAGCTGAAATACAAATACCATATCAATGTCAAATGTGGTCTATTGATATTAATATCACTGATGATCTTATCATGTTCAATAATGTTCACACATAACAGTGTGGTTGAATTCTATGCCACAATCATGTGTATGATGACCACATCTGCCAGCAGAGATGAATCTGTCTGGAGCAGACAAACCAGGGATAAAGTGGAGATACATCAATGTAGTCTGGGTTTGAATACATACAAGCACAGCCAGTCAATCTTCCCAGAAGATAATACTTTCAAGTTATAGCCACACAACCCCTCAAAGATGTTGCTCATGACAAGACACAAGGGTTCTTAATGCTTCAACACTGAGAGATAAGTTATTCATAAACGTAGTAGAAAATACTTAAGGTTTTCTGTACCATGTATTTACCTTAAAGAGATAGAAGTACACTTGTTTTGTCTCTGCATCTTCTTCCTTGTGGACACACATAAATAGGTTCTCCACATCCACCACAATACGCAGCAGTCGATTGAGTTCCTCCTCCGCCGTGTTCTCGAGATGTGACACATGGGCACCTACAGCATGTATAGGGCAGCACAATGAAGACAAATGTAACATTACATGGGGGAACAATACAGCACTGAAAATCAAAATGATGATACAATGAGTCAGGATGACATCTTGGTTATTTGGCATGTTGTTTGGCTATATCATGTATATTGAGGGGTAAATTTCCATAACTGTGATGGAAATCAATTACAGCATTTCGGTAAATTTAGTCCAATTCCGTATTAGGTTATCTTACCAATGCAAGGGAGTTAACTGACTATAAAAGTCAAGTTTCCACCCTTGCCGATCTAGGCTGGAAATATGGAGTTATATTTTGGCTGAACTAACGAGTCTATGTTTAGTCCAATCAAAATCTCGTAACAAAATCGACATCAGATTTGTAAACTGCCATGCAGATTTCAGTTGCTTGCAGAATTTGCAAAGCATGTGTATCACCAACACTTTTCATGTTTTTAATCAAGGTACACATATGATTTTATGCAAATCACGAAGTAAGACCCGTTTTATCACAATATAGATCTGATTATTGTTCCGATCGTCTTGACTGGGCGTAGCCATTTTGATTGAAGCAAATGTACGTTATATGAGAGGTAGAATCTGACTGTTCAGTAGGAGAGACATAGAAGGGACATAACTCATAATAGCCTCTGATGGCTCTACGATCGAACTCAGAAATTCAAGGCTAGTTGGGCAAGGGTGGAAACTGGACTTTGACAGTCAGTTAACGGCCCTTTCTCAGGAAGATGATAAGGGTACCAACAACTGAACTCTCGACCAGTTCATGCAGATCATGCATTGTATTTGGACAACATTCAATCATTATACTGTATCCAAAGCTGCAAAAGTTGGTTTATACTTTGAATGAAACACTTTCCCTCTTTCTTTTACGAGATTAAATACCCTTACAGTTACATGCAGGTTACAAATCTCATACAACCCTTGGAGTGCTTTATCCTTTACCATGTTTACTTAGAGAATGCCTTTATCTGTTGTCAACAATGGTATGTATACAAATAAATGAAATTACATTGTTTTGTAAGGAAATTAGGCAAAGAAATATTATCATGACATCACATGTGTGATACACAAATCTAAAACTTATTATATAATGCCAGATGATAATTATTAGTATGTATATATAAACATATATTGCGTATTCGACGTAATAAGTGCCCCGCTCTAATGAGCGCCCACAGTGATATTTGCTAATATATTGGCTAGTGAACAATCCCAATTAGCACCTCCTCTGATTGATCAATTTACACAAGACTTATTTATTCGTGCATAATACACACTTGTGTGTTATATGCACCCTTAATAATGGGCAATTAAATTCTGGAAAAATATATCTGTTGTGTATAATATGCACAGACTTTTCTTTCGTATCATTTCAGGTACATAAACGTAGAAATTTACGATCTGACTGCTTTTTTTTCACCAAAATTATATTCTAATAAGAGCCCCCTATTTTTAATTTTGAGAGTGCCCTGGGTGCTTATTATGTCGAATACGGTACTGTAAATCTGGAAAGTTAGAAGCAAATTATTGCAAGTGGCCAACAATAGCCTTAACAGTGTCAGGAAAGTTTTGCAACACCCTGTTGACAAAATTACCAAATATCTAACTTCTAAGCTACTTTAGCAATTGTTACATACGTGCATAAACATTATGGCTAACAATAGCAAAAGCAATAAGAATTTGAACATACCCAAAGCATGGTTACAGCTGCGACATGGGTCTGTGAGGCTGGCAAGGGGTTGTGATACATCCACACGAGGAGGCGTTGGAGGCGGATTTGGATTCTTCCAACCATTGCACTTGCAGTTCTCGGACTGAAATGTACCATCAAATGATTTAACAACTCCACAATGTAATCAATAGGTAATCATCTACCATGTCTGATGTCAAGGTAATGTCTCACATCAAACCCCATAACAAGTTTACTTAAAACAGAAAGAGTTCCAAATTCTTGTGTCATTTACCTGATGTATGTCGTAACCAAAAGATAAAGGAATCTTACATGATGAAAGTTTATTGTCTAAACAAACACTATCATGCAAATGATTGCTTCTATTCATATTATAAATACTTGCATCTGAGTATCACAAAGCATTGTGTAAAATGGCAGTGATGGAAAGTACAATGTCACCATTTTTCCTTTTGGAAAACCTATGGTTAATAACCTCTAGGTGTTGTTCGTAGCAAATGAAATATGTGATTTGTCTTGAGAGTTGAGAACTGTCGACTTTAACAGAAGTGGTTATCATGGTTATACCTGAAGATTTTTAGAATTTAGTCAGCAAATTGTGCTTGAAGCAAATTTGAGTTTGACTTGTGAATACGTTCTGGGTCATTATCTGTGGACAAACTTTTGGTAAAAACTGAACAAGGGATCCACAAATGCAGGATTCAACCTAAATAACTCAGTGATCCAAGTCATAAAAACCAAAATGGCCTGAGAGCATGTAAATTCGATTGCCTACAACATAATTTCATTATTAATTGTCATAAACATGATAATTTACAGATATAATTTTAACTAATAAAAGAAGGGATTGAATAATTATTAGAAATCACTCTTTAGCAACATCAAAGAACTATACAGGTTTAGGCGAAATCTGTTTGTAACTTCTTGTCCATGCTGACATTGTTTACAAACATTGAACTCCCGTAAGAAAGTGACGTACTTTGCATGATGAATAAACTGCTAATTTCTCGAGTTTTTTGTTGCGTGGAAAACTTTTGACAAGCAATTTTTTCTGGGCAATTCTTTGGAAGTTGTTTGGCCGACTCATTTCCGCAGTTGTCCCCTGTACCGACGTCTGTTTAGGATGAGAACCATCATCGTCGATAGTGCAGTCCTCCGAGGACGCCATTTTGGTGTATTATTAAGGGGACGCAACTCTACCAGTCGTACCCTCTGAACAAGGTTTCCTTCAGAATTTAGAACACATGGACCTCGAAAGCCCTGCAAATAGTGAGATTTATCTAACCATTCCTGATCAACCTTCATAGGTTATAACCAAATGCACTAACAAAACAAAATCATTATAAATAGAACAATATACGTACACGTTATATCTTAGAATGAGAAAACAAAAAAGCAATTTCTGTAATGTAACAATGTGTAACAAAAAACACTGTTTTGAGTGAGTGAGTGTTGTTTGGGTGGAATTTACTCTTGTCTCTAAATTGTAGTTATAGGTATCATTTTATAATTGTTTTTTCTAAATTGTTAGATTTATCGTTCCTAAGTCTGTTCGTGTAGTATCGTAATATAACATGTCATGCCAGAGCCAATTAACAGTACAAATTGATGAATTTGACAGGGAGCGCAACTTGTGAAGTGTACATTTACCGACGTTCCCATGTGTAACAAGCGGTCATTACTGACATGTTTTCACCTTGTGGCTTAGGATTATTTATAAAGTATTTACATTATATAGATTTCCCAATGGCAAGCTCGTCAAATGTCAAACAGATCAACTAGCCATCACAGCTCGGTAAAATACATTTTTCAATGAATTAAACGTCAGTGCCCCAGGACATTCCTACAATATGCGCATCGTGAATGTCACATTCATACTGTTATCACCCCGTGAAGATCCGGGTTAGAACAGGTCCTCAACATCCCATCATTGTCGTAAGAGACCACTATGCTTGCCGTAATAGGCGGCTAACGGGATCGGGTGGTTGATGCATGTCATCGTATCCAAATTGCGTAGATCGGTGCTCTGGCCCAGACTCGAATATTTACAGACCGCCGTCATGTAGCTACAGTATTGCTGAGTGCGGCGTTTTTCAGAGACTAGTGTGTGAGTGAGTGAGTGAGTGTGGTTTTACGCCGCTTTTAGCAATATTCCAGCAATTTCACCAGAAATGGGCTTCACACATTGTACCCATGTCGGGAATCGAACCCGGGTCTTCGACGTGACGAGCGAACGCTTTAACCACTAGGCTACTCGACCGCCCCAATTCAGAGACTAGATGTTATAGTCAAGATACGTATTTGTGTATATTGCGATGCCCACAGTAATAGAATACAGGATAAAGGCCCGTCTCTTATTTTAATGGTCACATTCACCATACCATTTATACTACATGACGCTCGATAAGTATGTCCTGTCGTAAAACAGTGGAGCAGTATGCATACACTGTGGATGATTGGTATTGCATAGTCGTTATAAAAGCAAAGCTTCCTCCATCTTAAGGTAGTCTATCTCTTTTATCTTTAGTTTAAGATCGTACCACCATGAACAAAAAAAATAATTATTTGTATTATTTTTTAGTATGTACGTAACAATACACGTGTTTAAAAAGATTATTTGTTAATACGTTTAAATATAGTTTACACTATGCAGCTCGAATGCAATAGTTAAAAGAGAGCGTTACGTTCGATGCTTTATTGTAAACTGTTATAAAGAAAACATGTCATTTTAAAAAAAACAAAACGCACAGGTAGTATGTCGTTCATTGAACCTGACTACACCAAAAAAATCCGGTATATAAATTGTATTATATGTTATATGAAAATGTTGATGGCCTGTTATTCGGCAAATGGTGCAGCAAATGGTGCGTCGATTTGCAATGTCTTAAACGGCATTGTTTTCACACTTGTTCAAAAATGTCATGGAGGAAAACAGTAAAGCAAAATGCACGTACAAGTTATGGCATTCGTAACTCGTGGTAGTGGCTATGAAAAGGCAAGCATAAGCCAATAATTTGTCATTCAATTGTCAACATGTTTCAAGTTCGAAAATGCCGAGACTCAGCGCTGCCGATCGGAACATCGCCATAGAACGTATCCAAAGAGGGGAATCGCAGTCTTCTGTTGCACGCAACTTCAACGTCCACCACAGCACCATTTGCCGCCTTTGGGACCGATACACACAGTTCAATTCCATTGCAGACCGTCCGAGAACCGGCCGACCAAGAGTTACCACCCCTGCACAGGATCGCTACATTCGATTGTTCCACTTACGTCATCGCAATGCCACATCTACGGAGGGTGGGGGGTGGCATAACCTACACCACGAGATCTTACTTGGTTGTGGTTCAGGGCAGCATGAATCAAATTCTTCAACCTCGCCTTCTTCCAATCATTGACCGGCCAGAGGGAGCTGTTTCAACAGGACAACGCTCCACCGCACACAGCTCGTGTCACGATAGACTCCCTTCATAATGCCAACATCAACGCCTTGCCCTGGCCGTCGAGATCTCCAGATCTCAACCCAATCGAACATCTCTGGGATGAACTCGATCGACGTGTACGTCAGCGTCAGAACACGCCGCAGACACTCCCACAACTGGCAAATGCGTTACAAGCAGCACGGCGCAGAATTCCGCAGGACAGAATCCGTACACTTATCCAGTCAGTGCCGAGGTGATGCAGAGCCGTGATAGCTGCCCGGGGCAGTCACACGAGATACTGACTTCAGCGCAACCTTGTGGCCTTATGTGACATGACAATGAACAGTTTTCAATGCCTTTGTACAACGACAACAGCTCCAAAATTTCATATTTGTATCAATGATATCAAATTAAATATATCGACTTTATTAGGTACAATAAATTTACTAAAAATCTACCCGTGCGTTTCTTTTTTTGAAGAGTGTAAATGTTCGGTACTCCACTGTCTGTATTTCTACCGGGGCATGTATGGCGTCTATCTGTAACAAAAACAGAAGCGAGGACAGATGAATATTAACACATTACCAACGCCCGAGCCTTCGATTGGCCAAACATTGCGAAATCAATCTACCGCCCGTATAGCTCACCTGTCCTCCCCGGATGAATACAAGCAAGACAAGTAGCCTCATTGATGCGAGTAACCTCTATTACCTGTCAGGTGATAACAGTAGCATCCATGATCAGCAGAAAGGGATGTTGATGACTTTTAATACACTGCTTGAACTCACTTAATGGAACGGAGCGCCATACTTTATGGTCGCTGAAGATGGTCCGTGCTATCATCCACACTGATGCATCGTAATTAATCTGCAGAAATTGATTGTTGACATTGCAACGTCTGGCGAATATTAAACAAATAAGAAAGCGTTTACACGGAGTCTTCTTCTGCAACTCCTGTTAATGTTCTCATGGAAAGACTGTGAAGATGTTGGTTGTGGGTCTCAAGAGGTGTTACTGTTATATGTGTTTTGGAGAACTATGATAGTAAGTATTCCCATATAAACATGGCGTATAGATACCTGAGTTGGATATATACAGATAATGACATAGCTCACAGGTGAGGTGAAATGGGTTTTAACGTCGCGTCCAAGATTGTTGCACTTATATAGCGACGTGCATGCACGTGTGTGTGTGTGTGGCTGCTTGTGTACTAGTACGGAATGATGCCGATTTATAGTGCTAGCCCACTGAGATACCGTGCCGCAGTTTCACATGAATACCCCACTCAGACACAGTATACTGACTCCGAGCCGACCAGTCCTTGTTTTATCCTCTTAATGCCGAGCGCCAGGCAGGGTAACAACAAGTACCATCTTTTACCGTCTTTTGCCCGGGAAATACCGGAATTTAGACACTCATGTCGTAAACATAGTATGACATGAACACTCATAAAATATCCTCTATTTGATTTCATTTCGCTGTGGGGATATCTCCTGGGTGATATCGACATCGCTTGATCTCACCTAAGTGATGTCTAGTGTGAAAGCACGTCTTAGATGATAAAAGTTAATATGCAACGTAATTTAATACAACGTACAGTTCAGTTTTAGACACATACGCTTTACGAACATTTACTGCCAGATATTCATTATCTCACACATAATTGATTATTATCATCTAGAAATATTTTTTTTTGTGGCGTAAGCAGTAATACAAATAACTCGATTTATTCTAAAAACAAAATGATCGTAAACTCATCAAATGTCACGGATAGGTATCAGTAAACAAACACATCTTCGTGTCATCATCAACATAATCTGTAATCGTCTTTATTCTGTTTTAAAAAAAACCCACTCGCAATGTGTTGTTATGTGATATTTACCGATTCAAACGGGTGCCGCAATCTGTCGTGGACCTCGCATACGTGTGGTTTTAAGGTTACGTTACTTACATAACGTTGGGAAAATAGAATCATTATATTTACCAAAACTTTATGTTTGTTTGAAGAGACTACCCTAAGACGTCAAACGAACTCGCTTTGTTCGCTGCATTGCAAACACATTGTATTGATAATATTTGTATGTACTTTCGTCGCCATGACGCTAATAATAAGTGACAAACCCCCAGAGCTACAACACATCCCTGCTAAAAAATGAGTCAATTGTACGATTCCGGCTGTATCATGAGCAGTGTTTACTTAAGAAAGTACAGTAAACTACGGTTATAACGAACACGCTTATAACGAACTTACGGATATAACGAACTTACTTTTTGGTCCCGACTAGTTGCTGTAGTTATGCTGTATATATGCTTATAACGAACTACGGTTATAACGAACTAAAATTAGTAGTCCCTTTGAGTTCGTTATAACCGTACTTTACTGTAATCCCATCGCTATGCAAGTTCACACATGGTATCCATTGTGATAGGCATGAGTATAGGCTGGGAGGTTATTTAAGGTACCGACGTTTACTACAATATCTGAAAAACTATTGGACCTACTCCAGTCAAAGTTGGTATGAGATTATTAAACAGTCATACATAACTGGATATTACATTTAAAGACAATCGGTGCATGAATAAAAAAAATCTGTCTATTTAGCTATCACTATATTTCATCAACAACCAGACAGGAATCACGCACGTTGAGACGCCCAACGCTAACACCGTATTCGTGCGTGCGTTTCGAGTTGAGTTGATTGGTTCAACTGTGTCATATGGCCCTGTGACGCAGGGGTAGCATTATGCAGATGGCTGTTTCAATGAATGCTCGTTCCATCCGTGACGAACAGGTCTGGTTGTTGATGAAATATAGTGATAGCTAAATAGACAGATTTTTTATTCATGCACCGGTTGTCTTTAAATGTAATATCCAGTTATGTATGACTGTTTAATAATCTCATACCAACTTTGACTGGAGTAGGTCCGATAGTTTTTCAGATATTGTAGTAAACGTCGGTACCTTAAATTACCTTCCAGACTATAGTTTTTATGAAGGTTTAACCCTATCAATTGCGCGCTTCTATCGATACGGGTCTTATCAGCGCTGCTTCACAGCTCTTGGGTTGCTCTAAAACTGCAATAAATGGGACCATACTACTAAGCATGCTAATACTATTTACACTTCATGTATAGCGGGGGCGGTCGGGTAGCCTAGTGGTTAAAGCGTTCGATCGTCACGCTGAAGACCCGGGTTCGATACCCGACATGGGCACAATGTGTGAAGCCCATTTCTGGTGTCCCCCGTCGTGATATTGCTGGAATATTGCTAAAAGCGGCGTAAAACCATACTCAATCACTCACTCATGTATAGCGCTTAATCTAAAACAGGGAAACGTGTTTAACGTGCATTCAACAACACCGTCAGCCCCAGGAACAGAGCAACCAGCGTCATATGACGTGTTCAGGCAGTGTGAAGATGATCAGCAGGACGTTTCATGTAGGTATTGGTCACTTATTTAGGTATGGATTACAGATCTGGACCTATTTTTGTTTACATGTTGGGGCAGTACCATACTCACACTGATACCATACACACACTGGTACCAAACACACACTGGCAAGTACCATACACACACTGGTCAGTACCATACACACACTGGTCAGTACCATACACACACTGGTACCATACACACACTGGTCAGTACCATACACACACTGGCAAATACCATACACACACTGGCCAGTACCATACAGACACTGGTACCATACACACACTGGCCAGTACCATACAAACACTGGCCAATACCATACACACACACTGGCCAGTACCATACACACACTGGCCAATACCATACACAAACTGGCCAGTACCATACACGCACTGGCCAGTACCATACACACAGAGTGAGAGTGGCAGATATTTGATACTTTCCATTTGTTTATCAAGTAGCAACGGGCGAGGAAGTGTTATCTTGTTCACATGTTATTAGAACACATTATTTGAACTGTTAGCAGCAGCAATAAAGACAAGACTCGTTGACGAAGTGTATGTTAATAATCTAAACAATCGTTGTTAAAGATACATGCAACATATTAATTCATGAAACATGGAAACAAGCGGCATGCCTTTCATTGGGGTGTATGGCTGAGTGAAATGGAACATGTAGATTTCACTGTATCTGGACAGGCCTGGAAAGGGATTGTTTCTAGAAGACTTCCCACGGTGTAACCACAGGTAGCCAATGGTCAGCGGTGCCGGGAAACACCACTAACATCTTGAGAATTCAATAAAATAATAGAAAAGATGTGTTACAGCAATAAGGCGATATATTTTTGACATGGTACATTTTACAATTTTGAAACTACTCCAGGCAAGAACATCGGACATTGAATACATATATTACATACATTGCATGCATGTTATTCACAGGTGTAACCGTATATATACTGTAAACTGAACTATTCTGATCACATCAAGACTGAGTGAGTGAGTTGGGTTTAACGCCGCTTTTAACTGTATTCCAGTTATATCACGGCGTGTCAGCTTAATGTGGGGGGAAAGCCCGAAGTGATGCAGGTCTCAGAGGTAAACCACTTCGGTGAAACCCACGAGCACGGGCATGGTGCTGACAAACCTAGAAACATAATCGGGGCGAACCGGGAGTCGAACCCACAATCATAGGTTTCTGGCGTGCCCAAGAGACGCAACTCTGCACAGCGAATCGCGGCGCCCTAGACGACTGGGCCACCCGTGCCCCCGATCACATCAAAGAAATTTATAACATTTTGAAATTATACAGCATACCACGCACAGTACTTAATGTTGCGAACATGGATGTTGGTGAAGGTGGTTGTTACCACTGAGTTCACCTTCATTGAACTCATATATGTAATAACAGTATTCTAAGGACTCAGTGTGGGTATGTATAATCTCACCCTTTCAAATAAATGAAGCGACAAAACCCTTTCCATATCCAAAAGAAATGTCTGCATAAAGTACGATTCCGACTATACCATGAGCATGTGTTTATGAATCGCTGACAAAAAGTGATGATACCAGGTGATCGCGAAAAACACACGCAAAGGCAAGTCAAATGTTCACCTTTAAACAAAAACAGGAACATATGATACAAATCCAAATAGGGAATTGCATCGGACATCATTTTTATCACTGATGGGGCAGATTTGGAAATGTCCTCCACATGTCTACTGTAAAACGTTTTGAAAGTTGATACACATGCATTTATAATGCATTGAGTGCGTAGCAAAGAACACAATTGGACTTGAATGAGGTATATTCCATGTTCATCCAAATGTTCGTGGTTCGTATCCCGCCATGGAACCATACAAGACAGTTTGTAGTACTCCCGTACGGCGCTGGCACAGACTTGTCATCAGAACGTCACGGTCGTGTTTTTCTCGCTGGAACTGCTAGCCTCTGTTTCCGGCGTTCCTTCAGATCTATCTGATTTGCAACACACCCTCCCTCTGCCCACCACCCTGAAGTACACACACATCACCCCCAGACAGAGGAGGGAGAGGGTGGTGGAGCCGGCGAAAACCAGAAACGGTCCACTTGTACTCTCCAGCTCCAGGCTCTGGACCGTGCTGGCCTGGCTGGACGTGGGGCACGTGGCGCTGGATGACCACCACTTGCGTCGCCACTTCTCGGTCAGCCCCGCCTCCTGGAGCTGGATCAGACTGCAACAGAAACTTAGAGTCAAATATTGAATTATTTTGGGGGGTTATTCTTTAACGCTGCACTCAGCAATATTGCAGCTCTATGGCGGCGGTCTGTAAATAATCGAGTCTGGACCAGACAATCCAGTGATTGATATCATGAGCATCGATCCACTCAATAGGGATACGATGACATACATCAACCAAGTCAGCGAGCCTGACCACCCGATCCCGTTAGTCGCCTCTTACGACAAGTATAGTCGCCTTTTACGGCAAGCATGGGTTGCTGAAGACCTATTCTACCCCACTCACTCACTCAAGAATGGTGATGACTGGATGAACCTCAGGCTATCATCAGTATCAGGATGACCCTCGCGACTGAAGGAACTGGCTCAGGTAATTGGGCAACTATCCATGAACACTGGTTACTTTTGACTCCCGACATGGGTACAATGTGTGAAGACCATTTCTGGTGTCCCCCGCCGTGATATTGCTGAAATATTGCTTAAAGCTGCGTAAAATCATACTCTCTCCCTTACTCACTTATAATGGATTTCGATTGTGGTCGCTCTTGGTCCTCTCACTTACTTTAGGGCGGTCGGGTAGCCTAGTGGTTAAAGCGTTCGCTCGTCACGCCGAAGACCCGGGTTCGATTCCCGACATGGGTACAATGTGTGAAGCCCATTTCTGGTGTCCCCCGCCGTGATATTGCTGGAATATTGCTAAAAGCGGCGTAAAACCATACTCACTCACTCACTCACTCACTTACTTTAAGGAAAGGATCTCCAGTAATGGGGATGATTCTGGAACAATGAACCCCAGATCCACCACACTGGATAGAGTCTCGCCAGAGATGAGATTCTCGCAGTCTGTCATACGCAGAAACTCAATCTGTGATTGGTCAGTCAGCAGCGCATAGTCACCAGTCAGAACCAAATCGAGTGCCTCGTCATTGTTCTTCACAGATGGCGCTGTTTTAACCATTGCCCACAACTTCCGGAAAGTCTCAGTTTCTCCTTTCTGGAACAATTAACACATTGATAACATATTATTTGTGATATTGTTTCTCTCTGTCATACCAACAGTTCCTTGTGGTCAACCTACTACATCTGCAACAGGTCAGAAAAAGGTGATGAGTCGTCACATCTAACAGGGTCCATTCAGCAAATTGCATGTGTTTTTCAACAATTTCATTTTTGAAAAGTCTATACGATTAGTTAACATATGTCATGAAATAGTTAACTTTCACCGCGAAAATATCAAAAAACGTGAAAAACAATTTTTTACCATGTTTGTAAATGCTTGTTCGACGCACAGATATCGATACGGTCATTTTGATGTGAATATATAAATTGTCTATTAACACTATTCCTCACTGTCCCTTTAGTAGTAGAATTTCTACATCATTATGCTTTTCGTAAATCGCACTGAAATCTCCTCAAGGCAGGGGTGTTCAATTTTAGAATTGCGCTTTTATTTACAATCAAGAGAAAAGTCAAGTCACATTATATGCAAATTAACTTGTGTCATTAGCGTAATGCCATGTCTCACGGCGGCGAGGTGTCACGGTTTATATAAGAAATATACGACGAGTGGGAGTTGTTTATCGTAAAATAAAACACTACAGGGAGAATACACAAGGAGGGGCTGCGCCTGCTTCTCCCTGCAGTGTTTTATTGTACGACAGACAACGACAACGAGTCGTTTACTTCTTTTATGAGACATGAACATTTTGTATAGCCGCTTAAGGATGTTAATAAATTGTACAAGCTTCATGAAAATATTTTCTCGTATTTAAATAATGATGACTCCCAGAATACAACCCAATCTCGGAAATGTCGGACAAGTCCATTTTGTGAACAGGGGCTTTAGTTTGGTAGTTCACGGATATTCTCAGTATTTTCATGTCGATTGTCTGTACCTTTTCATCTAATACCGATTGTCATATTTCGCCGACTTTTGGATGCGATCGTGCGGCCATTGCGTTTATCTGCGTTGCCGAGTTACATCTTCCGGGAACAGCTCACCCGACACTTCCCTCTCAACAATAACGTCGTCCAATTTACGACGTCATCAATTTGCGAGCGCATGCTCGAATCTCAAGCAATGCCGTCATAATAGAACAATGTTTTATCGTGAATTGTAAACCGTGTTCTGTGTTGTGATTGGCTAATTTGAGTCACATGACCAAATGTCAAAGGGTGAAAATATGAATTGCATTCCCCGAACCAAGCGAAAGCAAAGGGTGAGTAAGTACGAGGTGTTAAAGTGTGCGCATGTTTTTTTCTAAATAAAACAATAGGTTTACAATATCGATAAATACTATTTGTGTGTCTATTTCCGGGATTTTATCGTGTATTTGCATCTTGGAAATTTTCATTCGAGCCCCTCAAGTTAACGCTTTCGGGTCTCTAGATGAATTTCCAAGATGCAAATACTCGATAAAATCCCGGAAATAGACACACACATAGTATTTATCATCTAAACAATCCACGCTACGCTCGCCGTTGTTCTTTGCGATTTATCGCGTAGCTGTCTTATATAACGAAACAAATCAACTTCCGAACTGACTCGAAATCCATGATGTGTAAATAATCCACGGCCCTGACGCACGTGATATATGTTGTCAATACCAGCACTTATTCAACACCGTCGGGTGTGACGGCTATACAGTAAGTGTTATTTATAACATATGATGAAATCGATACTGCATGTTTGTTTCACACTGTCACAACAGGAGAATATTACCAGCTACCACCTATACTGAACACTTGATTGACCCATTGATGTATTGCCGCCACACAACATTAACTCAGGCAACAGTCTGTTTCCGATCAACATTTTGACACGAACAACAATACTGATATCTACACATTGTATCACTTGACTCGGGAGTGGTACTAAACTGTTGCTAGCTTATAGAATATGTTCGCGTTTCCCTATTTTAAAAGGGCGGTCGGGTAGCCTAGTGGTTAAAGCGTTCGCTCGTCACGCCGAAGACCCGGGTTCGATTCCAGCCATGGGATCAATGTGTGAAGCCCATTACTTGTGTCCTCCGCCGTGATATTGCTGGAAAATTGCTAAAAGCGGCGTAAAACCATAGTCACTCACTCACTCACTCTGTTTTAAAAACAGGTAATTTACAAACACGATCCAATAACCATAAGGCCACAGCCTAGTGGTACAGAGTTCGCTCGTCAGGCCGAGTTTGATTTCCAACATAGGTGCAACTTGTGAAACCCATTCATGGATTTCCCCGACGTCATATCGCTGGAATACAACACAACGCGTCGCAACAGTTGTGTACTCAGTCAGTCAGTGAAGTGCATCATTACTCATTATAGACAAGATTCCTTCGATGCCAACAAAAGGGTAGAGGTAAAAAAATGAAATAAAAGCGACAAAACCCTTTCCATATTCATAAGAAATCTCTGGTGGAGTCGATTGTACGATTCTACTATATCATGAGCATGTGTGTATGAAACACTGTCAAACAGTTATGACACAAGGTGTTCACGAAAAGGTGAGCGTATACTGTTCCCACCGGTGGCACCCTTCACAAAGCGTTTGACCTGTGAAGATCGGGGTATAATAGGTCTTCAGCAACCCATGCTTGCTGTAAAAGGCGACTATGCTTGTCGCAAGAAGCTACTAACGGGATCGGATGGTCAGGCTCGCTGACTTGGTTGATACATGTCATCGTATCCCCATTGCGTGGATCGATGCTCATGATGTCAATCACTGGACTATCTGGTCCAGACTCGCTTATTTACAGACCGCCGTCATAAAGCTGGAATATTGCTGAGCGCGGCGTAAACAACAAACAAACGAAACACAAAGCACTTGACCCGTGAAGATCCGGGGAAGAATAGGTCTTCAGCAACCCAGGCATGCCGTAAAAGGCGACTACGCTTGTCGTAACAGGCGACTAACGGAACCGGGTGGTTAGGCTCGCTGACTTGGTTGATGCATGTCATCGTATCCCAATTGCGTTGATCGATGTTCATGATATCAATCACAGGATTGTCTGGTCCAGACTCGATTATTTTACAAACCACCGTCACATAGCTGGAATATTGCTGAAAGCGGCCTTAAACAACTAACAAACAAACAAACAAACACAAAACACTTAGTCTATTGTTTCACTCCGCAAATGCAACCTTATAGGTGTTGACCAAACCAAATCAGTGTGAACAAGTTATCAACAACAAAAAATCGTCAGCCAAGAGCTATGTCTTGTCACTAAAACAATCCTTAACCCAGGAAATAAGAACAGTCTGGGCTTACTGGAATACGAACTACTCGTGGTGCTGAGACAAGGTAAGCGTCGGTACCTGGAGTTCCTGGTACAGACTGGAGCCCTGTTTGACCAGGGGCTTTACGGCGGTCTGATCAGCGAGGTCGCCGATGTTCCTGATGGGTTTGCCCACGAAGTTGACGGTGAGGAAGGCGACGAGGTTGGCCTTGTAGGAGGCCACCATGAGTATAGTGAACACCCACCAGAACCCCAGGATGAACCGCCCCGAGATGTTGGGTGGGGCTATCTCAGAACCTGATGAGGGAAAGAGGGAACAGACATGTGAGAAAATGAGTATTCTCCATGTTAAAACAAAGGTACCCATAGCTGCAAACTTGGATCTTGTAACTGCTGTCTAATGAAAGCTACAGGGCACTACCCAACATATCGTCACAGTGATTGGTGAGCATTAGACACTTTGTCACTTCGTTAGTTTCAGGACTCTGCTCCTTCTCAAGTGACAGAGGGGATTCGGATAACCTTGTTGTCTGATACGACGCGAGAAATTGATCGTGGGTTCGAATCCCACATTCGTCGCAGTTATAATCTTTGATTTGACAGCACAATACCTTTGCTAATTGGTTTCACAAAAATCGTCTACAACACACCATAGAATAAATGAAATACTGTTCAAATCGACGACATCCAACTCATTCATCACTAAGTCTTACGACCGAGATACCAACATGAAAATTCTAACGCTACCGTTCTTGTCAAATAAATATCAATATAAACGTCTATTAATCAAGGTATAAATAAAAATCCTTAACATAATGAGGTGTTTTTATTTGATAGTTAGCTGGTCTGTGTGTGACGGTGCTGCACCCCTCCGGTCACCTTGCTCCATGTAGGATTTGTACACTATCCAGATGTTGTCTGACGCGCTGGTGCCTCTCCTCCTCCTCTTGCCCTCTCCCTCCTGCTCCTCCTGCTGCTGCTCTCCCTCCTCCTGCTCCTCCTCCTCCTGCTGCTGCTGCTGGACGGGGCTGAGGTGATTGACCAGGGCCAGCGTGAAGCCCACCACCAGCACGGCCCCCGCCACGGACAGCCACACGCTCTCAGTGAACGGCTTGAACACCCTGGAGCACCACCACCGAATCATACCACTGTTTCTTATGACGTTGATGTTTCGACGCCGCTTTTAACAGTATTCCAGTTATATCACGGCGTGTCAGCTTAATGTGGGAGGAAAGCCCGAAGTGATGCAGGTCTCAAACGTTTACCACTTAGGTGAAACCCACGAGCACGGTATGGTGCTGACAAACCTAGAAACATAATCGGGGCGAACCGGGATTCGAACCCACAATCATAGGTTTCTGGCATGCCCAAGGGACGCAACTCTGCACAGCGAATCGCGGCGCCTTAGACGATTTGGCCAATAGGTCAATAGAATAGGTCTTCAGCAACCCATGCTTGCCGTAAAAGGCGACTAACGGGTTCGGGTGGTCAGGCTGGCTGACTTGGTTGATGCATGTCATGGTATCCCAACTGCGTGGATCGATGCTCATGTTATTAATCACTGGATTGTCTGGTCCAGACTCGATTATTTACAGACCGCCGTGATATAGCTGGAATATTGCGGCGTTAAACGACAAACAAGCAAACAGACTGTTCTGTGAATCAGATTTATCATCTTGAAGTCGGTGAATTGTGATACTATAGGACACAGGGCAAAATACATTTTCTATTTTTGTTGACTGTGACCTCTTACTGAATGTCCAGGTCTGGAGCAGACAAAATGAGACAATTGGTTACCTGAACATCTTGCTGCTTTTGTCCTCGAAACGCTTGAGTATGATCCCCGTCCCTTCCTCCATGTAAGGTTTGGTGAAGTCAATCACCCTCTCCCGCTCTGACGTCAGAGTGATAGGTCCGATACCCAGGTGAACAGACTGCAGACACAAGAAGACAAAGTGAGGTGTGACAGAGGACCTCCTTATGCGATCCCCGACTCCAACACTACACACTTTGTTGCTATTTGACTGACGCAAAACCAAAGAATTTACCTGGAGAGTTAGATCTTTGAAGATCCGGAGCAGAATAGGTCTTCAGCAACCCATGCTTGCTGTAATAGGCGACTATGCTTGTCGTAAGAGGTGACTAACGGGATCGGGTGGTCAGGCTCGCTGACTTGGTGTGAAGCATGTCATCGTTTCCCTAATTGCGTAGATCAATGCTTATGATGTCAATCACTGGATTGTCGGTTCCAGACTCGATTATTTACAGACCGCCGTCATATGGCTGGAATATTGCTGAGTGCGGTGTTAAACCACAGTAAACAAACAAACAATCCTGAAGATTTGATAATAAAAATTCTGTCATTACATCAAGACATACACTTTTGGGGAAACCACAATACATATTTTAAGAACAACAAGCATCTTCGGTGAACCATTATTTTTGTGAGACAAAATTATTAATTTTTTTTAAAAAGAACCGAACCCAGATTATCAAATGGTCGGTTCCTAAAGAAAAGCTAACAGTCGTCACTGGATGTCACTTTGACTTGGATGGCTAATGAAATCTTTCATAAGACATGCGTGTTACACAATGGAAGCACAAACCCTCTTCCTCGTCATCTCCACCACACCGTTCCAGTTGCCGTCTTCATCCACCGTGCCCCAGAACTCGTCAGGAGACTGTATCAGCTCGTACCTACAGACGAGGATTGAATATGAAGCTCTTTGGAACATCTACATAGCAGAGGAGCGTCGGGTAAGTCGAGTAAGTCGAGTAAGTCATGTAAGTTAAGTAAGTTGGGTAAGTCGGGTTAGTCGTGTTAGTCGAGTAAGTCGGATAAGTCAAGTAAGTCGGGTAAGTCGAGTAAGTTGTGTAAGTCGAGTAAGACGGGTTAGTTAGGTAAGTCGGGTAAGTGGAGTTAGTCTAGTAAGTCGAGTAAGTTGGGTAAGTCGTGTAAGTCGGGCAAGTCGAGTAAGTCGTGTAAGTCGAGTAAATGGGGTAAGTCGTTTAAGTTGGGTTAGTCGAATAAGTCATTGCTAGCGATAGCGTCGCTACACCGAAGACCAAATTCGATTTCCCCTATGGACACAATGTGTAAATCCACTCCACAGTGTTCCCGACGTGTAATGGCTGGAATACTGCTAAATCGGCGTCAACCTAAACTCACTCACCCATTACCAATAAGCAGAGCATACCTGAAGTTGAGCCTCGCCGCCAGCTCGTCCAAGATGTCGACACAGAAACCCTCCCAGCCCGTGTTGTTAGGCAGCTTCATCACGAACGGTGCGGCCTGGAGCAGAGAATAGAAAGCGTCACACTGGTATCCCTCTAGGTTGGACCAGTCTCCATTTTAGTGCTATGTCCTGTAAGTAGTGTTCACCATAACCTTCAACCAATAAACAAACAAAATAACATTTGAAACACTGTTTAAAAAAAAGGTATGCAGTGAGGAAGAAAAATATATCTCTGATTTTTATATTATTCTTTAAACATTCCTCATTTATTTAGCCGATATTAAGCCTTTATTTAGCCTATATTTAGAGTGAGTGAGTGAGTTTGGTTTAACGCCGCTTTTAACAGTATTCCAGTTATATCACGGCGTGTCAGCTTAATGTGGGAGGAAAGCCCGAAGTGATGCAGGTCTCAGATGTGGACCACTTCGGTGAAACCCACGAGCACGGGTATGGTGCTGACAAACCTAGAAACATAATCGGGACGAACCGGGATTCGAACCCACAATCATAGGTTTCTGGCGTGCCCAAGGGACGCAACTCTGCACAGCGAATCGCGGCGCCTTTGACGACTGGGCCACCCGTGCCACATCGTACACATCTTGCCATTTTCCCTTGGTAAGGGAGTTAACTATAAAAGTCCAGTTTCCACCCTTTCCGAAATCGGGAAGATGACGTCTTGCAAGAAATATACATACTGATGGCTGATAATAAAATGACTTTTGGAACCGACTTCAAGAAAGCCGGCGACCTTACCCCGTTTGTGCCCACCCTCAGTGTGATGTTCCCAAGACCTTTGGTACTCTGGCGGAACAATTCAGTACCCCCAGGGACGTCCAGTCCACCCCTCCTCGACCACGTGGCCACATGCTGTGACGTCAAAGTATTGTTCTCGTACCGCAACCTATCGATGTTGTAAAAACTCATCTGATTGTGTCCATTGTTGTCAAAAAGCGTGCTGTTTGTTTCCAACTGAAATTAATGACGTTATAAATCATTGATTGTTTTCATCTTTAACAGATGCGTGGGTTATGACATGTATGTACCCTTGCCGTTGCAAGACCTTACGTCACGCCAATGTTACGACCCGTGAAGATCCGGGGTAGAATAGGTCTTCAACAACCCATGCTTGTCGTAAGAGGCGATTAACGGGATCGGGTGGTCATGATCAGGCTCGATGACTTGGTTGATGCATGCCAATGTATCCCGTTTGCGTGGATCGATGCTCATGATGTCAATCGCTTGATTGTCTGGTCTAGATTCGATTACTTACAGACAGTCTTTGGCAATATTCCAGGCATACCACGGTAGGGGGCACCAATAACAGAGTCTTCGGAAAGACTGGCCACAGCTTTGAACAGCTTTGACCTTTAGGCTACCCCACCGCCCAAATGTGTTACGTAAACTATACGAAATATATCTGTTTTGAATACATAATTAACTACTGATCGTTTTCTTTAATGCTTAGACAAATACTGACTTATTTTGTGTAATAAATATCATTTTCACTTGATATGGTAAGATTCTGTATATACCTGACGTAAGCTGTGAGTGACCCGTTGAGCCACAGACGATACGCCGATGTAGCTGTCTCCGCACCGCTTGGTGGTGACGTTGTCTGCCGTTGCCACGTTGACGTTGATCGCCGTTGAAAGGGCCATGAAGGAGTCCGCCACGTGTGCATCTGTAGTCTACCATTAGTTGTAGAAGGAGAAGGAGGCAGAAAATATAGTAGATCTAATTAACTGTATACAATACATGTGGTATACAACAAACAACATGCAGTTCCACGAGTGTGTTAAATGGATTTTAAGGCTCTGTGAACTTATTCCTACTGATCATATTAAGACAGATTGCAAACAGGTCAGATAATTCGGTCCACCAGTGATACACAGTGTGAGTATCATTTGGGTACGATGTTACACTAAATCAGCCTGGACACCGCAAATACTCGTTGGGATTCCGGACTGGAATAGGAACGCAGAATTTTGATACGGAGTGGGTTGTCAGGCTCGGTAACTTGTTTTATTAAAAAAAACTAACGAACTTATTTTGACTATTCACACTCAGATTACGTGCTTGCATAAATAGATGAAGATGGAAGATGAGGCTCCCGTTCCGCATGGCTAATTCAAAGGGTTTCAATTAAAGAGTCTGTTTTTTTTATAAAAATGAGATTGAGCCTACATTCAAGCACTTGACATCGCTGGGAAAGTTAGGCCTGGCTGCAGATATGTAGAGGACGTCGTGGAACTCAGCGAAACCTTCCAGTCCGTGTGTGGAGCTGACAGCTGAAGACGGTACAACTATGGCAATGATGTCCTCAAAGTCGTCTTCAGTGGTGCTCAGCTGAACGGCATTAGAACGAAAAGGAATAACTATTTCATGTCATGCTCATAACAAAGTATTAAATAACTGGAACAGATGAAAAAACACGAGTTGAAATAATATTCCTTGTATGGTAATGATAAACTGTGAAGCTTACAAGACGAGACACTTCCTTCAGCGATTGCTCCCCTAGCATCAGGATGAGGCACGTCGGCGTATCTCCTTTTTCTGTAACCCTTGACAACAGTGCTGTCGCAGTGCGTGCATTGTAGCCTCCAAACATATATGTCACGGACGACTCCACAAAGACACCAGAGAGAAGGGACCGGAAGTGTGTGACCTGTGCCTCCGCTGGGAAATAAATGTCACATTGTAGTGGTCATAATAGAACAATTCTCGACAACAGACCACACAGATTACACACATCGGTCATGACCAGTTACTTACACACATCTGTGAGGTCACGTTACTTACATACGTCTGTGAGGTCACGTTACTTAGACACGTCTGTGAGGTCACGTTACTTAAACACATCTGTGAGGTCACGTTACTTACATACATCCATGAGGTCACGTTACTTATACACATCTGTGAGGTCACGTTACTTACACACCTCTGTGACACGTTACTAACACATGTCTGTGAGGTCACGTTACTAACACACATCTGTGAGGACACGTTACTTACACACGTCTGTGAGGTCACGTTACTTAGACACGTCTGTGAGGACACGTTACTTAAACAGGTCTGTGAGGACACGTTACTTACACACGTCTGTGAGGTCATGTTACTTAGACACGTCTGTGAGGACACGTTACTTACGCACATCTGTGAGGTCACGTTTCGTGCACACATCTGTGAGGACACGTTACTTACACAGGTCTGTGAGGACACGTTACTTACACACATCTGTGAGGACACGTTACTTACACACATCTGTGAGGACACGTTACTTACACAGGTCTGTAAGAACACGTTACTTACACAGGTCTGTGAGGACACGTTACTAACACACATCTGTGACACGTTACTTACACACATCTGTGAGGACACGTTACTTACACAGGTCAGTGAGGACACGTTACTTACACAGGTCTGTGAGGACACGTTACTAACACACATCTGTGAGGACACTTTACTTACACAGGTCTGTGAGGACACGTTACTTACACAGGTCTGTGAGGACACGTTACTAACACAGGTCGGTGGGGACACGTTACTTACTCTCATCTGTGAGGTCACGTTACTTACACAGGTCTGTGAGGACAAGTTACTTACACAGGTCGGTGAGGACACGTTACTTACTCTCATCTGTGGGGTCACGTTACGTACAAACATCTGTGACCTGTTACTAATACACATCTGTGAGGACACGTTACTTACACAGGTCTGTGAGGACATGTTACTTACACGGGTCGGTGGGGACACGTTACTTACTCTCATCTGTGAGGTCACGTTACTTACACACACGTGGGAATCCGTTACTTACACACATCTGTGAGAACAAGTTACTTACACACACGTGGGAATACGTTACTTACACACATCTCTGAGAACACGTTACGTACATACACGTGGGAATGCGTTACTTACACACATCTCTGAGGACACGTTACTTACATACACGTGGGAATACGTTACTTACACACATCTATGAGAACACGTTACTTACATACACGTGGGAATACGTTACTTACACACATCTATGAGAACACGTTACTTACATACACGTGGGAATACGTTACTTACACACATCTATGAGAACACGTTACTTACATACACGTGAGAATACGTTACTTACAAACATCTATGAGAACACGTTACTTACATACACGTGGGAATACGTTACTTACACACATCTATGAGAACACGTTACTTACATACACGTGGGAATACGTTACTTACACACATCTGTGAGAACACGTTATTTACATACACGTGGGAATACGTTACTTACACACATCTATGAGAACACGTTACTTACATACACGTGGGAATACGTTACTAACACACATCTATGAGAACACGTTACTTACATACACGTGGGAATACGTTACTTACACACATCTATGAGAACACGTTACTTACATACACGTGGGAATACGTTACTTACACACATCTATGAGAACACGTTACTTACATACACGTGAGAATACGTTACTTACAAACATCTATGAGAACACGTTACTTACATACACGTGGGAATACGTTACATACAAACATCTGTGAGAACACGTTACTTACATACACGTGGGAATACGTTACTTACACACATCTATGAGAACACGTTACTTACATACACGTGGGAATACGTTACTTACACACATCTGTGAGAACACGTTATTTACATACACGTGGGAATACGTTACTTACACACATCTATGAGAACACGTTACTTACATACACGTGGGAATACGTTACTTACACACATCTGTGAGAACGCGTTACTTACATACACGTGGGAATACGTTACTTACACACATCTATGAGAACACGTTACTTACATACACGTGGGAATACGTTACTTACACACATCTATGAGAACACGTTACTTATATACACGTGGGAATACGTTACTTACACACATCTGTGAGAACACGTTACTTACATACACGTGGGAATACGTTACTTACACACATCTATGAGAACACGTTACTTACACACACGTGGGAATACGTTACTTACACACATCTGTGAGAACACGTTACTTACATACACGTGGGAATACGTTACTTACACACATCTGTGAGAACACGTTACTTACATACACGTGGGAATACGTTACATACACACATCTATGAGAACACGTTACTTACATACACGTGGGAATACGTTACTTACACACATCTGTGAGAACACGTTACTTACACACACGTGGGAATACGTTACATACACACATCTATGAGAACACGTTACTTACATACACGTGGGAATACGTTACTTACACACATCTGTGAGAACACGTTACTTACATACGCGTGGGAATACGTTACATACACACATCTATGAGAACACGTTACTTACATACACGTGGGAATACGTTACTTACACACATCTATGAGAACACGTTACTTACACACACGTGGGAATACGTTACATACACACATCTATGAGAACACGTTACTTACATACACGTGGGAATACGTTACTTACACACATCTGTAAGTATGGCGACCTGTACAAATCCCTCGGCCAGCACGAGGCTGGTGATGGCGTTATGGCGGTACTCCGAGGGAGGCTGTACACGGAAGGAGGAGGGTACCGTGACCCTGTGGTGGCAGGGGTCAGTGTGAACACCGAGAACAGGAACATCGAGACGACCCACAGCGACCTCTAGTAGGGTCAGCAGGCGGCAGGGGGAGACAACCACGAACCCTACAGTGTTATTCTGAACTTCTTCACAAACTGAAATTAGAGAAGCAATTCAATTAGTGTAGCAACAGCCACACATAACGACATTGGCTATGGGATCAATATGTCATTTAAGAATTGAACCGATTGAAGACACACAAGCTAAACATGGTACCATACGAGACACAGTGCAAATATCTATTTTGAGACATTACGAAATCAATGAGCAAAAACATGTTTTGGTAACGGTAATGCAAAAGCTTTCCTCCCTCACTATGTATGCCACATCCAACATTTGTCTGTTGTTTAACGCCGCACTCAGCAATATATAAGACGGCGGTCTGTAAGTAATCGAGTCTGGACCAGACAACCCAGTGATTGACATCATTAGCATCGACCTACGCAATTGGGATACGGTGACATGCCTCAACCAAGTCATCGAGCCTGACCACCCAATCCCGTTATTCGTCTCTTGATTGATGCACGTCATCGTATCCCAATTGAGTGGATCGATGCTCATGATGTCAGTCACTGGATTGTCTGGTCCAGACTCGATTATTTACAGACCGCCGTCATATGGCTGAATATTGCTGAGTGCGGCTTTAAACAACAAAGAAAGTACTGTACCTTCATGCATGATGGCCACTGAGTCCCCATCTGCCAGACGTATCTCCACTATACCTACAACGGATGATGCATCGTTGGCGGCGATGAAGGGCAGTGTCGTCGACAGGACCATGCTGGCGTTGTAAGATTCGTGGTAGATGAATCCTATAATACAACCAAGACTAACGAAACACACGGTTCTTCGGGCACTGAGATAAAATGTTCCCGATAACAAAGACAGAATCGTTTCCAGAAATAATTGTATATGGTTCGATATTTGAAATGTTCGAACCCGACTATCAATGGCGCTTCCTCTCTGCTTTTACTTTACGTCATCAGGAGCGTTGGCGTAGCCTTATGCGTCTTCACAATGTGTACAATGTGTAAACCCATATTTAGCACCCCCGCCGTGAAGTTGCTGTACTATTGCTAAAAGCGGCTTAAAACCATACTCACTCGCTCACTTAATATTATATACGTAGCCACCTTCTCATAAGAAACAAAATATAAAGCATTCAGTGAATTGGTTGAGGGTTAACATCATTCAGATTTCCCTTGCAAATATATATTCAGCTGTACACTGAAACATTATTCCAAAACAGAAACACATTATCGCCGTAAAGAAACATTACATCTAAATGTCACGTAAATCATGACGATCTTCCGACAACATACCTGTGTGAAAATCTTAGTAGTGTTCACTGCCCCCTCTGTTTGAACCTAGATACTGTACGTTTAAGCATGGTTCCCCAATCTCCCTTCTGCCAGCCGTACCCACACTATACCTACCTGGCTGATCATCCAGTACTAATACATCACTAATTGTCAAACCCAACTATGTATTCTGTACATAGAACATGTACTTAAGTGTTGACACAGGTTAGTTGTTACTTACCGATGTTTACAGCACCGGTCAGACTGGACACCAGGTAGGCTAAACTGACCACCGCCAAACCGTTCACGTGCGCGTCTGATGTCGCCATAGCTGCCTATCTAGTCATTCAAGCTGTGTTGAAGCATGACTGTCGGTGTGTTGGAGAGAACGTGCGAGAGAGGCTGAGTGTTGTCGGTTATCGTCCCCATCTACCTGTAATTTAGCGACAAGGGCAACCTGCTCTCTCAGGTAAATCAATCCCGTACACGGATCAATGGAAGGAATCGGTGCCGGAGCGGCGCTATCATCATTAACAATCAGCTCCCTCGGGATCAATTTCAAGACACTGCTGCCAATGCCTCTAGGTTTGCATGAGAATCTGTCAGTAAGGTACTGGGATGTCAAAATAACCAGTACATCCGTTGTCTGTGTCAACAGGACATGCTACCTTCATACACAGCAGGACGTCCACTACAGGTAGCAGGCTTTTACCATTGTCTATATCATGGCACTGCGTGGATATTTAACCGCAGTAGTATAAAATGGGAAGATAAAAATCACTTAATTATATTATTGGAAATTACTTTTCTGAATTATATAAATTCGCTCTCAGCGGATGCTTTGCTAATGTTTTTAAAATATTTCAAGAAAACTCCCAAGGCTGAACTCATCCAGTCTACAAAAGAATCAACTAGCACTGTCCCCAGTCGCATATCTGTCTGGGTAGACAGACTACTCCACCAACCACACACAGACGTCACTGGAGTCCCTCCCATGTCTAGGTAGACAGACTACTCTACCAACCACACACAGACGTCACTGGAGTCCCCTCCCCTGTTTAGGAAGACAGACTATTCTACCAACAACACACAGACGTCACTGGAGTCCCCTCACCTGTCTAGGTAGACAGACTACTCTACCAACCACACAAAGACGTCACTGGAGTCCCTCCCATGTCTAGGTAGACAGACTACTCTACCAACCACACACAGACGTCATTGGAGTTCCCTCCCATGACTAGGTAGACAGACTACTCTACCAACCACACACAGACGTCATTGGAGTTCCCTACCCTGTCTGGGTAGACAGACTACTCTACCAACCACACACAGACGTCATTGGAGTTCCCTCCCCTGTCTGGGTAGACAGACTACTCTACCAACCACACACAGACGTCACTGGAGTCCCCTCCCCTGTCTAGGAAGACAGACTACTCCACCAACCACACACAGACGTCACTGGAGTTCCCTCCCCTGTCTGGGTAGACAGACTACTCTACCTACCACACAAAGACGTCACTGCAGTTCCCTCCCCTGTCTAGGAAGACAGACTACTCCACCAACCACATCACAGACGTCACTGGAGTTCCCTCCCCTGTCTGGGTAGACAGACTACTCTACCAACCACACACAGACGTCACTGGAGTCCCTCCCCTGTCTGGGTAGACAGACTACACCACCAACCACACACAGACGTCACTGGAGTCCCCTCCCCTGTCTGGGTAGACAGACTACTCCACCAACCACACACAGACGTCACTGGAGTTCCCTCCCCTGTCTGGGTAGACAGACTACTCCACCAACCACACAGAACCGTCACTGGAGTCCCCTCCCCTGTCTAGGAAGACAGACTACTCCACCAACCACACACAGACGTCACTGGAGTTCCCTCCCCTGTCTGGGTAGACAGACTACTCTACCAACCACACAAAGACGTCACTGCAGTTCCCTCCCATGTCTAGGAAGACAGACTACTCCACCAACCACACCACAGACGTCACTGGAGTTCCCTCCCCTGTCTGGGTAGACAGACTACTCTACCAACCACACAAAGACGTCACTGGAGTCCCTCCCCTGTCTGGGTAGACAGACTACACCACCAACCACACACAGACGTCACTGGAGTCCCCTCCCCTGTCTGGGTAGACAGACTACTCCACCAACCACACACAGACGTCACTGAAGTCCCCTCCCCTGTCTGGGTAGACAGACTACTCTACCAACCACACACAGACGTCACTGGAGTTCCCTCCCCTGTCTAGGTAGACATACTACTCCACCAACCACACACCACAGTTCCCTCCGCCGTCATATGACACATACACACGATAGGAAGTAGAAACTCAAATCTCTTCATTTTGTATCGATAAATCGATTCTGTTAAACACACACTTTATACACGAGAGTAATCTGTGAGTGAATCAGGACAGTCCGTGATGGCCCCGACAGCTGGCGGCCGTCGAGATAACAACAGTCAGTCAGAGCTTCCATACGAACAATGCCAATACTCGCGTGTGTATCAAAGGAGGGGAGGTGAAAAGGGGTTTAACGTCACGTTCAGGATTATTGCGCTCATATAGCGACGTGCATTCAGGGAGCAAATCTGATTTTATAGCGAAAGCCCACTAAGCCACGTCGCAGTTTAACATGAACACCCCACTGAGACACATCATACTGACTCCGAGCCGACCAGTCGTTGTTTTAGCCCCTTAATGCCGAGCGCCAGGCAGGGGAACAACAAGTACCATCTTTAAAAGTCTTTTGGTATGACGCGGCCGGGATCGAACCTATGAAACCCCAGAAACCTATGCTTGTCAGGCATGGTAACTTCATTGAGTGTGTGTCCTCAGTCTCTGATGACATGGGGCGTTGCTCATAATATCAATCTTTGGTTTTACTGGTCCAGACATGATTATTAAGAGGCTCTATAGCTGGAATTTTTCTGAATAAATTAACAAAGAAACAAACAAAATGCTGGGCGTCGTACTGATCAATCAATTCTGTTAAACAAAAATACAATAATCCCGGTGGTAAAATATATCGTCAGAACGTCTTATTTCTCAATAAAACACCACAAGGGGTACAAAAGCAAAGTAATTGTGAGAGATTGGCATTTGTTCTAAGATATCTTAGAATCAGATGGACACTGACGTGTGACCTGGCTGCTTGTTTGTCGTCGCATCCGGCGTCATTGGTCGTTGTGTGTTCTCCATGTCCCTGATCCTGGCTATGATGTAGGTGTAATATTGACAGGTGTGTAAATACGTAACGCGAGAGAATAACCAGTCTCGATTATCCGCCGAACAGATTCTACAGGGCGTTAAAGACAAAACAGTGATGACAATTATATGAATGGGTCGCTGAAATCAGTGATAACACCAGGTGTTTGCGAAACCCTTCGTTCAACCCTTTCCGACTTTTCTTTGATGTGTATTCATATTTTCTACTAAATGTTGGTATTTAACAAAGTGTCATCAAGCAATTGTTTATATTGAAAAATAACAAGGTTTGTCAGCAGAGTAAGTACATATCCAGGTGAGGCTGTCTTACATTTGGCATCGGTATTGACAAGGCTGTACGGCTGCAGTCATGAAACTGTTTGTTTAAAATACGTAGTGTCATTACATACCTCCACCACTACACACACCGATCGATACAGTCACGAGTTTGATAGGAGGTAGTATATAGATGTTTAAACACTCGGTTCCGGACAAACGCTATGTTGCATTCACTCGCCTGGATCAAGACTCTCCACACAGAAGGGTCTGTGTCGTGATTAAGTGCCTAACGATTGACTTATTTAGGTAGTTTGTACATCTGCACCAGAGACAGAACAAGGGAGAGTGGTGGGGTCAACTCTGCAGAGAAACAATTAAGTCCTTTGTAGTACGCGGGCTTCAGAAAATAAAAGACCTAAGTGCCATATTTGCAGTCGCGTGATGAGGTCAGATGGGAATGCAGAAATACTACCTTAATGATTGTCATGGCCAGATACACTAATGCTGCAATCAGGTAGCTCTCCATAGTACCATTACTGATGATGCAGACCAAGGCCAAGTGTGTGTAGGGTACGATGTTTACTTATACCTCTTTGAAGATGTGAAGTACCAGGTGCACTGTCATCTTCATTGTATAATACAGTAAACTACGGTTATAACGAACACGCTTATAACGAATTGACGGATATAACGAACTTACTTTTTTGGTCCCGACTATTTACTGTAGTTATGCTGTATATATGTTTATAACGAACTACGGTTATAACGAACTAAAATTAGTAGTCCCTTTGAGTTCGTTATAACCGTAGTTTACAATGACTTTGATGGGCAGAAGCCCCTGTTTCCAAATAATTTATAACCGAAATAAATATTTGCTTCGACTCAGGTGTGTTCCGAGCGCAGTTAAGCCTCTTATACATATATTGGAAAGCCTATTGATGAATTTGCATGATAATGCAATTTGAGATAGTATTTACATGTTATAACAAAACGTAGACTGGTCCAGTCTAACAATGGATGGTTAACTTATCATGCATAACTTTAAGAAAGGCTACAAGATAATTGTATCACAAGGTTTGGTGCGTTCAAGATATTCTTGGATGCGGTCTGTGCCTCCCCTTTGGGCAAACCCCATCTCCAGTTTGGTTGGTCTGTATACCGGAGGGAGGCTGACTGAGCTGCTGAGTTGAAAGACGATTTTCTTCATGTGGTTCTGCATCTTCCCGAGGTAAGTGAGTTAACTGACTTTTAAAAGTCCAGTTTCCACCCTTGCCGAACTAGGCTGGTATTATAGAGTTACATTTTGGCTGGACTAACGAGTCTAAGCACAGTCCAATCGAAATCGCGCAGCGAAATCGAAATCCAGTTCGTAAACTGTCATGCAGATTTCGGTCGATTGCAGGATTTGCAAAACATGTGCACCGCGAACTCGTTGTCAACAGATATTTTCCTAATCTTTTCATGTTTTGAATCAAGGTGCTCACGTGATTTGATGCACTACGCGATGTAAGACTCGTTTTATCACAATATAGATCTTGATTATCAATCAGATCCTCTTGACTGGGCGCCGCGATTTTGTTTGAAGCAAATGCAAGTGACACGAGGGGTGGAATCTGATTGGTCCATAGGAGAGGCATAGAAGGGACATTACTCGTAATAGCCACTGGTGGCGCTACGATCGAGCCCAGAAATTCCAGCCTAGTTCGGCAAGGGTGGAAACTGGACTTTTGTAGTCAGTTAACTCTCTTGCCTCGGATAGATGGTGGTTCTGTAACCCAGGGTTGACCAGCTTCGGATGGTTAGCCCTAACTGGGTGATGTACGTTTGGTCCAGGGGAATGAATCCTCCCTACCTAGGCCCACCTCGGAGAGTCGTATATCATCAGGCCCTTATTATTACCTCCCACTGAGACACAGTGTACTGACTCTTCGTTTTCGCGAACACCCGGTTGCGTCACAATTTGATAGTGATTCATAAATACATCTTCGTGATATGGTGCATCCCCTATTGGCCTACGTCCAATTTGGCCTACTTCTCATATGGCCTAAAGAAACAGAAATGACCTTTCCCATTTGGCCTACCACAGATTATTTTAAACAACCTACTACCCTATTGACAAAGATGGCTTGGTTTGAGCTTAATTAGCTCTTGTTATTTCACACAGGCTTCTTCTGTGAAGTTGATTTATGTAACTATATCACAATTAATTAATCCTTTTCTTATGTTCATAAGGGTTGTATATAACTGGCTTCAGGGGGCTGAGTATGTTCAGTCACAGAGAGGTGGTCGTCAAGTTTTGATTGACAATTTCTAATATAGAATTAACAGAAAGGGGTCAATTCAAACTTACTGGAAGTGTGTTGATGCGGTTCGAGGATGTAAGGCAAGATGTACAACTGTAGGCGATTTTCTTGGCACAGCCACCTGAATGCCAAGATGAACTCTGCCGATCCAACAATGTTCAGCTTCCTGGATGTCTTGAAATCACTTGAAGCTTGCCACACCAGACATCTAGCCCAGCTGGCCCATGGTGCCAAGCCTCCACCGCGGAAGAGAAAATATGTGTACCTCGATGGTCAGCTGTCCAGGCTCCGAGACAGACACCAGCAAGGAGAAATACATCTTCCTTGGCATCAGCAGA